GTCCCGATCGACCACCGGGCTGGATGAGGTAGATGTTGGCCGGAAGCAGAAAAGGGAACACTAATTGGTCTTTTTAGCCCTTTCTGGACTTTTGGGTTTGGCCTTTTTCTCTTTCTTTTTTTTCTATTTTTAATTATTTATTTTTTCTGTTGTTGTAATCATTGCATTTGTTGCACTACTTAATGGTTGAATTTGTGCTTCATTGGATCAAGCAAAAGTCGATCGGCTAAAGGGATCAAAAGTACTTTGGCGCTGTGTTGGTGAATTTGTTTACCACAAAAAAAATGAAGGAACAACATGCACACACTGACTGTAAAATAAAATCCATTTATTTTGTCTTGTTTGTGGCAGTTGGTGTTCAAAGATTTATGGCATTGTGTCACATTGAAGTTGTGACATTATTTAGCCTTTGAAATTGAGCTGTGTCTCCTGAAGCTTACCTCAGGCTGTTTGGACAAACGGCCCAGTAGTCAGAGGACGGTACTATTTGGTGTGTAAATTATTGGTAGCTTGAAAAGATGTGTTTCGGTGTCCGAGATGTAGGAATAGAAAAGTATGTCTTGCGTGTAGCGTCTGTGACGGATGTGTACAGGTTGTGTATTATTTATTTGATTTGACTATGATTTTTGCATTGGTGCAGTGGATGTACATTGTAAGACTGGTAGTTGTGGGATGCATGTTTTGTACTGTATATAAAGTCAGTAAAAAAAATAAATTAAAGCTAATCTCAGTTTACATGTTAGGCTGTCATCGAGAGTGGGAGCTTCAGTCTATTCCATTTTTAAACTAAAGTTTTTATTCCATCTTCTAACAGAAAGGTATCCTCCAAAATACAAACCCAGTGAAATGCGACTGACGGTTTTTTCTATCTGAGTTCTGCACTGTTTCGAGCTTCCCCCCCGAGCTCCTGCCTTGTATCAGCACTACTGGTCCTGTCAATAAAGCTGAATTTGTCTACTGATTTTTGTGCGCAGTTTCTTTTCATACAAACACATTAAGAATGCAATAAATGTAAAGCGCCAACTGAAACGTTTTGGTTTCCACGGAGGATTACATGTCACTCTGTAGCTCACAAATGTGAAGATTTACTCTAACAAATAAAGGCTACACGTACATTTAATTTTACGCAACACAACTCATTATGTGAGGTCAGACAACTGGAAAAGGAAATAATGTAAAACCATTAGCAGCTTTCCCACCATTAGCATTTGGGGAAGGTCACATGGTGTTATTACACGTCAAAAGCTAAACGGGGAACCTCAATTTCTGGCCAGAAGCAGTTTTTCTAAGATATAAGTGGGTGATTAATTTGAACCAAATTGATTTACTTAAGTTATTATTAAGATTAACTTCTAATTTACATTTTTATTTAGAATATTTAAGCTAACATGTCTATCAGAGTTAAATGACTGATTTTCCTGTTATTGGCAAGGACCGGTCGGCCAACAGCTAAAGGAGATGTTGTTGGCCGGTGTTGAATAAAACAGAATTACTCCCTTTTTCTTTTCCCGACCAATCGCCTCGAGATCCCTAAAAGATAAGACGGAACATTCATCATTTAGGGAATAAACCCACGCGGCTGAGATGCCAGCGGGTAAGTTATCGACGTGGACGTGGGAGATTCAGTGAGTTTCTCCAGTAAAACTTTTCTCAGTAAATCATTTTGGAAGCTAATTACTGACTGATGAAGTGTGGCTTACCTTCTGCACTGCTCTCTCCAAAAAAAGGTAGCACTAAGTGGTGAGCATGGAGAAATATACGTATGGCGAATTAGTTTGTTTGACGAAAGCTGATTTCTCTTGACTCTTGTGCCCCACACACACACACACACACACACGCACACACCATTGAGTTACACGCTGCCTCCTTAAGACCTCTATCTGGATGAGAGCAGCCATGCTAATTCATTTCACAGCCCACGAATACACGCAGTTCATCTGCCTCTGTCTCTCTCCTGCAGGTCATCCATCCTCATTCACTCTTCACCTTTCATCCTCCCTCATCACGGTGATCAAGAGACAGCAGGTGGAATAATTACGGCAGGAAGAGTAACTGCGTCAGACATATGGAGAAAAAGAAATAAGATAAACTCAACGGCCTGAGAGCAGGAAGTGCGCACATCCAAAACCAGCCGGGGTGATGATGATGATGATGATGATGATGATGTGGACGTGAATAGTCGATACAATCGGGAGAGGAGAAAAACACACACACACACATTCATGCGGTCTGCACGCTCCTATCTGCCAGGGGGGAGCGGCTCGGTTATTTGGAGGCCCGCTGGCCCGCTGCGCATGGAGCTCGGATAATAACACACAATGTCTCGGGATGGATTCGCTGAGATTTGCTGAAATTACAGCAAACATTGCAGCAGCACACATTTTCAAAAACGTAGCAGCCACACGTGGTGGGAAAGAGCTCGAGAGAGAGATTATACCATTTTGTGTCATGACAACAATCCTGCCATTCAAAGTGTACGAGCCGCTGTGATGAGAATAAACATTGTGTGTGAAACATTAAACGGCGCAATAGCTCTTACAGTTGGAGCGGTAGGATTGTTGTCATGATCAAAAACAAAATCACACAAAAAGCTCCCAGTTGATGTTTTATCATTTCATTAATAACTAACGCAGATAGTTTTATTGGAGTTAAAAAGGAAAAACTTTTGAAACGTTGCTCAGTAGAAAATAAAATGAGGAAATACTTCGAAAGGAATTTTTGTTTGGGTTTCACGTAACAGAGCTTCTCCAAATGAAGGCCAAATTAAGTCAATTGAAGTAGTGATGTCACTCTGTAATGTCACAAGTTATTTTGGACTTCAGCTTTGAAGCCTCGTTTATGCCGTTGCCATCGTGTTTTTGTTTCACCGAAGGGACATTAGTAAAGTTATCTATTGCTAGACATTGGAAATAAAAGTTTCAGACAATATGCTGTTTTCTCCTATTTTCTAATGATGTTGTTGTTTCGGCCTCTCCGGGCTTTAAGACAGATATCTGAGAACATCAGACACTTAGTGACCTTTTTTTTGAGCATATTTGCTACATTAAAAACCCATAAGAAGCCAAAGCTAGAAATCCATTGCAGGTTTTAATAAAACTAAATTGGAAAAAACAACAAGGTGGGTGAACTCTATTGGACGGCCCCTTCAGTAAATGTGCTTTATTACTTTCCACCGCGGCTCTAAACAGTGCAATGCCTCATAATGGCTACTAGGGGTCAGACTACGGGAAAGGGGGTCAAAGGGACACGTGTCAGAGTCAAAATTCATTTTCCCCGTGATCCTATTTAAATACATTATGACGCTAACATCCGCCCCAGGCATGAGGAATCTCCACCTCCACCTTTTAACATTTGCAGGATGGACGAGTGTCCACGCCCGTTTCCCCTTTGACGGATTTAGCTACGTATCTTTCAACTGTTACAGGGAAAGCTTGACTAAGCAATCTGCAGTTAATTTCACACTTAACGCTCCGTGAGCTGCAGAGTACAAACGGAAGTTTCTCCCTCAGGGCGCCCTGACCTCCCTCCCTCCCTCCCTCCCCTCCTACCCCCAGGGCATCAAGACCAACAATTCCTTCCAATGCATGGATGCACAGGGGCTGCTTATCCTCCCACTTAACCTCTTCACAGTTTAACCGTTGATTACAGCCGCACCTCTATGGATCCGCAGTCCAACTCCATTAGGTTTTAAAGACCACCTTGACTTGTGGTCCCTCTACTGTCCTCCGCTCTATGAGTTCCCCCAACGTGAGGAGAAGCAAAGTGGTTATCGATGACACAATCGACTGAGCAAGCTTCAATTTATCTGCTGTTAGAAACGTGAAGTGTCCCCCGGTCACGTACCAGCTCTGTTATCTCTGTTATCCCTGTGGATCCACCAGTTATTTTGTAATCATTTTACTTTACTTTGTATTTTTGTGTCTGCGGTTTTCATCTGTCTTTGAATAACTAAATAACAATTTCAAAAATAGATAAATAATAATAATGTGACGAGCCAATTGAGTAATAATCAGGCCCTGGATGGCATTGCAAATGTTTTCCAGCAATGAATCGATTTTACATCGTTGCAACAATTCACACCGTGAGTATCTGCTGGTAAAAAATAATTTGTTCACAGCAAAAGTTAGTTTCATCATTTCAACATCCTTATGACGTCCCTGTTGGGCAAAGAGGCTCACGGAGTCATACTGTATCATATACACTTGGGATCGGAAACACATGCGATTATCAAATCACTCGGCCAAAGGATCCCCTGCTGCCGCTCGATCATAGAGCATTGATTTGTTACACCGAGGCATCTGCAACGGCAGGCTGGTGGCCCCTCTGGGGACCGAGTCACAGTGGATTGCACGCGTTGGATTCCCATTGGTTTGTAGACGTCAATCCTCCGAGCGCCGACCATTTCTCAAGGGAGCGTTTAAAAAAACGTGGGTGATTCAATCGCCTAAGCCACGGCAGCTCCTACAGGTCGTCAATGCCCGTTGCAAGAAGACGAGGGGCTTAAATTGCCGCAAAGAACACGGTCATTATTTTTTTTGCGGAAAAGGAAATGGAAATGATTTTTTCACGTCTCACACAGTTCTTTGAGTTTTCCCAAAGCCAATCCGCAGCAGGCCTGTAAGCGCCAACCTTTGTTCTTTATTTATTCAATCCTATAAATTACTTAATAAAATATAAAAAGACATACCCTGTTGGTTTATTATTTGCGTAATTTCCCAAGTGTAATGTAATGTAATGGGCAATAAATCTGACTTATTAATCACGTGCTGTACAGTTCTCGCCATGCTGCAGATGTTCAGGTGCAAACTAGTACACACTGTGGACTGAAAGAACCTATTCTTCGTTGCCCTTTTCCACAAAGCTATTTGATTATCTGCTGGTACAGCGTGTTGAGAGTCTTTCTGTCGGTGGTTGGACTATGAAATATTCGGGAAGAACGTTGTGCCTGCAGCTCTGTGCAGAGTCCTAGTGTGACCATTATTGAACGGGCCACGAGAGAGAGAGAGACACACACTCTGACACAAATAGAAAGGAGCTTCCCTCTTTGGGGAGTTTGAACCATCGGATAGTTAGTTGGAGCTCCAGTGGCATGTTTCCATCGATGCGACCCTGCGAGCTGCAAAGGCCTTTTCTGCTTTCACTCATTCCAGCTGACGACTAATCCAGGTATTGTTGCCTCGTCCTTTTGTCTTATTGTCTCATCTGGTTTGTTGTGTTCCATTTTCCTCTCTCTGCACCATTGATTGCTTCTTCCGTCTTAATCTGTCTGAAAGGTGCTTTTTTTTGTTGAGTCAGAGAGAATTTTAGGTCTTCTACCTTCCTAAGACCCAAATCAAAATGAGCGCAAACCAATCTGTGACGGAAAAACATTGTTGGAGAATTGTGGGCTGACGATTATCCGCCGAAACGTGTATAGTCCCCAATACTGATCGGAAACTAGCACCTAACCTTGTCAGGTCGGACGTGTCAATCAATTATTTTTAGCAGCAGGAGTTTGGTACGTGGCAGTTAAACGTTTGAAGGTGTTTGTTCCACTGCTAGAAAACATACTGTGGCATGTGGTCATTCTGCATGTAGTTTTCTGGACATTTTTCTGATAACAATACTGTCTAATTTGGAAAAAGTCAATTAAACAAGGCTTTTAAAAATGCGTTTAGAAGTTAATGAGGCACCTAGTAATTTAGTTAAACCTACTGAAGCATTAATGAGCACCACTCATCCCAATTACAGCAATCTCTCTCACTTTATCTCCACACACACACACACACACACACACACATTACATTTAAGATTTGCAAAATTATTGATTGTGTGTGTGAGCGCGCGTTACTGCGCATGTCTCGATCAAGCGATGAGGGGGGGGGGTCGGAGGAAGTGCGAGCCCATCGATCGGGTCGGGGGGTGAGGGGGGGGAGAGGGGGGCTGCCTGCAGCTCCAGCTGCCCACTGGGTGTGAAGGACACTGATGTGACAGCACTAATTACACAGGCAGGAAGCGAGGTAGGAACATTCACAGAAGCATTCGCGGGGCTGCGCTGGGCTGGACCCGTCCTCCATCAGCCACTCTGCACGTCCCATCCCTCTGGGGGGGTGGGGGGGGGGGGTTATTGCGAATCTTAACACTAATCGTTTACTATCACAATTTGCGATTTCAAAACCGACGAACTCTCAGTAACAAATTACTTTTAGGCGGTGTTATTTCTAGCAATGAGCCATTTTGGAACCATTTGAACTAATTGGGATCCATCCTTGAATCCAATATTAATTTTGTCGCAGTGACTGTAAGTGGCCCAGATTTCTAAAGCAAATGTTATGTCATACTCTGGGACCTTTCTAGTCTAGTTACGCACCGAGAATCACCACTTCCGTTTGCCTTACATTTCTATTTTTAAGTGCCTTTGGAAATAAAGAGTAATGTTCCCTGCGGATTACAAACGTTTTTCACCAAGAAATGAGAAAGCCGGCGGGCCTTCCAGACGCTTCTTTGCTTGCTTCTTTAAAAAAGCAGGTGTTGAAGTCACACAACATTGTTCCTTTGTCCACTTCTGATGTATCATTTCGTGGACTTTGCGGTAAGTGTGGACGTGTTCAAACGACTTCATTCGCTGAGAAAAAACAAAATGCTACTTCTCACGTTTTACTTCCGAAAGAAAAATAGGAAAAGCCAAGTTCCACATAGCTTTTGCGTATTTGATGCTGTTCTCTCTAACCTGTCACCAGCAGGAACAGGGTGGCCTTAAACAGTGCTGGTGGCGCTAAACGTGTGAATCGTTGCCACGTGCGATAAGTTACCCCCACATTTGTTTTCCATCGATTTGGCCTCCCTTTTAATTATTTCCCCATTGATCTGCACTGTGGCCCTACATGCAGGTCAGTGAACAAGAGCTGTTCTATGCCAGAAATAAAGCCATGATGCACACATAAGTCAATGAAACACACATGCATGTACAGAGAAGACAACGCTGATATAATGACAGGAGGGAAGACACACACAAGTGTATAGGTAAACAAACTAATGTGAACATGCATTGCCGTTGTGCATTATGGAGTAAACCAGTGGTGCTTTTTGTGCCACGGAACTTTCCATTGATACACGTTAGGCCACGGATCTCCATCTTAACAGCTGGTGGTGGTTGGATCTGATTAATGCCTGATGTCTGTAGTCGCCGAGAACAGTTGAGGAGATAGTCGTAGATAAACACCACACCACACAGTCTACTGCTACACACACCTTACGCCTGTTCACATTTTCAGAAACACTCTGTTTCCTCTGTGTTAGGATGGACCATGGAGACCATGGAGACCGTGGGACGGGCGTCTCTCACCTGCGCTATGAGGACGAGGAGGGTAAGAGCGCGTGCACAGTGTGTGGCTCATGTTTTAGATCCGCGGTGGTGATGGACCCTTTGTGACAGTAATAGAAAGAGGAAATCAAGCCGTCACACTTTGTCTCTGGGCGTTATCATGAGTTGATTCATCGCACCGTCTTATTTGCTCTGAGAGCTTGTGTGGGTGGATGGCGTTAATGGACTGAAAATGGGGAGTGAAGATTGAAATGAGATTGTGTATTTTTAAGTCTGTGTTTCAGGGGCTTTGGGAGCTCTGCTTTGTTTTGTGTTTTCTGCCTTCAGCCTGAGCAGCAGGTTCTACATATTGGTGGTTCCACCTGTGGTTTGTTGTGTAAATAGTTTTAAAGTGATTCCCTGATTACCTGTAGATGATCAAACTCGTATGATCCAGGTTTTTGTTGCAAAATAGGATTTTACGATTCAAATGCTTCTTGAAACGTAATACTGAGTTTGATAAAGTTGTGGACTTTGAGGAATTAATGAAAGAAGTTAAACAATCCGACAGAGTTACTTCCTCTCAGCCAACGATTTGGGTGTGTCTTTCAGAAAGCGTTCATCTAAGGCTCTTCTATGGGTAAAACTCATTCCTTAAAGCAGGATATCTTTGTTCTACAGAAACCCATATTAGCCTTTAATTCATAGACTGCAAACCATTCCCCCCGCATCCACGTAACCATCCAGGAACTGTCCACATTTGCCTCCCAGACCATCAGTCCATCTACATAGGCGTCCCGGTGCCTCGGGGATACCGACGCAAACGCAGGCGAAGGCGCTCGAGTCGCGAGGCGGCTGAAATGGACCGGGGCAGACACTTCACCCACCGCAGGCCAGAAGAGCACAACCGCTACGGCGACGTCGAGGAAGGACTGCTGGAATCAAATGAGCCGAGTCTACAAGACATCAACCACACAGGTGATGACATGAGATGATGGGGGAAAGAACACGCAATGGTTGTGACAGGAGGCCTGAGCAGTTACCCCTTGTATCTCTCTTCCCGCTTCAGGATTTCATCATGAAACCTGTGACGTTTAGAGTTTGGCAGGAGAGGTTTAACAAACGACGCCACTTATTGTAGGAATTGTAGGATGGAATTATTTTGAGGTCTTGAACGGTACCAGGAAACAAAAGTCAGCACATCAAAGCCTGCTTATAACCATAAGTCCAACAACTTTATGTAGGCGGCACGCTTGTAGAACTTGATCCAAGTGAAGTCTGGTGTATTCTGCACACAGCTGCCCAGGAGGCTTTTACCTCAAACATTTAAACGCTTTCAAAAAGAAGTGGCACAAACATGGTCCACAATTTGTCACCGATTACAATTCTGTTACACCCTTCTAACATCATTCATTGTATTGGATTTTGTTCCTTCTAGCAGCTTTAACAGAGAAAAGAAGCAGTCTGAGTCACAGCCTGCGTAGCTTCTGTTTCCCGTTGGAGTACTGAGTAGCGTGGCAGAACGCTGCTGCTTTGTCTTTCAAAGACTTTGTCTCGGGAAGATTGTCAACCTTGCTAAACCGATCCGGTGTATGCAGCGGCGTGTGCAGCTTAACACAAATGTGGTACTTCGGAACGTGTTAGTGCACGAATATGAATAATGCATGTAGTGCCATTACCGGGAGGAAAGTCTTCAAGCACAGAAAAGATGCAAAAGACAACAACGGGCGAAAATGTTACACAATGGGGGGGAAGTAAACAACTTGTAGAGCGTTGGAATAAAAATGAACTCTGCATCATACGTATGTTTTATATGAAAGGTGTACGTGGTCATGAATGGTATTTATCTCATTTATTTTGCTTGTCATTAAAATAAAACAACACATAATTCATAGTTAGTCCAATATAATTGAATCCCCCGTGTACAGCTGTTACCATACAACTCAGTGTCAGCTGACAGCTTATTACCCTGAAGCCCCATCGATGAACACTGGGTCCCATTCAACCTCCATACGGTAATGAAATGGATTTCATGTACTGTAGGCTCACAATTGAATTCCTATAATCAGGTAGGCTTCAATACTGCTGTCATTACTGCTGTAGATGGAATGACATGCGTACAACAGCTGGTTGCAAACAGGGTCTAAGTGAAAGTATTTATAGTTTTGATCTCTGTGTCTATTGATTCAGATTTGAGACCATCATAAATCAAAAGAACACGGTAATCAGGGCTAATCTTTTTTAATAACATGTGTTAGGTTTCATTTAATAATTAGCCGACCCTGAACGGCTGTTAAAACTCAATCAATGATTGTATAAAATGTAAAGCAAATACAATTTGATTTCACAGTGTCGCCAGCGGCAGAGCGGCTACGTTACATCCTGAACGAAGATGATGACATGCCCACGCCGACACTCTTCACTGAGATGGACACTCTACAGCGAGAAGGAGGCGAGCTGGAGTGGAAGGAGTCGGCCAGGTGCATGAATGTACCCACACATGCACAATCTAATTAAGACCCAGTCGTGCTTCTGGTGCACACACAATTGCTCTTGTATATTGGTGCTTTGCCTTTGCTTAAATATTCTGAAGTCCACTTGAAAAATGAGGGAATGCTTCCAAAATACATGTTAGTGTGCAGCAAACTGTGTTCATACGTTCAAAGTCTTAAATATAGTCGCAAAATCATTAAATGAGCTAACGTGTTTCAGCCTGTGTGGGACTTTGTTGAGGAATTACACACAGAACAGGTAGTAATAGTCTACACAGCGAATAGGAGGCGATCAGAGGACTCAGATAGTAAGATATCAGGTTAAATAATAAAAACATGAAATATCACTATAAGAGATAAAGGGGAAAAAGTATTATATGTACATACTAGATGGGAGAGAAGCAACATATCTTCAACATGGGTTCAGAGAAATTGAGAAGAATAGGCAAAAAAATCCATTGATGTATCCACTGGTTGAGTTTTTAATTAAAATGAGATGTAGTTGATCAGTACAGAGTCTTAAGACCTGTATTGTGCTGACTCAGTGGCTTGAAATAGAGAAGCAATTTAAGGCAGAATTCATTACTCTCATTGGCTTTATCAGCCTTTTTCCTGCTTTGACACGGAAAAATATCACAAAAGCTTAAGATATATAAATGTATTATTTTCATATGATGTTTGAGTAGGAGCTGTCATATTTATAATTTTGAAAAACAGACTTTAAAGTCAACTCAGAAAATAGCAATTTTGCTAAATCACGACGTGAGCACTGTCGACTTTTTACAGCATGGATTACATTAATGCAAAATGAATCCCGAAACAAAATCAGCCAATATGAAACCAGTTGGGATTGTCAGACTGTGGAGTGTTATAAGATCAGGGGTGAGATCATTTCGGAAAGGTGATAAGAGGGATTCTGTGCGGTTTCTCCTTGATTGAGCCGACGTTTCTGCTTTTTTTCCCCACAAACAAACCTCCTGCGTCCTATTTGTAAGTGTCACGCCCGGGAGCTGCAGGCTCAAACCACAGACCTCTACCCAGTAATTGGCAACAGCAGTGAAGCTGAGATGCTGAGCTCAAAGAAATCTCCACGGTTGCATATTCCTCACCTGTGTCATCTCTCTCTCTGTGGGGTGTTGCTGCCTTCAGGTGGGTAAAGTTCGAAGAGAAGGTGGAAGAAGGCGGCGAGAGGTGGAGTAAACCACACGTGTCCACGCTGTCCCTGCATAGTCTTTTTGAGCTCAGGACGTGTCTGCAGACGGGAACGGTGCTGCTGGACCTGGAAGGCTACTCACTACCGCAGATAATTGGTAACTAGCTAATGTCAGCTTAGATATTGTTAGCCATCCGAAACGAACCGCACGGGGAGTCAGCTGTTTTATGGAGTGAATGGTTTTAGTGTAGCATGAATTCAGCTCACCCCAGAGTGCAGAACAGCGAGGTGGAGGCTGCATATTGAACCCTGGACCTCTCGCTCAGGCCTCATGCCAAAAATCAATAGAGTGTATCTCTACAACTACTATGTCTAATTATAGATGTATGCACACCCATATCATAACAATCCCTCAACTTTTCCTGTTGACATTTGCGTGACACAGCTGTCGACGCATGCGTTTTCCACTTCCCGCATACTGCTCACCATATGTCAACGGGGAGGCTGCAGATGCATTAGTATGGCTTTGTCAATCCATTCGGTAATCAATAGAAAAGAAAAGTATACGAGCAGTTACAGGGTTTCCCAGATTACGGCATGTGGGTGCAACTCAATGCTCGTACATCTATGCAGTTGCTTATACTGTGTCTTAATTTCCCATTAACGTTACATTAAGTGACACCTTTGGCTCTGTGGTCTACATTTTAAATTCACATTTTGATTGAGCTGTTATCTGGCTTCCACATGTGAATTAATGAAATTGAGAACACTGGATCCCAAATTCCTCATGTGAAATTGAAACGTGTCCATTTCCAGATGACATCATTGAGAGACAGATAGAGGAAGGCATGATATCTCCGGAACTAAGAGACAAAATCAGTTTTGTCCTGCTGAGGAAACATCGACACCAGACCAAGAAGCCAATCCACCGCTCGCTAGCCGACATTGGCAAGTCCACCTCCTCCAGCAGTGAGTGCCCAGCTATCGGAAATGATTATGTCGCTTTAATCTAAAGATGATTGACAACACTACATACGATGATGTATTACGAAGTGCCATCACGCAAAAAAAACACTTTGTTTCCATGATTAATAGCAATTCCTTTATTAATGTCTACCGCACCCTGGTGCCATGTGTAATTTTGCAGCTTCTGAGAAATGCATTATGCATATATTGCACTCACTTGGTAAATGAATGAAGGTAATCCTGCATTCAACAAGGCTCATATCCTCCCCGAGGGATGTATTAATGTTTGATGAGTTAATTACCGCTGCAGCATTTCCTCATCTCATCTGGGCAGGACACCTACTGCTAGAAAAATCATCAAACCCCTCAACTCCTCTGCTGCTGGTTGTGTCTGTTTCTGTCTCCCTTGCCAGATCGTAACGTGGGGCCCCGAGGTGGGCAGGGGACAGGGACAGGGACAGGGACAGGGACTGGACCGGGGCCAATAGCGAACTTTAATCGATCCACAGAGGACCTCCGAATCAAACAGCAGTCTGCCAACTACGGCCGCCTGCGTGAGTGTCCGTCTGCATGCACGGCTGTCCATTACTGTGATTTATTTTGAATTCAGGAGAAAGCCTCTGAGACGGCATTTGATCCTCACAGAACTGTCATACTAATTGACACCAAGAGACTGTGGACTTTCTACACTTTTACTTTATAATTTATTTTTTTGATGTCTAATTGTCATGTGGAACAAACCGCATTCGTCTCGCCGGCGAGGGTTTGTCTAAAGAAGAGGTAGGAAGTTGCACATATAAAGCATTTACTCAGAGTCCAGTGTCAGCCATGCTGATCTGCTATTCATGAGGAGAATGCTTGACTCAAGCCCTTCGGACACTCATTCCAGACACGAGCCATTTGTTAACGGGCCACCATTTGAGTTATTAATGTCTTTAAAATGTAAATAGTGTTCACTACCTTTAGGGGAAATAACCTATTTCAAGCAACAATAGATTGAAATCTCAACAATTTAGTGTAATAAAACAGTTTGGCTTGAAAAGCTTTTTATTCATTTTGCTAGCACCTTAAAATAAGTTAGTAATTTAAAATAGCCGCAGCACTGTAGCTCATTGTACTGCCAGAAAGAATAACGTAATGTTGTAATTATGATGTTATAACTGTTGTTGTTGTTGTTGTTTTAATTCCAGGTCATGCACAGAGTAGGAGTATGAATGATATTGCAGATTCTCCCAGCTCAGACCAGGTGAAGACAAATGCCTTACGTATCATACTAACACATTAGAGAGTGAGGTAATAAAAAGAGGTTTTGCTCAACAACCTCAAAATCCTGTGTGTTTATATCTGCAGGGTTTGGCCTTTATCGTTGAATTCTTATTTTTACACTTTGGGGCTTTCCATCACCTGAGAGAGGCAAATTGACGTCTCACCACAGTGGCGAGAACCAGCTCAGTCCTTAGGGTCATCAATCTTAAATTGCTGTTGCCGGTGAAAGTGACAGCTGGTGACGGAGGAAGCATGCAAGCGCATAACGCCCTCATTTGTGGAGCTGATGCAACAACCGGACTTAGTGACGCATCTTAGTGCTGTTATTACTTGGATTAGGCTGCCGAGCTTTGGAGCGGGCAGGTCAGGATTGAGTGTCATTCACAATGACGGCTAATGTCCAAAAAAACGAATGGATGCAAATGTGTTATTTGTTGGTGCAACTATGGCGACGAGCGCCGGTTGTCCAGTTCCCTGTAACCCAGTTATGAGTGGTTGGCTGGATGCTCAAATTGTATTTACAGGCCTAGAGTAGGTCACATGGGACGATGGACAAGTGCTAGTTTGTTACTGCATGTGAGCGTGTCTGTATCGAACGAGGACCTGGAAAAACATGGATCTCGTTGTCCGGTCCGCGTGCTCGGCCTTCACATGTAGCCGCGGATCTGCGGTGTGTTTTATTGGCGAGGCTCTTCATTACTGAGTGTTATTGTGTTGCCATCCAATATCCTGACATCTAATCAGTCAGGTCGGGCTCGCTGGCCATCTCTCTTTCATTCTGGTTTTGCCGCCCTGATTACTGCTGTTCAACGCTCATGAAATAAATAATACGTGGTTGTTATCTTGCATATTTCTGCCGATTTAACGTCACCCTCCCAGACTCACTGTTAGAACAAACACTTTAATGATCAATGAGGGGAGATCCAGTCCCTGTAGCCCCACATTAGTGGCTGCGACTAATCATTACTTTTACTATTGATTTACTGGCTGACGGGTTTTTTTCATTGAATATTATAAAATAATTAAATATAAGTACAGTGACTGAGATGCTGACATTTCAGCAGCTGTAAACAGGGAACATATGCCTATGTGTAGAAAATGAAAATGAATTAATTCGCTGTATATCTGCACAAATGCTGTAATCTAATTGTTTCACAAAAAGTAATAGATAGTAAGTGAAAAGAAAAAAATGACTGAAGCACCATAAATCCAATGTGGATTAAAAAAATACCTTTTAACATGTACTTTGCCTCTCTCCTTTTCTTAAGCTAAGAAATAAATTCATGAAGAAAATACCCAGGGATGCCGAGGCTTCCAACGTCTTGGTGGGGGAAGTGGATTTCCTCAGCAAACCTTTCGTAGCCTTTGTCCGCCTGGCCCAGGCTACAACGCTGGGCGGTCTCACCGAGGTCCCCGTTCCCACCAGGTGAAATCATTAGCGGCCTTTTGCTTCTTCGCCTCCACACAACAAAGGCCTCTTTCAGAGACACCTGGCCTCCCAGAACAAGCCTCACATTACCATTGTATTCTCATTACCACACAGATTCTTGTTTATTCTCCTGGGACCGCACGGGAAAGCCAAGTCATATAATGAGATTGGCCGAGCCATTGCAACCCTAATGGTGGATGACGTAAGTGCCATTGTTTATTTAAATACGCCTTTATTTTTTCCGTGACATGCTTTCTTTATCAGACGGTACGCTCTGACGCTTTCTAGCTCAACCAGTGGGAAGAGAACGTGTAATTTACAGTAGCGGAGTCGAAGCTGACATGTTTGTGCGCAGTGCTTGGATGGATTCTGTGAGCGATGCTGATTGCTGAGCATCAGTTAGGAGCACGGCGTCTGCTGGGATAATGAGTCACCCGTGGCTCGTCGTTGGGACTGTGTTTTTAAATAGCAAATGCAAGTAGTAAAGAAATAATAGGCTGTTATTTTAGCCTGCCAAAGATTTGCGCAAACTTACGTACTTACTGGCATCCATTGGGAGTTCTAACTGACTTGCCGTGGACCTGCGGTCCAGCATGTCGACATTGTCAGTGGGGTCAATTTAGCATGTCGACATTTGCTTTGTGGCCCGACTGAGCCGCTTTTGTTTGTTGTCTGAACATGAATGTTAGTATACATGAATATACACTAATGCTACATTCATGTTCATGTATACTGTGGGTGAGTGGGCAGCACGGTCGTCCTCCAATCAGAGGGTTGTCGGTTCGATCCCAGGCCCGGCTAACCCGCATGTCGTTGTGTCCTTGGGCAAGACACTTAACCCAACATTGTTCCTGTAGCTGCGACTACAGTGTGTGATTGTTGTTGACTGATGGGCAGGTGTCACTGTGTATGGTTCTCCTGTCATCAGTGTGTGAATGGGTGTGAATGGGTGAATGATGTCATGTAGTGTTAAAGCCCTTTGAGTGGTCGGAAGACTAGAAAAGCGCTATAAAAGTACAGTCCATTTACCATTTAATGCCTTTCCTCATCTGAATGTGCCCACAAAGTAGCTCTGGCTAAAGAGGCCGAAAACCAGACATTTTAACACTGGCTATAATTGTAAAACATTTATCAGACAATATGGTCCCAATAGGTGGCCACTTTATCATTTAAGAAAGACATTAACTAAATCCTATGTGCAGTTATAAACTGGATTTAGGTCCATTTAGAAGCCCAGCAGTCAAAACTCCAAGAACATTCATTAACTGTTCTGAAGAATAGACTTAAGAAGCTCTGTGGGAGTCATTGAAGGTACCACATAGCTCCCCCTTGCTGCAGATACCTGCTGCTTTTAATTTGAAAAGTTTCACTCTGATGTTCCGTTCATTTTGGATGTCTTTGCAGCACGCAGTGACTATTTAGAAAGATTGGAACTCGACAAAATCCCAATATATTACCAATAAAAATCCCTTGATTATGCTCCTGTGCACAATGTTTCTAGGGCGCGATTTGTCACTTACTAAAGGAGTTCTTTCTAATGTAGCCGAATGAGGTCAAAATGTCAGTACAGCTTCAGAGGCCATCAAAGATAGTAAAGAGTCAAATCCTGTTATCAGAGCACTACATGGAGGGACGACATAGATTGTTATCGCCTCGGCATAAGCTAATTGAAATGGAGAAATCCTCTCGCTTTATCTCTCCATCTGCCAGCTCTTCAGCGATGTAGCTTACAAGGCCAGAGACCGCGAGGACCTCATCGCGGGCATAGACGAGTTTTTGGATGAAGTGATTGTGCTGCCGCCTGGAGAATGGGATCCCAAAATTCGCATTGAGCCGCCCAAGAAAGTCCCAACGGCTGACAAAAGGTTTGAGAGTTTTTTAATCCACATCTGCGATTCACATTAAGCAGCTTGGCCTGAAGCACAATGAGCTGCATTTAATCAGCAAGTAGCCTGCAGCTCAAGATTTAAAAAAAAAAACTCCAATACAACACTGATAACTTCATGGAGAACCCCTTCAATAATATTTTCTCATGTATTTTTGTGTAGGAAATCTGTGTTTTCCTTAAACGAGTTGGGGCAGGGGAACGGTGCAGCCGGAGGAGGAGGAGGCCAGTCAGAAGACGAGGAGATGCCGCCGCAACACGAGCTTGGAGAAGAGCTGGCATTCACTGGACGGTAGGTAGTCCAGGCGACACGATGGGCCGTGGAGAGGTTTGGGATTGAGCTTTCCCTGACTCTGGCGAATGGAAATTAAATGATTTTAACACTTTATTTGATGACAGAAAGAATAATCTTGGGTCACTGCTGCCGGTTCTATAGTGCTGTGCCTAAAACAACACACTCATCTGCATCTAACGCTGCGATCCATCGCGTTTTCTTCCGTTTACATTAGCTTCTGTGGTGGTCTGTACCTGGACATAAAGCGGAAGTTGCCGTGGGTGCCCAGCGATATCTATGAGGGTTTCCACCTACAGTCCATCTCCGCGGTGCTCTTCATCTACTTGGGCTGCATCACCAACGCCATAACCTTCGGGGGGCTGCTGGGAGATGCTACCGACAACTACCAGGTACTTGTTTTCTTGGATGAGAGCAGACACTTCCTGTAGTCTCGTGGTCTATGTTGAGTTTGTCAGGCATCCAGTAAAGACTCCAGGAAGTCACTGCTCCTAAGCAGCATGCATCCGGCTGTAAATTGGCTTTGACCTTTTAAAGCATGTTTTTTTCTACTGTCGGGTCACTTGTGAGCTTCGTGGACGCCGGCCGGCTGTCTCTCTAACCCTTGGACAGACTTCCGTCTGCTCCACGGGCTTTTTATTCATTTGCATTGCTGTAAGAGGACCGTTGCACTTCCCATCTAACTGTCACCAAGAAAGGAGATAAGCATATTTCAGAAAATTATTTCAGCCATCTGAATGTGTTTGCATATTTGAACAATTAAGAAATACTACAAGACTTCACCATTAATTCAATTTAAATTTCTCATTCCTAAAATGGTGATGCTATTTACTCTTGAAATGAGCCTCTTTCCCCTGACAGAGAGTCTCTGGCTTCATGAATAAGCCCCGGGCTCCACTGAACCGTGACGTCTGAGCATATTTAGCTCATTGTTGTTTTGCATCAGATGAGATCAGGTCTCCCTTTTCCTATTCCTGCATCAATACCTTATCCCCAATGCAAGCATCACACTCGCAGAAGCCCAGAGGAATAATTTCAGATAACTGCTTTGACATACGTTCACTCCTCTCCCCATCAGAACATGTCCGATGCACTAACACACCGCTGACACTTCCGCCTCTCGACCCCCAACGCACACACAAAAACATTTTATTTTTATTTTTCCAACAGGGTGTGATGGAGAGTTTCCTGGGAACAGCTCTTGCTGGCTCTGTCTTCTGCCTCTTCAGCGGTCAGCCCCTCATCATCCTCAGTTCCACTGGACCCATCCTCATCTTTGAAAAGCTCCTGTTTGAATTCAGCAAGTGAGCTTTTTGAGAGCCAAATGATCTTTCAGCAGACGCACAAAGTGGGAACACTGAGTACTGTACTTACTAGTACTGTTAACACGCTTTTATGAACAAAAAACAATACTGAATCCGCTCCACAATGTATGACCCCATCTTTTTTTTAAAATGATACCAGTTATTATAGTCTAGAAAAGGTAAGTTTTTCCTGTTTTTATTCCCCTAAGGTTAATATTTAAAACACATTCCCTGGCGGTCGGTATTGTAAAGTGAACAAAACTGCTGTAACCGCTTCGCTATTTAGTCTAAAAAGTTGCGACTAAAAGGAAGAAACTGTTTAAAGATGATAAATACATATATGTATATGAGCAGGGACTAAGTCATGCCAAACTATTGTGTAATGAAACTCCTCCATGCACATATGCTGCTCCCTATGTGACTGTATGGTGCCCAATGACTTAGTGCTGTGAGCTGTAGGCTCTACGTTTGTTAAATCATCTTCCTCTTCCGCGGTCATAGATATCCGTACCGATATATTCCTGTCACTTACATACACAAACGTCCTTCATCGATTCACGATGCTTCTCTGACTTCTCGTCCCCGAAAGGAGCAACGGCATAGATTACATGGAGCTCCGTCTGTGGATCGGCATGCACTCCTGCCTGCAGTGTTTCATCCTGGTTGCTACAGATGCCAGTTTCATCATTAAATACATGACGCGCTTCACCGAGGAGGGCTTCTCCAGCCTCATCTCCTTTATCTTCATCTCTGACGCCATCAAGAAGATGGTGGGCTCCTTCAAATATTACCCCATCAACACCGACTTTAAGCCTGACTACGTCACTACGTACAAGTGTGAATGCTTGGCTCCGGACCTGAGTGAGTTCACCCCTTGGCTCAGGAGGTCGCAGGTTGGGGGGGGGGCTTGTCCACTGGGTAGCGGTATGGCTGCTAAGTGGCTCTTTTTGTCAAATTACCGAGTTAGCAAGAATGCTGATTGATCAAGAAATAGTAGTGATCTGAGAAATATGTTGTCATCGGTGAAGCCGTGCTTTTTCAAATAATATTCGGTCGCCGTACTTTAAAATGTATTATTCAGTACATATCTTCTGTTCAAATATATCATTTTTGTGTTTGTAAAAAGATACATTTTGTCAAACTCAACTTGAATTATTTCTATTGATTCATTCACAGATGTCGCCTCATCTGTTTAAAAAATGACATTGATTTTCAGTCATTTTTGCAAACATTCATTTCTGTAACTGACTTGTCTCTTGTCTCTTTTTGCCATGCACAAACAATTTGGCTACCATCTCTTGGAAGTGAGTACCTCTTTGTTTGTCTGCATGAGCCTCGGAGTGTTCTCTCTGCAGCCGCTGGATTCTCATTCTGTTTTGCCTTTTTCTTTTCTTCCTGTTGTTTACCTCCCCCCGTCCCCGCCCCCTCTCCATTCACTGTCTCATTACCTCCCTGCCTCTGCTTGTCCCTCTCCCATTCATAAACAGTGGCTGCAATGATCTTCAATGGTTTAGTTCCAATACCAGATAACAGCTCTAGTGTCTCTGGGGTAAGTACTTGTTTCTCCTTTTCATCTTGTTGCCTCTACATACAAACCTTGTCTCCTACAAAAATGAACCACATTTCAAAGGGAAGAGTCATTTGACGTAAATAGCTTATTATATAGGAAATAAAAAAGGCAACAAAAGTACTTCACACAGGGCACAAACAACCATCTTCTGGGTTGAAGACATAAGTCTTGTGATCCGTCCATCACTCCGACCTCGTCCTTCCAGGGACCTTATTTGGGATTCGTCAAAAAATAAACCGAATCCGCCAAAGCCTCGAAACTCAATTCACAACGCGATTCCGTTTTATGAGAAATAGATTAGATAACAGCTTTTGGAGGCAGAGATGCTAATTTGTCGCATTGTGTCTCGAGCTGGAGGTTTAAAGGGTCGGAAATATCAGCTTTTCCCAGAATGAATGACTGGTGTTGTATTTAAGCCCATAAAATGGCAATGCTAGAAAAGAGCCACCTGTTTTGTTTACAGCCAAACTAAGTATTATCAAGTCTGTCTGGATAAAGAAGTCGCTTTATTCTCCTGTTTCTTCCCTTTGTCTGTTTCTTTCATCCAACCCGTCGTATCGTCTCACTCTGGACGACAACCTCGCGTCTGCGATGACAATGTTCGCTCTGTCTCTGTGCAAATTTTCCGTGTCAAAACGCTTCACTCTTCTTCATCCTCTCCTGTCTCCCCACCAACGCCAACCACCATCCCAGTCGAATGTGACAGGTTTGGACTGGAGCCAGCTGAGCAAGAAGGAGTGTCTTAAGTACGGAGGCTCTCTGGTGGGAAACACCTGCAAGTTTGTCCCTGATTTGGCCCTCATATCCTTTATTCTCTTCTTTGGCACCTATTCCATGACTGTGAGCCTCAAGAAGTTCAAGTCCAGTCGCTACTTTCCCACCAAGGTGACGAATTGAACAAAATGTATATCGTCTAGTGTTGCAATGTGAGTCAGATTTCACTGTCAGCTGGCAAGATGAACTAAAGTATACTCATTTAGCAAGTTTATCTTAATTATTTATTTGTCTTATTTGACTTTAGCAGCAGGTTTTTGTGTGAGTGGCTCTTGCACAGAGAATATATATATATATATATATATATATATATATATATATATATATATATATATATTCTCAGATTCTCAGATTCAGATTCCTGCAGATTGGCAGGAAGCATATATATATGTATATATATATATATATGCTTCCTGCCAATCTGTGTCTCTGATGACATGTCTTTTTTTCCTCATTGTTTTTTCTCGCTCTCTGTTGACAGCTGCGGAAACTCATCAGTGACTTTTCTATCTTCATGTCCATCATGACGTTTGTGGGGCTTGATATGTTGTTGGGGCTCAAAACTCCCAAGCTAATCGTCCCCACAGAATTTAAGGTACCCATTTTCAAAAAACCTTTCCAAATCATGTAAAATGTGTTAATAAATTGTATAAATTAGCTGCTCTTAATAGTTTTTTGACAACACAAACTAAAGCAAATCATTGACATGTATTTAAATTGTATTTTAGTTGATAAACAAGTGCTTTTCAAGTGATCATACATGCTATAAAGGAATATTTTCAAAATTTGGAAAATACACTTATATAACTTCTTCCGGACAATTAGATGAGAAAATGTATATTGTGGTGATTCCACTCAACACGATTCTGATTTCTGTCTAAAATGTGGACGTCCCTCTGTGTAAACGGTTGAAATTGTGGCCCGTCGTCTCCCACCAGCCAACCCGACCGGGTCGCGGCTGGCTGGTGATGCCGTTCGGTAAGAACCCGTGGTGGGTTTACGTGGCCAGCTCCGTCCCTGCGCTCCTCGTCACCATCCTCATCTTCATGGACCAGCAGATCAGCGCCGTCATTGTCAACCGCAAGGAGAACAAACTCAAGGTAGCGCATATTCGTGGATGATACATATTTATTGCATTATTTAGGATTCGATTGATCAATAAAATGTATTTCTCGGAGAAAGAACATGCCACAGAAACATTCAACACCAGCCATTGCATTTCCCTGGCAGAAAGGCTGTGGGTACCACCTCGACCTGTTCTGGGTGGGCGTCCTGATGGCCGTCTGCTCCTTCCTGGGCCTCCCCTGGTACGTCGCCGCCACCGTCATCTCCATCGCTCACATCGACTCGCTGAAGATGGAGAGCGAGTCGAGCGCTCCGGGAGAGCAGCCTCAGTTCCTCGGGGTCAGGTTGGTCCTCAACGAGCAAGAAACGCAGAATTAAAAAAGGAAATTGTGACTTAATCCCTCGATGGCTTCCGCGGGCAATATCGCAGTATGAGTCACACGCTTTGTTAAGTCCTTTGTAATTGAATATTTGAAAGATAGAAGCCTTGTGAAATTAACTTGACAGTCGCTTGTGTATATTTCCTCAATGTACAATATGCAGAGAACAAAGAATGACAGGCATTTTGGTATTTGCCCTCACTGGAGTCTCCATCTTCCTCGCTCCAGTACTTAAGGTATGAAGTATATAGTGGATGAATCACATCTTTAACCATGTAAACACTTACTTTTGAACAAATGCCTTCATGAAAACGTTTTTTAAGATCAGCTAGATGATAAAACCCCAAAACTTTCAATAGCAAATAAACAAGGGAAGAGGTTGGGTTAAATATGAATGAAACATTTCTTTTTAACTCAAGGTAAATTATAAAAATAAATGTTTACTCATTTATATTTTCGGTCTGTATTTACAGCAGAAAACTGTCAGAATTGTGACTAATAACATGTTTTCTGGCCTTCCTCCTTCCTGTAGTACATCCCCATGCCCGTGCTGTACGGTGTCTTCCTCTACATGGGCGTAGCTTCGCTCAGTGGAATCCAGGTACACTGTGTGCCATGCGGTTCACGTTATCGGAATAAATTGAGTTATTGCGGCTGGACATCTTACTTATAGCATTTCTGACTGCAGGCGGGAAGCGGCTTATTAAAGCTGCCGAGCAAACAAACAAGCAGCCAGGCAGGCGGGATCCGAAGGGTCCTCACACTTAGCAGAATCACAACGAGGGGGGGTTAGTTATAAACTTCCAAATTTAGTAAATGTGCAAATGTGGAATAGATGAGATACATCAAACTCTGGGGTGAATACATGAACTTTACCCGCGGGCGGCTGCACTGAATGCTTCTGAGGGCCATGTGTCTTGTTATAATAACCGATTTCAACAGTAACAATATTACAGATGCATTTTGATGAGTTTTGGCTGCAGCAAATGTTCCTCTGCGAGTTTCCTCTGTGAAGCTGAGCTGCGACGCATACAGCCCCTTTGTGATGAATCATTCATCGAGCTCTGCATGTAATTGACCTGTGCTACTCAGACATTTTTCACCTCCCTCTGTTTGTCTGCTGTTCCTCTGCAGTTCTGGGACAGGATTAAGTTGTACATGATGCCCTCCAAGCACCAGCCCGACTTCCCTTACCTGCGTCATGTTCCTCTGAGGAAGGTCCATCTCTTCACACTGGTCCAGATCGCCTGTCTGGCTGTGCTCTGGACCCTCAAATCCACCTTCTTGGCCATCATCTTCCCGGTTATGGTGCGAGATAAAACACAGCGTTTAATCAATCCAATGCTTTAGTTTTTTCGTGGGTGGAGAAACGAGGGGCTGCTGTTCTTCTTTTAACAGAAGTTTTTTTTAAAGCAGCATCACAAACAGATCATTTGATATGATTTGGGAACGCATTGAAATCCAGCTTGGATGCTTTGTAGATGTTCCATCACCTTGTGATGGTCAGATACAAACACATATCCAGTTTATTTAACAGTTTTAAAGGAATCTCATTTTTTGGATGTTAGTGAATATCAACATAAGAGAGGCATCATGTCACTTTTAAAGAGTCCAACTATTAAAAGAGGAAGTGATCTGAGTGCCCCATCTAGTAGTAATTCATGTTAATTTTATTTGCAAATGCCATCAAGCTAAATCATCATCAGACTATGAATATTAAAACGAGGCTTGTCTCTCAGTGTATCTCCCGTGTTCAACCCTTCAGATACTGGGTCTGATGGTTGTCCGAAAGATGCTGGACATGGTCTTCTCCCAGCACGACCTGGCCTGGATAGACGACCTCCTTCCAGGGAAAGACAAGAAGAAGAAGAAGGATGACGATAAGAAGAAGGGAAAGGAGAAGAAAAAGCCCAAGCTAGACGACAGTGAGGAGGAGGTGAGGAACTCGAGCTTCTGCTGCCCCCCGCAGTAATGACGGGTCATGACACTCTCTGCTGTGCGTCTGTGTTTGTGTGCAGGACAAGTGTCACGCCTACTCCAACCACTCACCCAGCCCAGACTCAGACGTGGATCGCAGGTACTGTGTCCTCAAACTGCACATCCCCTACAAAGATCTTGTCTATCCTGATGTCGCACAGTCTCAGTGGGGAGCCTATTGCCAGGCTGCCGACACACACAGTCCTCTTTGACACGCACACACTCGCACACACTGCGCATGGGGAAAGTTTGTACATGCGCGCGGATTAAAGGCTCAGTTCACACACATTCCAAAAAGAAGAGCAACGTTACAGACCCGTGTGCAATAGAATGTTAAGTGGACGTATGATATCTGACGTCTGGACTCGATCACTCGCAAAACAAACGAAACACCACGTAGAGAGAACAGGAGGCCGCTGATGATAATCAGAGGTGGATGCCAGAAACAAAACATTGATTTTTTTTTTAGTGAGCAGTAAAAGAGCAACCAGAGCACCGTTGATTAAGCACATCGCCGACACATATACACACATATAGACATCATTTGGCTGGGTTTGGACATGAGTGCTTGTGGATGAGCATTGTGTCTCTCAGTAGCAATGCAGATGTGCATCAGAAGCAGCAAAGTAACGTTTGAATAGATTTGCAGAGGAAATTGTGAGCACCGATTTTAAATTCCATTCTCCTCCATTGCAAAGAGGTGACAGCAGAAAATCCATGCGAAGCATACTAAAAGTTAGCAGCTGAAACTCGGGCTTTCTGCTGGGCTCGATACCACTGCGGGGAAGATGTAATATGTTTTTTGGTTTTGTAGTGAACTGTCAAAAATGACCCCAAATCGGCACACTTTAACTGAACTGGCTTAAAAGCCTAAAATATTGATCACAGCAAACACAGAGGCAGACAATTGAGCTTGAAAGTCCATAAAAGCTCTTCTTTTGACGTGATATTGTAAAGCGTTGTATGTTGGTGCTGTTTACTTCCAAATCAATGAAGTGCTTTGTTGCAGGTCATCAAACAACACAATGCCGTTGTTACTTTTCGATGCATTCATCCATTGTCACGTGTTAAGAATAAATATGAATTAAGAAAATGGTCAGGTTTGTGCATGTACAATTGCAGAGAGATTATTTGCACATACATATGTTGGGTGCAAATAATCTCTCTGCAATTCATAGTCCAGTTTCCCCAAGTTGTCCTCTACATGCACTTTAAGGCAATGCAGATCATTGTACACTGTACACCTCAGCATACTGCCGTTCTTCATTGATGTCTGTTTTTAGTTTGTAGTGACTTTGAACATCTGGAATGCACGCAGTAGACTTTGCTCTGTGCCTCACAGCCATTGGTCAGGGTTCTCTGTTCGGATTCACATACATGGATTTTAAATAGATGAATGAATAGTGTGTGGTATATTGAGCCTGTTGTATATCTAAAGGATTTATGTCAGGCTAGTTTGTACACAAATGCATAATAATCAACATGCAACAAGCATCGTTTGTTTTGGTTGTTTCTTTTTCCTCCATGTGATGAATCACTTGAGCAAATCAGTCCATGAAGCTCACGTTCACATGTGAAATGTAGCCTGACGTAGAATGTTTACGCTCTGAACTGGTGACTTTTTTTGTCCCATAGACCGTTTTTTTCCCCCCCATTTTGGAAGATTTTCAAAACTGTGCTTCATGTCTGCATTGCTTTGAAGAAGCATGGTTTGGAATTGAAAACGTAATTTATTATTGATTATATGAACTTGTTTTGCAAAATGTTGTCATCTGTGGATAAGGATGAAAAAAAATATAACTATGTGATTATCTTTTATGCTTTTAAAAACTGCTTTGAATGCATTTCTACCACCTAACCTTACAAATCCATCTGTTTTAAACCGTTAAAGACGACGCCTTCGAATGAGGTTCTGCAATCCGTAATTTGTTGAAAAAAAACGTCACAACATGTACCGACCTAAACAGTGTGGCAGTGTTAGGTTGAATACAAATATGCATAAAGGGACACTTCAAAGTGTTTTGTCTTGTGAATTATTGAAGTTCTTGGATTTTTTTTAAGCACGATTTCCTCATTTAATAGTGTAGTTACTTAGTCAAGATACTTTAGGTTACATGTTTCTTTAATCCGTAGTTACATGTTAATATGAGGGCCCTGCGTTTACTTTTGGAATCAGAACATAAAAAGAAAGCTCCTTTGCAAAGGAGGCCTCCACCCCCCCCCCCCCACCACCACCCACCTTCCCCTCCCTCAGCGTCTCGTTGATCTTGTCTGTGGGTTTCGTGGTGGTAACCGGCGCTTGCCCTTCCTCAGCATCACCCTCCACCTGAAGATCTCCTGCCCGTCGTCTCCGTCCGTGCCCATGGGCCGAGGAATGTCCTGCCCCGTGCCCCAGGTCAAAATCGAGATGGAGTCGGACTACGACTCAGACAGCGACCACCACCGCCCTCGGGACATTAGCAGCGAGACCACGTTATGAAGCTCAGACTCTACACGTCTTTGTTGACAGAACAACGCACAACACAAAAGTGTGGGCCGATTACACAGCGCGGCCAGTGCTGACCCGCGGCGACGCCGGCTGCGAGCAAGCTGACCCCCGAACGGACCGACTGAAGTTGGACTGATCACTGCAGCTTCGTTGGCTTTTAAACTGGTGCAGCTTTGACAGATTTTGCTTTGAATAATATATTGAATATATTTATTTGTTTATTTGTATAATGTAAATGGCCGTAATAACAGAGTACATCTATATTTGTTTGCGCTATATAGGATTATGTAGTAAATGTGCTAATAAGGATACAAATTAGCTGTATGATGATATTGTACTATCGTTTCAGATCAGTGTGTGTGTACAGGGTTTTACTTTGAGGCAGGAGATGTGAAAACAGGCTCCATCTTAGTAACAGTAGCATATTAGTGTTTTGGTATTTATTTGATTGTGCTGTTGTTTGCCTCTGAACCCAGACAACCAACTGTCCTTTCCCTGTCTCCCCCCCAGTTCTACACATTAACCCTGGAACAAAAAGAAACAACCAAAAACTCCTGATGTTGTTGAAATGGATCGATTTATTAGGAACGCAATAGCAAATGGGTGTGTACTTTTGTTTTTATTCTCAAAGACTCTGTATGAGAACATAATTAACTTGAACCACAACACTTCATGCTTATGTCAATAAGAGGAAATTGACGGACATCATTTATGTAATTAAAATAGTTACTCTAAAGCATGTGGTTTGTCTTGTGTTGAACACAGTGACTTAAATACACGTCACCGCAAAAGCGAGTTCGCTTTCACACCAAAATGAAACGCAGTTGGTCGAAGTCATCACCTAATTAAGTGGAACGGGCGTTGACCGGATCATGTGACCAATCCACCCACCACTTCTTAATCATCTTCATCTTATACCGAGGTTTAAGGCCTCGGTTGTGCTTTCCTTAAGGATCGTCACATGGAGGCGGATTGTGTCTTTTTTTTATTTTTTTTTACAAATCCCTGAGTGCAAACCGGAATTCTAGAAGCTTCTGCAAAGTTTTCTGAGAAACGGAGCAGTGGAGCACTGTGGTATGGATACGAACGAAACAGGGACTTACTCATTTAAAGAATTCTGAATGCTTCAACAATCCCCGACCTCATGTGTTCATGTAAAAGAAAGTGTTTAGTAAAGAAAGAGATCAATTCAGAATCGTGTATCTCCCATTATGTATTCTTAGGCACAATTGTGTAGTACAATCAAACTGTTTATGAACAAAGGGGCTTGACCGGAATGGACTTTTGATTAATATTGGAGTAATACTTACAGAGAACCATTATCAATAGTACAAATAATAAATATCAATATTATTCCAATTTGGAACACCATCAAAATGTGCCATTTTCATTTACTCCACAACATTGACAAACAAATCATTTTTCAAAAATGATTAGACATTTTTTAAATTAAGAATTTCAAAGTGGCTTATTTCAAATCCTGTAGTGTTACTAGCAAAAGTCAATAGCAGCGTCACGTCAACACACAAAAAGAGTTCAACGGAGCGTCCGAGTGTTTGGTAAACCCGTCGGCGAAGCCCTCCCCTTCCACCAGCGCCGGCCTCCCGTTGCACATGGGGCACAGTTTGTTGCGTTCCTGTGAAGCTCTCATCCAGATGATGAGGTTCCAGCGCTGGCCGGAGGAGATGGGCAGGGCCCCGTGCATGTGTTGGCCCCGGTGGAGGAGACCCTCGGTCACCTTGTGTTGAACCTCTGAACACTCCATCTCACTTAAAGGCACCTGCAGGAGGATACAACCACTGACATTAGACACATTTTAGCTGTTTGGTTTAAAAATAGCAAAAGAGAAAGAAAAAAAAAAAAAGGGGTTTGTTGTTGCAATACTCATTTTATCCACACGAGGCGGAAACAAACCAAAAGTATTGAACTGGTTTTGTCCCAGGTGATTTCTAATCTAACGGCCAACACACCATATCATTATGTTACTAATGTTTAGAGTTACACTGGTTTCCCAAGAGAAAGAAAAGTTGTCCCGCAAAACCGGTTTTCACCTGCTATAAAGTCATGAAAATGTAGAGAAAACTATTCAATCAGATGTTTTTCTCCTTTGCATTTTAGAGCTTTGGTACAAATAACCTAGACTATGCAAGGCATGGTTATCTCCAAAAGAGTATATTTCACACTGCTACATGTAGAAGTGGTGGTTGTATGTATGCTAGTGTATGTTAATAATAAAAGTAGCAGTAGTAATTGTATAAGTTATTATTAGTGTGGTATTACACCCATATGTTTACCTGTCTCATGTCACCAAAATAAAGGTTTCCCTCTGTGAAGTCCTTGCCCAGGGAAACATTCAGGGTGACCTCTGCATTGTCGTAATGGTAGCTCAGGTCCAGGTCTTCGGTCATGTCATATTTAACGACAAAGGCTTTGTGGCTGTCCAGACAGCGTCCTCCGCAGTCCGGGAACAGAAGGGAGGTGAGCGGCTGCAGGTAGAGCTCACGCAGGGGTGTGATGAAGCCCTCGTCAAAACCCAGTTCATTGAGGAGGATCTGGAAGAGAAAATTGATGAATATCATAAGTAATGGAGCGTATCACTCATGTTTTATTCCCTGATCTCCTTTTAGGACTATACATATTTAAGTTAGACCTCTTTCATGGATTCAACATTCACAGAGTTCTACATATTTCATGGATGAAGGACAACAACAGGCCAAAGATCCAAAGGTCACAGCAAACGAAGGATGAAATGTGAATGATTGAGCAAGGTGAAATGGTGCTTTAAGGGGTTTGAGCCTGTAGGGACACATACGTTACCCCATAATGGTTCATGGTGTTGGGTCTTCCTTTCGGGGCGGAGGAATGCTCAAAGTGCTCCAGCTCCTCCACCAGGTCCTCACAGAAGCTTTTGTCAAACACCGGGAAGCGATAAACCCTTGCAGCTTCAACAGAAATATTCAAGTCACTGCAAAATTTCCTTAGCTTCGGGTAAAACGGTTACAGTTCACGCTGGTATGAGGTATAATTTTATAAAAGCACATCATTTTAGGTTTAAAGGAAAGATATGCATGCGCGCATCAAGGGTTTTGCATGTTGAAACTTATGTGAAGTGAGACAATTATTACATACTTTGAAATGTCTGAATACTTCTGAAACATTTAACTACTTTGTTTGATGTTTTTTCTTGCCATCTGTAACCACTCAGAGTAGCACAGCTACTCTTTGACGGCACCCAAAGAGTAAAGAATACTAAGGATCAATATTTAGCATTTAACGTGAGCTGCTACTTTTCATTTAACATTCGCCACCTAGAGGAAATGAAAGCACTTTCCAGCTTACCGGCCTCTCCCTTCAACATATCTCCGAGACCTTCTTCACTCACGTCGCAGCTTCGACAATAATCAACAATTTGCTTAAACTTTGGTGCGAGGAAGGACTCCTGAGGGGAGAGGGGTGTGAGTGTGTCTCAGCGAGCTGTTGTTAACACATTGTTATTGAGGCCATGGTAGCGGCGTGATGCAGAAAGTACCTGCAGATGGTAGACATGAGGACGGAGAGGCTGGTACATGTCTTTAATAGCAAGGGCCCTCTCCGCAGAAGTCACACTGAGACGCCTCCGCCTGTCCACTTCCTGTGAAATCTAAATGGAGCAGTCGTACAGTTAAGGCAGGTGATCAAAAATAATATTTCGTTTTTTAATCTTCAATACATCCTGACATCTATTTGAAACGAGACGGGAAGAAAACTATCACGCAGCCTCCAACTAGATGATTATGAGCATTTCAGTCAGAAAGATAACTTACAAAGTGATCAAATAATAAAAAAAATTAAAAAAATGCCGAATATCACCTGGTGGAGCACCTCCTCAAACTGTTGATCCGTCACGCAGCCACGCTGTCGAAGAAGCTGCGTGGCAACAATTAAACAGAGAATACGCACATGTCACAAGACGTTACAAACCCTAAGTGTCCCTGCTGATATTATGGGATGCACTCACCGGTTGGTGGTCCAGTCTGAATTGCTGCTCGGACACAAAGCGGACGTGCAGTTTGTAGTCGTCCAGGTAGATATTGTCAGTGGTGAAACAGTTGCAGGTGTAAAACCGGCGACTTCCGTCTTCCGTGTTCGTCATAACTACTTGTTAACTGACACACAGGCGTATAATCGAAGTATTAGTACCATCGAGGCTGTTTACTAACAAGCGAGTGTGGTAAATGGGAAAAGACGTATATCACTTCCGGTTCAAAGTTCAATAATTAAAGTTTCATGTCCACAAATCAAAAATTGACGAGCAATTCTATTTTGTCTGACTATTTTTACAGCTCAACAAAAATAGGATCTATTCACATCATACTTTAATTTGAACTCATTCTGATACTATTACTATTATTATGATTATTATTATTGCCAAATTGGGTAGCTGTAGTTACAAACTGTGGCCACTAGGTGGCAGACACGCGCTGTTCAAAATAATCCACCCTAATTATAACTTTATTTCTGGCCTATTACTGTGTCAGGTGGCATCATTCAGAAGTAGGGGACACACTTATTGAGACACACTCACCATGTTACTTAAAAACAAGACAAAGGTCCCAATGATTCTCCCCATTTTCTCAAACGGCTGGCATGAAGGAGGCGTAGTTGACCGTAGGTGGCGCTAATTCGAAAGGATGGACACAAACTACCTCAACCCAAACGTAGAAGAAGAGAAAGGAAACAACAAGCCTTGCAGCTAAATCCCGAGTGATTTTATTGCGGATTATTTTTAATGTACCTTCTTTAGGAGGAGCTAGCACAGCTGGTAAAACATGCCGATTGGCAGTTAACATATTTTCGCTCATCGAAAACACAAAAGGTGTCTATTGTACTACTTTATAAAGTCTAGGCGGAAATGTTAAGCGTGGAGTCGTTGCAAGTGGTTGAGGAAGAGGTGGTTGAATCCAGCTCCAATAAACTCGGTGACATTTACACTTTTGTGGCCAAGGGCTGCTTTCCTCAGACGATGAATCCGTTACGAAAGAAGAATCTTAAACGATACGCCCAGAAATTTGTAATTGATGGTAAGGTTTATTTTGAAACCTTAAAAATAACACTTGACATTGCACTGCTATCCATTCAACGTGCACTGACGCACATTTCAAAAATGTGCCAATTTCACGTCGCTTTTCCTATTATCAAGTGTCGCTTTTCCTCTTATCAAGTGTCTACCATGTAAATGATACATGCATCTGTATTTCTACCATCAAGATAAACAAGTCAAAATGAAATGCTCCCTTTTTTAACTTGATTGTGGTGGGAGGTTCCCTGCATTCACAAGTCAGAGCACCAAAAGAGTTTCACGTCATGTCCAACTTCTCATTCCTTTCTACATCCGAGAGGGCAAACTGTACTACGTGGGACCCAAGAAAGAAGAGAAGAGGGAGGTGGTGATCGAGGCGGAGCGAAAGAGGCAGGTATTTCTCGACTGCCACTTTAATGACATCGGTCATCACCTGGGCCAGAAGAAGACTGTCCACAGGATCCAGAGCAAGTACTACTGGCTGGGGATCATCAAGGACGTAGTGGACTGGGTGCGTGCATCGAACACTGGTTCGTTAACATCGAAAGAGACGCGGCGATAATAACGTTCAACCTTTCGCTGTTTCAGATAAAAGTATGCGAGACATGTCAGCACACCGAGAGGAATAAAAACCTGGCCAGGACCGTTCGGCCCATCAAAGTGGACGCACCTTGGGACATCGTTGGGATTGACATAACGGGTTTGCGCCTCATTTCATTTGATTCTATTTTTTTGTTCTGTGCCATTTCGCTCCACACTTTGCGACCTGCATCCTGTTGTCTCTCATTACCAGGGCCTTTCCCGGAGACGCAGCAAGGCAACACCAGTGTTACACTCCTCATTGATTATTTCAGTAAATGGCCAGAAGCTTTTCCAGTTCAAAAGACAGATGCTCTCTCTGTTGCTAAATGTATTTCCAAATGCATATACAGGTAAGCATTTTATATAATCATAACGATCACGTTTATAGTTTTTATCAATATAATTTTAATCTGTTGATTTATTTCTTGCTCAATTTTTTTTAACCTTGAATATAATTTATTCTCTGTTTAATCAGGTTTGGTGCCCCTAAAACAATAGTGTGCACACAGAATGTCGACTTCTGTGATGAGGTGAGATTGTGAGTCACAAAGTCAGTTACAAAAAAACGCTGCTGTGGACCAGTTTTTATCAGTTCCTGTATTGGTGATTTCCAGGTGACAAGGCTGCTGTGCGGCAGGTGGAGCATCGTGCAGAAGGTGTCTCCTCTGGATCAACCTCAGCTCAACCCGTTCCACGACTGCACGAGTCCTTTACTGAAGGAGGCCATTTTGCAGATGGTAACCGAGAAGCAGACGGAATGGGACGACTTCCTGGACCCGGTGCTGTTTGTCTTCAGGACGTCCGCCAACCCCACGACCAAGTTCAGCCCTTACTCCCTCATGTTCAACAGGAAGGTTAATTTACCCGACGAGGTAGGCCTGCATTGTCTAGAGGATGAATACATATAACTCAGCAGCTTGTTTCTGCTTACTGATTTGACTTTGTTTGCTCCAGAATACCTTGAGTCTGCTCAATTACGACGAGCAGGAGCAGGATACGTATTCCACAAAGGAGAAGGCCTCGGCATATATGACGATAATGCAGGAGCAGCAGAACTCTGTGAAGCAACTGGTAATTGTTTAGTCTTACTTTATTACGATGGATGGTGGCGGTGTAGCTTGTTCTGTGTTTGTTGGTCCGATTGTCACGTGCACTTCATCCACTGCTTCGAGGGTTTTGCCCAAAATATCAGTGATGATGATTCTCGCCGCTGTGTCGTTAAATGCCCCATGAAATAAGGGGATACTTTCTTCCTGCTTACTAAAGCATGCTGCCTTTCTTTCTTTCAATTAGCTCATATAGACTACGTGTCCGTCACCATTTTCGTTTTTATCTGTTGCCAACTTGGCTTCAGGAAATGTTGACAATATTCTTTCATGAAGTGAAAACAGACATTGAAAGCTTTAATGATGTCAGAAGACAACACCAGGGACAACGCCCGGAATGAATAACGCCACGGTAACGACCTGTCAATCACAAGTTTCCGGGCGCTAAAGTATTTGCCTCAGCTGGTGGTATTTAAATGACTAAAGGGCTTCAAATGTTGAAAAGAAAAGGCTAACTGTGAATATTGATTTCCCTACAAAGAAACTGAGTTCTTGGTTTACTGGCTCCCTTTCGTATTGTGTAGGATATATTTATTGTTTATGTCCCCAAGACACAGCACTTAATATGTATCGTGACACATTGAAGTTTTGTGATCACGGTCACATTTATTTAATGACACAACACCGACACACCGTTAATACTGGCATTACTCATCTGTTATGCAACAACAAACTGATTGTGTTTCTTCCACCTCCAGGTGATGGCCAATATGAACGCTGCCTACAAACAAGAGAAGAAAAAGAACACCAAGCGGAGAACACACAACATGCGCTCGGTGACTTTTAAAATCGCAGATCCTTCTTTCTGTGCAGGAGACTCGCCCTCCCCAAAGAAACTGAAAGACAGTATATATTTATCTTTTCCTGTTGAGACTGTGCTGGCCACCGAGCAAAGCAGCTCAGAGGACATGAAGACTGAGTTAGAATATCACTTGGCTGAGTCCGATGTCCACTGAGGACGACTGGACGGATCAGGGGAGCTCGACGATGTGTTGTTGTGATAAAGCAAGCTGAAGTATCGAACAGGGGATAGAAATCCAGATGTTGGTGAGCTGAGTTTGTATCGCCGCTGACGCTCCTGTCTGTTAGTTGATGCTCCACTGGTGATGAGAATCAGAATATATATACCTAAAATGTATCTAAAGCATTTGTTAAAACCAGAAACCCTTGTGATCACACCATTAAAAGACATCACTCCCTCTGAAACTGACACTTTTCACTCAGTAATGTGGCAGATTTACGCTTATTTTTAGAGAATTACTGTTAGCAAGCAGATGAATGAGTAAAACAGTGACACGAAGGGAAACTTTCAAAAAGATATGGTCACATCATTGTCGTCAAAGACCTTTGAGTTAGCGTTTGTTCAGTTAGCAACCACCTCTCCACAGATGTTTTCTCCTGTGTTAATCACAGAGTCACTCACTAGCGTGGGCTCTTCTCATGTGAACCAACAAGCCAATATTATTCATGAAATCTCTCCCACAAGTTCTGCAGGATTATTCATGATTCTCCACTGCGTGGCTTCTCATGTGGCTCTTCAATGAGGAGCCCCAAACTAATGTTTTCCCACATGTTTCGCAGGCCTCTCCCGTGTGTGCATTTTCTTATGTCTTATCAATGCCGAAACATCCGCGAATACTTTCCCGCAGGTATTGCAGAGGTAGGATTTCTCACCCATGTGGGTTCACATATGGACTGTCTTGTCCCTGCTACGGTTGAAACTCTTCACGCATTTTCCACACGCGTCACATTTGTTGGTCTGTTCATCTGTGAGAGTAACATGGTGACTAGCCAGAATCTGCTGTTGTGACTCTTTGTTTGATGTTAAACTTTGTTTCACTCCTTTCTGATCTTGTCTATCAGATTCTTGAGTGTCATTTGGTTCTGGTACCACAAAACGTTCAGTCTATTTCCTCAACTAACCAGCTGGTACACGTGCTAGCTGGAGGCTCTGTCTCTGATTCACTCTGACTTCTGTCAGGATTCAAAAACGGAGTCTCATCATCACTGTGATCAGTTTCCTCACTAGTGGGAGTCAACGTAAAGGTGTCGGCCTCCTGCTTCGGTTCAAGCTGCTCTCCCTCCTGACTGCTGCACAGTTCCTCCTGTTCCTCTTTCATGATTCACACTATAAAGTTCTGACTGGAGACCTCAGTCACAATAAGGTTCCGCTTGCTATTTTGCGTACAGGTCTTCTTTAAATTTGATTGGCGGGTCGATCAAACTTGAATAGATGCATATCATCACCTAAAGCACCAGAGTGTGCAGGTTCAGGGTGACAGTTTCCTCACTGTCTGAGACTAAACACCACCTACTATCAACTAAATCCTACAGCTCAATATTATTTCTTGGGGAGCTTTTTGGTATTTATTTTGGCTATTTCAAAAAATGAAACAAAAACACGTATGCAGGATAAAATCATGAGTGAACATCACTTGAGGATTTATCAGTTTAAGAGATAAATATTTTTTATTTGCTGGAAATTTTGTCAGAATGAAAATTTCTTCAGATAGAGAAATAGTATGAATTCTTATATGAGACTCATGTGTTTCTGAATGAGCTGTCTCACGAGGGGCTAACATTTCAACGATGTAGCTCAGAGCCAAAACCAGACGTGCTTTAAAGATGATCAATGAAGTCAATTTTAAAACTAACAAGAAGCCAGGGGAGAGATCGTTTTCCCGGGCCTTGTAACTTTTATTAGAGTGTCAAGTGTTGATCTACCTTAAGGAAAACCATCCTCTGATTTATTTAGCGAGCCCATTTGTTCTAAAAAAGGCAGGATGAAATCAAGAGTGGACACCACCTGAGGGTTTATCAGTTTAGGGAATCAATCAACTTCATTTGCAAGAGATTTTTTAAGATTGACAATAGTTTTTTTTAGGGTTTGGGTTAGGTTTATTCATTTAATAATAATAACTTTATTTATATAGCACCTTTAAAAAACTGTGTTTACAGAGAAGTAGACATAGTTATACATAACGTCAATACAGGTAAACATTTCAGAAAATACAGAAGGCAAAAGGGATCATGCCATATTGAAAATGAACACAACAGCAACAAGCACAGAAGACCAAAAAGAATACATACATATGTTTATATCTATATAGATATATACACACACATATATAGACGTCAGACAAACTAAATTAACAGAACCATAAAACTTTATAAAAAGGCCATCTCTAATGGCAAAAGCACGGTCACCGTTTGATTTAAGCCTCGCTTTTGGATCGGCCAAGCTGGAGGATCTAAGGCGGCTGCGAGCTGGCTCATGTGGGGCTAACATTTCAACAATGTAGCTCGGGCCCAGACCCAGACGTGCTTTATCGGTGATCAATTAAATCTTAAAGTCAATTTTAAAACTAACAAGAAGCCAGTGGAGAGAGACCAGGACTGGAGTAATGCAATGCCGTCTGATACAACCAGTCAGAAGCCTGGCTGCTGCATTCTGGATTAGTTGGAGAAGGGAAATAGATTTTTGGTTCATGCCGAATAGGAGGGAGTTGCAGTAGTCTAGTTGGGAGAGAATTAGTGTATGCATGACTTTTTCCAGGTCTGAGTATCATAGCAAGGTTTTTTTTTGAGATCTTAGTTGAAGGGGGAATGAAAAAAAAATTTGATCGGTGATTTTAAGTTTAATTGATGAGTGAACGTTTTTCCAGTCAGGATTCGGCTAGATGGTTACGCCTGTCAGAAGAGGAGTTACTAAGCATGACTTTTGACCGCCCTAATAGAACGCTTCAACGCCTTTCTAATCTTGGATATTGCTCAGAATTAAACTCACAGGAGTTGCATCTATAACGTTTCATCCTTGTGGCTTCTTCTCATGTGCACATTTAAGTTACTAGAACTTCTGAAACCGCTTTTACATATTTTACAGGAATATGGCTTCTCGCCAGTATGGATTCTTATATGAGACTTTAAATTTGATGTTCGTGAGAAGGTTTTCCCACAGGTGATGCAAGAATATGGCCTTTCCCCAGTATGATTTCTTGTATGATACTTCAATCGTGATTTCAAAGTGAATGTTTTCCCACAAGTGGTGCAAGAATATGGCTTCTCCCCACTATGAATTCTTATATGAGACTTCAAATGTGATGTCTGAGTGAACGTTTTCCCACAAGTAATGCAAGAATATGGCCTTTCCCCAGTGTGAATTCTTGTATGAAACTTCAATAAATCTCTCCGAGGGAATGTTTTCCCACAGGTGGTGCAAGAATATGGCTTCTCCCCACTATGAATTCTTGTATGAAACTTCAAATGTGATTTCAGAGTGAATGTTTTCCCACAGGTGTTGCAAGAAAACGGCCTTTCCCCAGTGTGGATTAGCATGTGGCCTTTCAAGCCACTACTAAATTTAAAATCTTTTCCACATGTTTTGCAAGAGAATGGTTTCTCATCACTATGGACTCTTTTATGGATCTGGAATACTGAATCATGAATGAATCTTTTCCCACAGGTGCATACATATGGTTGATCCACTCTGTGGACTTTCCTCACGTGGGCCAACAAGGTTTTTTTATGTTGGAAATAATTTCCACATGTTTCACACAAAAATGTCTTGTCACCTGGAGGAGCCAGAATCTGCTGTTGTGGCTCCTTGTCTGATGTTAAACTTTGTTTTACTCCTTTCTGATCTTGACTATGAGATTCTTGAGTGTTGTTTGGTTCTGGTACCACAAAACGTTCACAGTCTATTTCCTCATCTAACCAGGTGGTACACGTGCTAGCTGGAGGCTCTGTCTCTGATTCACTCTGACTTCTGTCAGGATTCCAAAACGGAGTCTCATCATCACTGTGATCCGTTTCCTCACTAGTGGGAGTCAACGTAAAGGTGTCGGCCTCCTGCTTCGGTTCAAGCTGCTCTCCCTCCTGACTGCTGCACAGTTCCTCCTGTTCCTCTTTAATCTGTGGAGGATCTGGGTCCTCTTGGTCCAGACTGGGGTTCCTCTCCTGGAGACAGAGCTGCTGGTCACAGAGAACCTCCTCCTCCTTACAGACACGTGACTGCGGGAGCTCTGGAGGGACAAAAGAAATAGAAAAACAAACGTTGGAGCGAATAAATAAAACGAGTGTGAATAAACCATCATGTGTCCTACTGTTCTATTATTAACAAATACGGTTCGAGAGGCCGAACTTCATCTTCAATAATCTCCCAGTTCAAGGGTGTAAACTGTTGAACTGTAACATTATTGATGATAAAATAAAGCCGTAAGTACCTTATTGCTTGTGTAATACGATTACCAGCAACATTATAAAAAGGTACGTAAATAGCTGCTTTTCAGGACAAAATAGTTTTAGCCACCAAGCGTCGCGTATCGCATTTCAGTAGGCTAGAGAAAATAGTCCCCGTACGTGTGGCTGTTGCTATGCAACGGACAGACAGCAGCATCACATTTGTTCGCCTAGCACCACAAGTGTGTTGATGATTAGCTAGTAGATCGACGTTCATTTGTACGTCACATCCCAGGTCTTCCATGCTCGATGTCGCACCATCTCATTCATTCACATCGCCCATGACGTCCATCTAAATGTCCCTCAAACGGTTGCGAAAGTTCGCATTGCCCAAAATGAAATAACAAAAGTCATTGGCGGGGCTTCCGGTCTTTTTTCGGCGATCGCCACCTAACTAAAAACTGAAATGCCAACTAACGCCCGCGCAAAATCTAATAACTATTATTTTTGAGTGCGCACTGATATGAAACGCTCAGGTAAATGTAAACAGTTCCAGTACATTATGGCTCAATAAAGAAAACCCCGTGACTCACTCTCAACCAATCAAAATGCGGGATTCCATCTATCCGTATTAGAAGTACCGTTAAAGGACACATTTATTGGAAAACCTTAAATAATGTCTCGTCCTTATTGCTATAAGAAACATATTTTCTTACAAAGTTGTACTCACCAATCCGGTGTAACCTCACTTCGGGTTTCCAAATAACATCCAACAGTCCGCGCTGCCGGTCGATCTCTTCCTGGTACTCGACGATGGTTCTTTTAAAAGCTCCAAATATTTCTTCAGCAGCAGCAGATAGTCGCTCGTTGACAAACTCTCTCAAACCGTGGACTGAAGACATTGTTGCTTGTTTACCGATGAAATAATTACCTGCACTGCCACAACACCGAGCAACGGCTGGGTGTCACACTATAACGTTCCGACTGGAAACACCTGTCTCATTAAGGTCCCGCTTGCTCTTACGGTTGCAGATCAGCCGTCTTCTTCTTCTTCTTCTTCTTCTTCTTCTTCTTATTTAAATGTAATTTTGCCGGTAGGAACCAACTTGAATAGATGTCAGAATAGTGTCAGGATCTCCGATCCCCCCGAGTCGGTTGATGAGAAGGATCCAGCACGTTGATCAGTTAAAGTCAAAAAGTTAACATTTATTTAGAAGAGAAAAAGATTACATGAGCAATTCTCCGCAGATATCTGGCTCTAACTATTGCTTGAAAACACACAAGCACGTGTCAGCGTTCTGTGTAATTGCGTCGCCGAGCAGTAAAAACAGTGTAGAAAAAGAGTTTTTCTACACTTGAAGACAGTTCTTAGCGCCAGAGAAGCCACAAATTGCGATAAGAACTCAGGTGGAGCTGAGGGTAACACCCAATGCTCCTCTGATCGAAGGTCTGTGAGAGCAAGATGACCCCTTCCCCAAACACAGCTGCAAACTGTCATTCTGTATCATGTTGCTCCTTGCACATCAGGGTCAAATACAGGACCCTTGAGACACGGTTTTAGCGCAAAACAATGTTATAATATATTTTACCAGTACATGCATCTCACAATAGACCCCGCCACATACAGTTCTGGACTGTGCAGTTTCAGGGTTCCATCACTGTTCTAACTGATAAAGACAAAACAACACCTAATCTGGTTTCTTTAAGAAATCACAACAGTGCCCTGCAGATCTCGTGCCATTCCTCTTCCGCTGCCAGAACTCCACTTCCGTCCCAACTGACTCATCTTTGGCTTCAAGATGTACCTCTCTGAATGATCTCTTATTTAAAATTACCCAGTGCATTTATCTGACTCCTTTTTGCCATTAAATACTGCCTTGAGTTAAGTCCTGTCTGTCAGAATCTCAATATTTTGACCTCCTCTCTATACTTCCCTTTATATGTCTTCACATTTATGTGTTTCCGAATGCTATGATGTCCTCCTTTGTCATCTTTGTCCCACTTCTTCTGTCATACTTTCCTTACTGCTACTCTTATTAATGATTTAGCTTCCATCTTTCCAAAAGGAATATTCAATTACTTCTCTTCTTTTATTTCTGTCTTTGCAATCATATCTGCTCTCTCATTGCCCTCTACACCTTCATGTGCAAGGAGAGGCAAGGCAATTTTATTTGTATAGCACATTTCAACAACAAGGCAAAGTGCTTCAGATAAAACCATTAAAAACGTCCAAACATGAAGCAAGGATTGTAATGGTAAAATATGTTATAACATTGTTTTGTGCTAAAGCCATGTCTCAAGTGTCCTGTATTTGACCCTGATGTGCAAAGAGCAACATGATACAAAATGTTAGTTTGCAGCTGTGCCCTGAGAAGGGAGGACGGTCAACTCAAGCTCATAGAAGCTTCAAAACAAAGGACTTCTGTTCATGGCCTTGGTTCATATCTTATTCGGTACGAAAGTTCCGGATCCACATTTTACTTCATGTCAATTAATTATGATTTGCACCGGCCACTGAGGAGGATCTTGTGTGTGTGTGTGTGTGTGTGTGTGTGTGTGTGTGTGTGTGTGTGCTGCCCTCAGCTTCCCCTGGGTTCTTATCTCAACCTGCTTTGCAGCTTCTCGTAACGGGCACGGAGAATGTCCTCCACATGTGTATAAAAACTCAGCGTTTTTACTGCTTGGAGACGCCATTTCCGCAGAGCACCGTGATACGTGCCTGTGTATTTGACCTCCTGCTTGCAAGCAATAAATGGACTGTTTGCAACTTTGATCATTCATCAAGACTCTGTTTTATCAAACAAATCATTCTCTTCTCCCGAGCTTTTATTGAAATATTCCATAACAGGATATTTACAAAACCTTAAGAACATTGATTGAAACATAAAAGAAAAACGGTAAAAAGACGTAGAAAAAAGAATAAAACTTGTATGTCTTTAAGAATTCCAAAATGCAGAAATGGTCAATTAAAGGCAGCAGAAACAGAAAAGTCTTTAATCTGGATTTAAAGGAGCCGAGGAACTCAGCAGACCCGCAGCTTCCTGAGACTGTTCCAGACACGTGGAGCAGAAACACTGAACGCTGCTTCTCCTTGCTTAGTTTTGATTGGGAACATAAATACTTGATGTCCAATGTCATACAAGTTTATTTCCACCCATTTTTACTCAGTTCTATGAGTGTTATAATAATAATAATACCTTCATTTTATATAGCGTTTTTTGTAAATACCCAAAGACGCTTTACAAAGGGCAAAGACAGACAAAAACAAAAGACACAAACAGAACAGAACATTTAAGAAAAGTAGCGGAGCAGAGCAGAGCAACATTGGAAGGAAATAAATGAAACCTGCTCACTGCAACCAGAAAAATAAAAAACATATTGCTCAGTAGACCCGTGTGTCCGTGCGTCCTTAACGGAACCCAACGGTGGTAGTGATATCACGGCTACAGAAGTCTATCCTATATTTGTCCAGGAAGGTTGTAGAGGACTTTGGGAGATGTCTTCATATCGGCGGGTGGAGGTGAGCCGTCGACCGGCCGAGTTCTGAACGTATTGGAGTTTGTTGAGGATGTTGTTGGGAGAGCCGCAGAGGATGCTGCTGCAGTAGTCGGGTCTGGAGGTCATGAGGGCATGGATGAGAATTTTGGTGGTAGCAGAGGAGAGGGAGGGAGAATGTTCCTGAGGTGGAAGAAGGCAGGCGTGGTGATGTGGTTGGCGTGGGGTAGGAAAGAAAGGGTGGGGTCGACGGTGATACCAAGGTTGCAGAGCAGAATGGATGGGGTGACAATGGAGCCATCCATGTTGAGAGAGAGAAGGTCTGGGCTGAGCGGATGAGGGAGTTAAGGCCGACGATGAGTATTTCAGACTCATAGAAAGTTCTGTGGCATCCATGATTTTTTATCAGTGGGAGTGCAGCGGGTGACTGATGGTCCTGGATTGTTAAATCCACCTTGTTAGCTGGTAATATCCAGGGAGGAGCATTTCCCCACATTACCGTATTCTTTGGCTGCTGTATTGATAGTCCAACCAAACCCTTTGCTTCTACTTTCATTACGTTCATAAAGCACCTTCGTGGCAGGAAGTTCCTCTCCGGATCCTTTCAGCTTCACCCAAAAAGCAAGAGGTAGCTTTGATCGTCTCAATCGTAATGCCAGTGTGTCAGCTTCCACCAGCAGTGCACATTTTTGGAGTGATTGTAAATGTGCCCATACTAAATCCAAATATTTCACCTCTACTGATTTTTTTCAGCAGTGGTAAATGTTTGATTGGAAGCTCTTTCTTTTTCTTTTGGCTATTTAAGAAAAACTTTGTTTTTTTTAATTATGCAGGATATGTTTGTGGTGGAAATGTGTGGATTTAGCCCTTGTGAGAAATCAAAAGTATCTTGAGCTTGCTTTGTGATTAAGTATTTATTACTAACTAGAATATAGAAAAAATAATAAAGAATACAGAAATCATCCACACAAGCACAGACAGAAGTCAAATGGCTACAATTCAGCTGAAAAGGGACAGATTGTTCCTTCCCCCAAAAGGAGCCGGAAGATCTGACCAAGTTAAAGAGGAGAACAGGAGGTTTTATACACTTCAGGGAGGTTTGTGCTGCCTCAGCACAGGAGAGCACACCCCTCAAAGAGGAGTGTATGGAAAAGTACCAGACGACGTAGGGGAGACACCGTGACCTTCCATTAATGGACCCAGTCAATCAATAACATTTAAAAGGTCAGTCAGGGCACGAATGGTTCCATCTGTGTCTTATCTCACCCTGAACTGCCTTAGGTCACAGGCTCACATAAAAGGTCACATTCCTGAGAGACTCACCCGACGCAGGCTCAACAATTTTCCCCTGACAATGTTCACTCAATGTGCAACAAAGATTTTTCAAAGATTTTTAGTGATTACAGTAAATTACCGCAAAACATGTCACTAACAGCACGTTACATGAAGTAAAAAACAGGCAAATTTAACAATACCTTCTTTTGTTGATAAAGAAGTACTATATAAAAAATAATCTTTGAAATTGCTCAGAATATTTCCTTAAGTGAGTTGCATCTACAACGTTTCACACTTGTGGACATTTCTCATGTGGACAATTAAGTTACTAGAATTTCTGAAACATCTTTCACATATTTTACAGGGATATGGCTTCTCCCCGGTATGGATTCTTGTATGAGACCTCAAATGTGATTTGCGAGTGAATGTTTTCCCACAGGTGATGCATGAATATGGCTTCTCCCCAGTATGAATTCTTATATGAGGCCTCAAACTTGATGCTTGACTGAATGTTTTCCCACAGGTGATGCAGGAATGTGGCTTCTCCCCAGTATGGACTCTTGTATGAACCTTCAAATGTGATTTAGTAGGGAATGTTTTTCCACATGTGATGCAAGGATGTGGCTTCTCCCCAGTATGGCTTCCTATATGATACTTCAAATGTGAGGTAGTAGGGAATGTTTTCCCACAGGTGACGCAGGAATAAGGACTCTCCCCAGTATGAATTCTCATATGAGACTTCAAATGTGAGTTGCGAGTGAATGCTTTCCCACAGGTTTTGCAAGAATAAGGCCTTTCCCCAGTGTGGATTAGCATGTGGCCTTTCAAGCCACTACTAAATTTAAAAAAATTTCCACATGTTTTGCAAGAAAATGGTTTCTCATCACTATGGACTCTTTTATGAATCTGGAATACTGATTCATGAATGAATCTTTTCCCACCGGTGCATACATATGGTTGATCCACGCTGTGGACTTTCCTCACGTGGGCCAACAAGCTTTTTTTATGTTGGAAATAATTTCCACATGTTTCACACAAAAATGTCTTGTCACCTGGAGGAGCCAGAATCTGCTGTTGTGGCTCCTTGTTGTTGTCGTTTGGTTCTGGTACCACAAAACGTTCACAGTCTATTTCCTCATCTAACCCGCTGGTACACGTGATAGCTGGAGGCTCTGTCCCTGATTCACTCTGACTTCTGTCAGGATTCAAAAACGGAGTCTTATCATCACTGTGATCAGTTTCCTCACAAGTGGGAGTCAACGTAAAGGTGTCGGCCTCCTGCTTCGGTTCAAGCTGCTCTCCCTCCTGACTGCTGCACAGTTCCTCCTGTTCCTCTTTAATCTGTGGAGGATCTGGGTCCTCTTGGTCCAGACTGGGGTTCCTCTCCTGGAGACAGAGCTGCTGGTCACAGAGAACCTCCTCCTCCTTACAGACACGTGACTGCGGGAGCTCTGGAGGGACAAAAGAAATAGAAAAACAAACGTTGGAGCGAATAAATACAACAAGTGTGAATAAACCATCATGTGTCCTACTGTTCAATTAGTAACGGTTAAGAACAGGTTTGTCGGAAAACTGTAAGAATGTCTCGTCTTTGTTGCTTCAGACAACCGATGTTCCTAACAAAGTTGTACTCACCTATCCGGTGTAACCTCACTTTGGGTTTCAATAAAACATCCAACAGTCCGCGCTGCCGGTCGATTTCTTCCTGATACTCGACGATGCTTCTTTTAAAAACTCCGAATATTTCTTCAGCAGCAGCAGATAGTCGCTCGTTGACAAACTCCCTCAAACCCTCAACTGAAGACATTGTTGCTTGATAACCGATGAAATAATTACCTTCACGGCCACAACATAGAGCAGCGGCTGGGTGTCACACTATAAAGTTCCGACTGCAGACCGAGTCACATTAAGGTTCCGCTTTCTATTGTGGTTGCGGGACATCTTCTTCTATAAATTTGATTGGCGGGTCGCAACCAACTTGAATAGATGCATATTGCCACCTACGGTACTGTAGTGTGCAGTTTCAGGGTAACAGTTTAATCACTGTTCTAAAGGATGCTAATAAAAAATGAACTCAATCTCAACAGTGCCCTGCAGATCTCGTGCCATTCTGCGTCCGGTGCCAGAACTCCCTCCAAACTCCACTTCCAACTGATTTTTTGCTTCAAATTGTTACTCCCTGAATTGTCTCTTCTTCACACGTAGTGCACCTATCTGGATCCTTTTTTTGCCATTGAATAGAGCATTGGGTTCAGCCCGATCTCTCAAAATCTTCATCTTGATATTTTGACCTCTCTTCTATACTTCCCTTTGTATGTCTTCACATTTATGTGTTTCTGAATGCTATGTTAAGGTTTTCCTTTGACGTCTTTCTCCCACTTCTTCTGTCATACATCCTGTGCTGCCTCTCTTAAATAATGATTTAGCTTCACTCTTTCCAAAAGGAATATTCAATATCTAATCTTATATAAGTCCTGTCTGTTGTGGCCATTTTTCCTTGGGAACAACTAATGTCCTTAAAAAAAATATATATGCAGGATAAAATTATGAGTGAACATCACTTAAGGGTTTATCAGTTTAAGAGATCAATCATTTGTATTTGCCGGCCATTATCAGATTGACAATTATTTTTTCAGATAGTACTTGTATGTATGTATGTATTACTCTATCTAAATAATAATCTTTGAAATTGCTCAGAATATTTCCTCACAGGAGTTGCATCGAAGATGTTTCACCCTTGTGGATTTTTCTCACGTGGACAATTAGGTTACTAGAACTTCTGAAACATCTTTCACATATTTTGCAGGAATATGGCTGCTCCCCAGTATGGATTTTTATATGAGCCTTCAAATTTGATGTCTTAGTGAATGTTTTCCCACAGGTGTTGCAAGAATACGTCCTGTCAGTGTGAACTTTCACGTGGACTTTTCAGCCATTACTACATTTGAAAGCTTTTCCACATGTTTGGGAAGAAAATGGGTTCTCACTATGGACTCTTTTATGAGTCTCGAATGCTGATTTATAAGTGAATCTTTTTCCACAAGTGTTGCATAAATATGGTCGATCACCTGGAGGAGCCAGAATCTGCTGTTGTGGCTCTTTGTTTGATGTTAAAATTAGTTTTACTCCTTTCTGATCTTGTCTATCAGATTCTTGAGTGTCGTTTGGTTCTGGTACCACAAAACGTTCACAGTCTATTTCCTCATCTAACCCGCTGCACACGTGCTAGCTGGAGGCTCTGTGTCTGATTCACTCTGACTTCTGTCAGGATTCAAAAACGGAGTCTCATCATCACTGTGATCACTTTCCTCATAAATTTTTCTTTTGGTTATTGTTCGGCTGATGTTCAGCTTTCCTTGGAGCTGAACATCAGCTCCATCACCAAGAAGGCTCAGCAGAGGTTGTTCTTCCTGAGGCAGCTGAAGAAATTCAACCTGCCAAAGACGTTGATGGTTCACTTTTACACGGCCATCATCGAGTCCATCCTCTGCTCCTCCATCACCGTCTGGTACGCTGCAGCCACAGCCAAGGACAAGGGCAGGCTGCAGTGTGTCATCCGCTCTGCAGAGAGGGTGATTGGCTGCAATCTGCCGTCCCTGCAGGACTTGTTCGCTTCCAGGTCTCTGAAGCGAGCTAAAAAGATCGTAGCCGACCCCTCTCACCCCGGACAAAACCGGTTTGTGCCCCTTCCATCTGGCAGGAGGCTGAGGTCCATCAGGACTAAGACCTCCCGCCACACGAACAGTTTCTTCCCGTCGGCAGTCGGGCTCGTCAACAGAGCCCGGTCCCCCACTGACTGACTATAACATTCACTCTCCTTCATACTGCACATGTCACTTTAACTGTAATTTCTCACTCGTCACTTTGTCGTCACTCGTCCCTTTGTCACTTGTTCGCTAGTGGACTTTATTTTTAAATATTTTTTAACTTTTTAAATATTTTTAACTTTATTCTCTTATTGTATACTAACCCATAGCCTTATTCTACTAACCCATTGCATTAGCATTTCATTTTATCACTTGTGCACTGCTGTCTGGTCTATTGTTACCCTATCTACTATCACGCACCAACCGCCAAGACAAATTCCTTGTATGTTTGACATATTTTGACAATAAATGTTTCCTGATTAAAGAAAATGAAGAGAAAAAAAACTCATGAAATCATGAGTGAACATCACTTGAGGAATTATCAGTTACAATCATTTTTCATTTTTATTTGCAGGCCATTGTCAGATTGACAATTATATTTTCAGATAAATATATATATATATTAAAAAAACAGTTTAAACGTGTGCAGGATACAGAATATGTTCAATGTTGACATTTCAAAGATTTAAAGTGATTACAGTAAATTACCCCAAAACATGTCACTAACACCACGTTACATGAAGGAAAAAACAGGCAAATTCAACAATGCCCTGTTTTATTGCTGAAGATGTACTATGTAAATAATAATCTTTGGAATTGCTCAGAATATTTCCTCACAGGAGTTGCATCTATGACTGTTCACACTTGTGGATTTTTCTCATGTGGACAATTAAGTTACTAGAACTTCTGAAACATCTTTCACATATTTTACAAGAATATGGCTTCTCCCCACTATGAATTCTTATATGAGACTTCAAATGTGATGTCTGAGTGAACGTTTTCCCACAAGTAATGCAAGAATATGGCCTTTCCCCAGTGTGAATTCTTGTATGAAACTTCAATAAATCTCTCCGAGGGAATGTTTTCCCACAGGTGGTGCAAGAATATGGCTTCTCCCCACTATGAATTCTTGTATGAAACTTCAAATGTGATTTCAGAGTGAATGTTTTCCCACAGGTGTTGCAAGAAAACGGCCTTTCCCCAGTGTGGATTAGCATGTGGCCTTTCAAGCCACTACTAAATTTAAAATCTTTTCCACATGTTTTGCAAGAGAATGGTTTCTCATCACTATGGACTCTTTTATGAATCTGGAATACTGAATCATGAATGAATCTTTTCCCACAGGTGCATACATATGGTTGATCCACTCTGTGGACTTTCCTCACGTGGGCCAACAAGGTTTTTTTATGTTGGAAATAATTTCCACATGTTTCACACAAAAATGTCTTGTCACCTGGAGGAGCCAGAATCTGCTGTTGTGGCTCCTTGTCTGATGTTAAACTTTGTTTTACTCCTTTCTGATCTTGACTATGAGATTCTTGAGTGTTGTTTGGTTCTGGTACCACAAAACATTCACAGTCTATTTCCTCATCTAACCAGGTGGTACACGTGCTAGCTGGAGGCTCTGTCTCTGATTCACTCTGACTTCTGTCAGGATTCCAAAACGGAGTCTCATCATCACTGTGATCCGTTTCCTCACTAGTGGGAGACAACGTAAAGGTGTCGGCCTCCTGCTTCGGTTCAAGCTGCTCTCCCTCCTGACTGCTGCACAGTTCCTCCTGTTCCTCTTTAATCTGTGGAGGATCTGGGTCCTCTTGGTCCAGACTGGGGTTCCTCTCCTGGAGACAGAGCTGCTGGTCACAGAGAACCTCCTCCTCCTTACAGACACGTGACTGCGGGAGCTCTGGAGGGACAAAAGAAATAGAAAAACAAACGTTAGAGCGAATAAATACAACGAGTGTGAATAAACCACCATGTGTCCTACTGTTCAATTAGTAACGTTTAAGAACAGGTTTGTCGGAAAACGTTAAGAATGTCTCGTCTTTGTTGCTTCAGACAACAGATGTTCCTAACAAAGTTGTACTCACCTATCCGGTGTAACCTCACTTCGGGTTTCAATAAAACATCCAACAGTCCGCGCTGCCGGTCGATTTCTTCCTGATACTCGACGATGGTTCTTTTAAAAACTCCGAATATTTCTTCAGCAGCAGCAGATAGTCGCTCGTTGAAAAACTCCCTCAAACCCTCAACTGAAGACATTGTTGCTTGATAACCGATGAAATAATTACCTTCACGGCCACAACATAGAGCAGCGGCTGGGTGTCACACTATAAAGTTCCGACTGCAGACCGAGTCACATTAAGGTTCCGCTTTCTATTGTGGTTGCGGGACATCTTCTTCTATAAATTTGATTGGCGGGTCGCAACCAACTTGAATAGATGCATATTGCCACCTACGGTACTGTAGTGTGCAGTTTCAGGGTAACAGTTTAATCACTGTTCTAAAGGATGCTAATAAAAAATGAACTCAATCTCAACAGTGCCCTGCAGATCTCGTGCCATTCTGCGTCCGGTGCCAGAACTCCCTCCAAACTCCACTTCCAACTGATTTTTTGCTTCAAATTGTTACTCCCTGAATTGTCTCTTCTTCACACGTAGTGCACCTATCTGGATCCTTTTTTTGCCATTGAATAGAGCATTGAGTTCAGCCCGATCTCTCAAAATCTTCATCTTGATATTTTGACCTCTCTTCTATACTTCCCTTTGTATGTCTTCACATTTATGTGTTTCTGAATGCTATGTTAAGGTTTTCCTTTGACGTCTTTCTCCCACTTCTTCTGTCATACATCCTGTGCTGCCTCTCTTAAATAATGATTTAGCTTCACTCTTTCCAAAAGGAATATTCAATATCTAATCTTATATAAGTCCTGTCTGTTGTGGCCATTTTTCCTTGGGAACAACTAATGTCCTTAAAAAAATTTATATATGCAGGATAAAATTATGAGTGAACATCACTTAAGGGTTTATCAGTTTAAGAGATCAATCATTTGTATTTGCCCGCCATTATCAGATTGACAATTATTTTTTCAGATAGTACTTGTATGTATGTATGTATTACTCTATCTAAATAATAATCTTTGAAATTGCTCAGAATATTTCCTCACAGGAGTTGCATCGAAGATGTTTCACCCTTGTGGATTTTTCTCACGTGGACAATTAGGTTACTAGAACTTCTGAAACATCTTTCACATATTTTGCAGGAATATGGCTGCTCCCCAGTATGGATTTTTATATGAGCCTTCAAATTTGATGTCTTAGTGAATGTTTTCCCACAGGTGTTGCAAGAATACGTCCTGTCAGTGTGAACTTTCACGTGGACTTTTCAGCCATTACTACATTTGAAAGCTTTTCCACATGTTTGGGAAGAAAATGGGTTCTCACTATGGACTCTTTTATGAGTCTCGAATGCTGATTTATAAGTGAATCTTTTTCCACAAGTGTTGCATAAATATGGTCGATCACCCGGAGGAGCCAGAATCTGCTGTTGTGGCTCTTTGTTTGATGTTAAAATTAGTTTTACTCCTTTCTGATCTTGTCTATCAGATTCTTGAGTGTCGTTTGGTTCTGGTACCACAAAACGTTCACAGTCTATTTCCTCATCTAACCCGCTGCACACGTGCTAGCTGGAGGCTCTGTGTCTGATTCACTCTGACTTCTGTCAGGATTCAAAAACGGAGTCTCATCATCACTGTGATCACTTTCCTCATAAATTTTTCTTTTGGTTATTGTTCGGCTGATGTTCAGCTTTCCTTGGAGCTGAACATCAGCTCCATCACCAAGAAGGCTCAGCAGAGGTTGTTCTTCCTGAGGCAGCTGAAGAAATTCAACCTGCCAAAGACGTTGATGGTTCACTTTTACACGGCCATCATCGAGTCCATCCTCTGCTCCTCCATCACCGTCTGGTACGCTGCAGCCACAGCCAAGGACAAGGGCAGGCTGCAGTGTGTCATCCGCTCTGCAGAGAGGGTGATTGGCTGCAATCTGCCGTCCCTGCAGGACTTGTTCGCTTCCAGGTCTCTGAAGCGAGCTAAAAAGATCGTAGCCGACCCCTCTCACCCCGGACAAAACCGGTTTGTGCCCCTTCCATCTGGCAGGAGGCTGAGGTCCATCAGGACTAAGACCTCCCGCCACACGAACAGTTTCTTCCCGTCGGCAGTCGGGCTCGTCAACAGAGCCCGGTCCCCCACTGACTGACTATAACATTCACTCTCCTTCATACTGCACATGTCACTTTAACTGTAATTTCTCACTCGTCACTTTGTCGTCACTCGTCCCTTTGTCACTTGTTCGCTAGTGGACTTTATTTTTAAATATTTTTTAACTTTTTAAATATTTTTAACTTTATTCTCTTATTGTATACTAACCCATAGCCTTATTCTACTAACCCATTGCATTAGCATTTCATTTTATCACTTGTGCACTGCTGTCTTGTCTATTGTTACACTATCTACTATCACGCACCAACCGCCAAGACAAATTCCTTGTATGTTTGACATATTTTGACAATAAATGTTTCCTGATTAAAGAAAATGAAGAGAAAAAAAACTCATGAAATCATGAGTGAACATCACTTGAGGAATTATCAGTTACAATCATTTTTCATTTTTATTTGCAGGCCATTGTCAGATTGACAATTATATTTTCAGATAAATATATATATATATTAAAAAAACAGTTTAAACGTGTGCAGGATACAGAATATGTTCAATGTTGACATTTCAAAGATTTAAAGTGATTACAGTAAATTACCCCAAAACATGTCACTAACACCACGTTACATGAAGGAAAAAACAGGCAAATTCAACAATGCCCTGTTTTATTGCTGAAGATGTACTATGTAAATAATAATCTTTGGAATTGCTCAGAATATTTCCTCACAGGAGTTGCATCTATGACTGTTCACACTTGTGGATTTTTCTCATGTGGACAATTAAGTTACTAGAACTTCTGAAACATCTTTCACATATTTTACAGGAATATGGCTTCTCCCCGGTATGGACTCTTGTATGAGCCTTCAAATGTGATTTAGTAGGGAATGTTTTTCCACATGTGATGCAAGGATGTGGCTTCTCCCCAGTATGGCTTCCTATATGATACTTCAAATGTGAGGTAGTAGGGAATGTTTTCCCACAGGTGACGCAGGAATAAGGACTCTCCCCAGTATGAATTCTCATATGAGACTTCAAATTTGATGCCTGAGTAAATGTTTTCCCACAGGTGACGCAAGAAAATGGCTTCTCTCCACTGTGAATTCTCATATGAGACTTCAAATTTGATGCCTGATTGAATGTTTTCCCACAGGTGATGCAAGAAAACGGCCTTTCCCCAGAGTGAATTTTGATGTGTATTTTTAAGCCATTACTACACTTAAAGTATTTCCCACAAGTTTGGCAAGAAAATGGTTTCTCATCACTGTGGACTCTTTTATGAATCTCAAATGATGATTTATGAGTGAATGTTTTCCCACAGGTGTTGCAAGAATATGGCCTTTCCCCAGTGTGAACTTTCACGTGGACTTTTAAACTACTGCTAAATTTGAAATCTTTTCCACACATTTGGCAAGAAAATAGTTTCTCATCACTGTGGACTCTTTTATGAATCTCAAATACTGATTTATCCATGAATCTTTTCCCACAGGTGATGCAGGAATATGGTTGATCAACACTGTGGAATCTTTTCACGTGGGCCAATAAGCTTTTTTTATGTTGGAAATATTTTCCACATGTTTCGCACAAAAATGTCTTGTCACCTGGAGGAGCCAGAATCTGCTGTTGTGGCTCCTTGTTGTTGTCGTTTTGTTCTGGTACCACAAAACGTTCACAGTCTATTTCCTCATCTAACCAGCTAGTACACGTGCTAGCTGGAGGCTCTGTCTCTGATTCACTCGGACTTCTGTCAGGATTCAAAAACGGAGTCTTATCATCACTGTGATCAGTTTCCTCACAAGTGGGAGTCAATGTAAAGGTGTCGGCCTCCTGCTTCGGTTCAAGCTGCTCTCCCTCCTGACTGCTGCACAGTTCCTCCTGTTCCTCTTTAATCTGTGGAGGATCTGGGTCCTCTTGGTCCAGACTGGGGTTCCTCTCCTGGAGACAGAGCTGCTGGTCACAGAGAACCTCCTCCTCCTTACAGACACGTGACTGCGGGAGCTCTGGAGGGACAAAAGAAATAGAAAAACAAACGTTGGAGTGAATACATTATTACATTACTATAGGTCATTTAGTTGACGCTTTTATCCAAAGCGACTTACATTGCATTTCTAACCCATGGCTTTTTTCCATTTTTGCCCAGGGAATAATTAGGGGTTAGGTGCCTTGCTCAGGGACATTTCGACATGGGGCAGCCAGGGCTCGAACCACCAACCTTGCGGTTCCCAGTGCACCTTCTCTACCTCTGCGACGACCCCTCGTTGAATTACTAAAACGAGTGTGAATAAACCATCATGTGTCCCACTGTTCAATTAGTAACGTTTAACAACAGGTTTGCCGGATAAATTAAATGTCTCGTCTCGTGTTTCTCACAAAGTTGTAGCGAATAAATACAACGAGTGTGAATAAACCGGCATGTGTTCTACTGTTCAATTAGTAACGTTTAAGAACAGGTTTGTCGGAAACTTCTCTTTGTTGCTTCAAAGTTGTACTCACCTATCCGGTGTAACCTCACTTCGGGTTTCAATAAAACATCCAACAGTCCGCGCTGCCGGTCGATCTCTTCCTGGTACTCGACGAAGCTTCTTTTAAAAACTCCGAATATTTCTTCAGCAGCAGCAGATAGTCGCTCGTTGACAAACTCTCTCAAACCATCAACTGAAGACATTGTTGCTTGATACCCGATAAAACCTGCACTGCTGTCACTGATGTCACAATATAAAGTTCCGACTGAATGTTGTCATATCAGTCAGACTCTGACTGGTTCTTCTTCAGCAACGGCTGGGTGTCACACTATAAAGTTCCGACTGGAAACACCTGTCTCATTAAGGTTCCGCCTGCCATTACGGTTGCAGGTCAGCCGTTTTCTTCTTCTTTAAACGTAATTTCGCAGGTATGAACCAACTTGAATAGATAGACTCCGCCACATACAGTTCTGGACTGTGCAGTTTCAGGGTTCCATCACTGTTCTAACTGATGACGACAAAACAACACTTAATCTGGTTTCTTTAAGAAATCTCAACAGTGCCCTGCAGATCTCATGCTGACTCATCTTTAGCTTCAAGATGTACCTCTCTGAATTTATCTGACTCCTTTTGCCATTAAATACTGCCTTGAGTTTATTTAAATTCAAACAAAACTAGTAGTGAGCGTCCGGACCCCCGCTCCATACTAGATGAAGGTAATGACTAATGAAGGTAATGTACCAATTCATTATTTGCCAACCGCCACTAAACATCATGAAAAAAGGGAGACGAAGAAGAAGACGGCTGACCTGCGACCACAACAGCAAGCAGAAACTTAATAAGACTGGTGTTTCCAGTCGGAACGTTAAAGTGTGACAACTTTGTTAGGAACATCTGGGCAATGAGAGAGCAGATATGCTTGTAAAGACAGAAATAAAAGAAGAGAAGTTGGATTTGGTGGGAGAATGTACAACTGGATAAAATATTGTCGGATTGGGTCAGACACGTCAGAACAGTACATAGTTGAGAATGGCAGGCATCAGGGTATTAGCCCACTCGTCTTTACACTAATCATTAATGATATATTCACAAAAGTACCAGTAGATCTAGGGAGATCTCTGTTTTCTGACGATAGTGCAATATGGAAAAGAATGGAAAGAATAAACATGGAATATGCGATCAGGAAAGTGCAAGAAGCAATTGGCGAGGTGGTGGAATGGGGGTATGACTGGGGATTTTCACCAGAAAAAGGATCAAGGAAGGGGTAAGGCTAAGGATGTACGGGAATTTCTGTGAATCGTTTTTGAGGTTAACATGGGCAAGTCACATCATCAAAATCGTGGACAAATCCCAAAAAGTGATAAATGTGATCAGATGTGACTGGAAGGGAGTGGACGGCTAACTGTTTGATGGAAAACTATATATATATAGCTGGAGGATGTGAGGTAAGGGCCCTGAGGATCAGCCCCTCAGTAGTTAACCAGTGATGGCTCCATGGACACTAGTGTCATATGTGGGTTATGTATATATGTGGGGTATTTGGGGGAAATGCGGTTGAATATGGTTGAATGCACTTATTGTACGTCGCTTTGGATAAAAGCGTCAGCTAAATGACATGTAATGTAATGTAATGTAAAAGATAGGAAGAATATTGTCTCATCCACACCCCGGTGCAGAAGGTGGCGGTAATGCACCAATAGGATGGATGCCGACTGACATTAAAGCCCCCACCAAAAAAAGAAAGAAGAAGAAGAACCAGAGGCTGACTCACTTGACAACATTCAGTCGGAACTTTATATTGTGACATCAGTGACAGCAGTGCAGGTTTTATCGGGTATCAAGCAACAATGTCTTCAGTTGAGGGTTTGAGAGAGTTTGTCAACGAGCGACTATCTGCTGCTGCTGAAGAAATATTCGGAGTTTTTAAAAGAAGCATCGTCGAGTACCAGGAAGAGATCGACCGGCAGCGCGGACTGTTGGATGTTTTATTGAAACCCGAAGTGAGGTTACACCGGATAGGTGAGTACAACTTTGTTAGAAACATCTGTTGTCTGAAGCAACAAAGAGAAGTTTTCCGACAAACCTGTTCTTAAACGTTACTAATTGAACAGTAGGACACATGATGGTTTATTCACACTCGTTGTATTTATTCGCTCTAACGTTTGTATTTCTATTTCTTTTGTCCCTCCAGAGCTCCCGCAGTCACGTGTCTGTAAGGACGAGGAGGTTCTCTGTGACCAGCAGCTCTGTCTCCAGGAGAGGAACCCCAGTCTGGACCAAGAGGACCCAGATCCTCCACAGATTAAAGAGGAACAGGAGGAACTGTGCAGCAGTCAGGAGGGAGAGCAGCTTGAACCGAAGCAGGAGGCCGACACCTTTACGTTGACTCCCACTAGTGAGGAAACTGATCACAGTGATGATGAGACTCCGTTTTTGAATCCTGACAGAAGTCACAGTGATTTAGAGAGAAAGCCTCCAGCTAGCACGTGTACCAGCTGGTTAGATGAGGAAATAGACTGTGAACGTTTTGTGGTACCAGAACCAAACGACAACAACAAGGAGCCACAACAGCAGATTCTGGCTTCTCCAGGTGACAGGGCGTTTTTGTGCAAAAAATGTGGAAACCATTTCCAACATGAAAACGACACTCAAGAATCTGATAGACAAGATCAGAAAGGAGTAAAACAAAGTTTAACATCAGACGAGCCACAACAGCAGAGTCTGGCTCCTCCAGGTGACAGGGCATTTTTTGGCAAAACACATAATGAACATTTTCAACATAAAAAACTTCACTGGATGGATCAACAGTATGTATGCAACATCTGTGGGAGAAGATTCACTGATAACTCAAATTTGAAGGCTCATATAAAAATCCATTCTGGGGAGAAGCCATATTCCTGCATCACTTGTGGGAAAACATTCACTGATAAATCAAATTTGAAGGCTCATATAAGAATTCATACTGGGGAGAAGCCATATTCATGCATCACCTGTGGGAAAACATTCACTCGCAAATCACATTTGAGGTCTCATACAAGAATCCATACCGGGGAGAAGCCATATCCCTGTAAAATATGTGAAAGATGTTTCAGAAATTCTAGTAACTTAATTGGCCACATAAGAAATGTCCACAAGTGTGAAACGTTGTAGATGCAACTCCTGAGAGGAAATATCTTGAGCAAGTTTTAAGATTATAAAGGTGTTGAAACTTTTTATTAGAACGGAACGCAAAGGCTGCGTTTGAGAGAAAACTGTTTTCAGTATTCTCTTCTTCCTCAGGCATAACCATCCAGCCAAAACCCGATTGGATGAGCTGTGGAAGGGTTTTCATTTTCCGTTTCAGTTTTTTCTGTGCTGATGGTGAGGGTTTCGGGACAGAGAATGTTTTATGTTTACAGACTGTAAAGCCCTTTGATGCAAATTTGTGATTTTGAGCTATATAAAATTGAATTGAATTGATTGAGCATTCACTCATTTCCCAATAAAACAAGAGCGCAATATCTTATTGCTAAAAACTATTGTAGAGTGCGAGGAAGCTTTTGACCATAAGCTCAGATTGTTGGATAGTATTTGGAAACCTGACTTGAAATTATAAAGGATATGTGTGTAAAATATATTATTTAAATGAACCGTAGGCGAAAATTCAGTCAGGAAGACTGAACAGGCTGTGCCGTTCTCTGGTGGCCTCCTCTCTCCCTGGGGGCGCACGGCCAGCTGATTAGGGGCGGGGTCGGGTAGTACCAGCCAACCAGATGTGGGTGTCGTTACCGTAAACCAATTGCATCGGTGCGGGCAAACGTTCAAAACGTTTCAGATGTCATTTCAGCACTTACCAAAGGTTAAGCGCAGCGGTCAATTAGCGGGTTCTACACCACAGTGTTGCCGTCGACTCCAAAGGTCCATATTGGACATCGATCGATTGCGGAGGAACTAGCTCAACAATCCGAGCCGGCGAGGAGCCCGCCGAGCGTCAGGCAGTGGTAGCACGCACGTACGAGGTGCAGCAAGTGGTGTAAGCACCAAGCTTCCCTTTGTGCAGGTGTGAATGGGTGAGGCTCACAGCTAGCAGAGAGCGAGTCGATCCCTCCCTGCCACCCACACCAGCACAGGGAAGGACGAGAGAAGCGCAAGCAGCCCATTAAGTTTACGTGTTAAGGCTGACGCATGCTGCCAACTTCAAGGATGACGAGTTGGATTCAGGAAAGCCTTAAAAGGTTGGTAAGTCATGCATTTACTGATGTCATCATTCACATAGCTTCTTGTATATTTGGCATTTTGTTTGCCCGGTGGCCCGTGGTACCATGTGTCATTCATGCAATGTTTGTTTCAGCGCTAAGTAGTTCGCACAATTTATTCAAGGGGATCTTCTCTTGTGGCCCTAAAAGTCCTTGCACGGCAGAGTGGTAGACTCTTAAAATAATCTGGTCTAACATTTGCAGTTCTGAAGAAGTAGGTCCTCGGTTGACCTGCCAACCTGGGATCAATTTAGGTTTGTGGTCTTTCAGGACCAGTCCAGCTGACTTCAATGGAGACGTTTGCGGGCTAACATGACCAGTCAAGCTAACACTGTTTATTTCCAGCCTAACGCAACCTTCTACCGGACTCCAGTCACGCCTCATTGATAAGGGGAAGCAAGAGTCAGCATGTTTCTTAAAACTGGGGTGAGTTTTGAGAGTGGTGATCTTCTTGGCTACGGCAGTCGCAAGGCTGCTGCTAATGGCTACTGCTAGCTGCATTGCTACTGTTCTGCTTTTTAAACCGCCCTATCTTCGCAGGTTGCGCACTAGCAGTCGAGTTGGAGGTTACCTTCCTGACTTCTCTGAGCACTCGCCCTAGCTTCACGTCACTGTAGCAGGTTGCTAACTGTCTCTGCAAATTCCAGTCTGCAGACGTCCTACCACCGGCCATGCTGCTCCGGACGTGGCCCATACTCCTGGTCCTACACACGCCCAATATGGAGGCGCTCGCTCTGGCTTGTGGATCGCACTGATTGCTGCCGTGCTGGTTTTGAATCTATGCCGCAATAGCTCCAAGATCCACCTCCCCATTAATCTCAACCTAGAATAACTGCTAGAGCTGCAGCAGCTAACCAAGGCATTCCAGTGACAAGCCGGCAGCTGATAGGGTGGTGGTGGTCGTCGTCTGCTGTGATGTTCCACTTCTGCCCTGACCGTAACACTGTACTCGCAAGCAAAGATCCGTGAAGCCATAAAAGAGCTGGGAAGCATGCATATAACTGGTGGTAGTGTATTCCCTTCTGGCAATGTTGGAAGGGCACTTCAGTGTCCCCTTGCAGGGGACCGTCGTAGTTCTTTAGTGTCTCCCTTAGAAAATCAAATTTCCTAGGTTTAACGTTACCTGGCTTAACGTGTCTGTGTTTCCTAGGTTTAACGTTACCTGGCCTACCGTGTCTGTTTCCTGGTCCACATCAATTTCCCCAAAAGATGTCCGGATGGACCCGTCAAGCTGGCAACACTCTGTTTCATGGTATCCCGGGACCAGTCAAGCTGAATACCTTTCCATTTTGTGTTCCCCGCGACCGGTCAGTATAGGTAATGGCTGGTTGCCCGGTCTGAGCTGAACCCATCAAGCGACGGAGGTCTGTTCAGCGGGATAAGCGGATCAGTCAGGGGCATCCATGTGACCATCTGTTTCCCGGTCTGAGCGAACCCGGTCAAGTTGTTCTGTGAGGGACCCTCGGCAACTCAGTCTATTCTGCGGTCTCCCTTGACCCTGACCGTCCTGTTCTGCTGTCTGCCATGACCACCCCTATCTTGTCCGCGGACCAGTGTTAATTTTGGCAGCTATTTTTGATTTAGTCTTAGTCTTTAGACGAAAATGCATATTAGTTTTAGTGATATTTAGTCCTTTTTCTCGATGAAAACTAGACTTTGCTTTGTGATTAAGTATTTATTACTAACTAGAATATAGAAAAATGATAAAGAATACAGAAATCATCAACACAAGTCGTAAGTACAGACAGAAGTCAAATGAGTAGAATTCAACTGAAAAGGGGCAGATGGTTCTTTCTCCCAAAAGGAGCCGGAAGATCTGACCAAGTTTCTGGGGGAGAACAAGAGGTTTTATACACTTCAGGGTGGGTCAAGAGGAATGCATGGAAAAGTACCAGACAACGCAGGGGAGACACCGCGACCCTTCCCTAATGGGACCCAGTCAATAAACAACATTTGGAAAGATCAGTCAGGGCAGCCCTTATCTCACCCCGGTCACAGGCCCACATAAAAGGCCACATTCCTGAGAGACCCACACTATGCACAAATTCTCCCCCGACAACAGAAAGAGAAATTTAAGCAATACTCATCTTAAATTCTAAGTTAGGAAAGGGTAAAAAAAAGTTTTAATATTTAAGCATATCGCTCAATAAAAAGTCTTTCTGGGGAACTCATATTGAGCATATTGAAACGACAACAAAGGTGATCAATGTACGTGAGCAGTATTGTACATGACAGAGGAGCAGATAGACGTCACTTAATCAATATCTATAAGGCCATCGTACGATCATCTATAGATTATGGCGGTATGGTGGAGCAGCTGCTAAGAGTACAATACAATCTTTACATAGAATTCATTTCAGAGCTATAAGACTTTGCATGGGTGCAATTAAATTCACACCAAAGGAATGCACTTCTGGTGGAATCCAACAAATATCCATTAAGATTAAGACGACAAGGCAACCTCCGGTACATTGGGTGAAGCTAAAGGGATCTGGAGTGGAACTTCCTGCAACGAAGGGGAATTTTGTTGCAAAGACAGCACTAAAAGAAGTTATTTTAATATTCCTTTTGGAAAGAGGGAAGCTAAGTCATTAATAAGAGGGGCAGTACGGGATGTATGACAAAAGAGTTGTGACAAAGACGACAAAGGAAGAGATTATCATAACATTCGGAAACACATGAATGTGAAGACGAAGGGAAGTATAGAAGAGAGGAGGTCAAAATATGACAGACAGGACTTAACTCAGAGTTGTATTTAATGGCAAAAAATGAGTCCGATAAGTGCACTGTGTAAAGTTACATAAGACAATGAGATTTCTTAAAGAAACAAGATTAGGTGTTGTTTATTATTAGTTAGAACTGTGATGAAACTGTTACCCTGAAACTCCACGTTGAGTTTGTAGTGATACATTTAGTTTTTAAATAACCATAACTTGCTCAATTTTCAACCGATCTTTAAATGGTTTGTTTTGTTATAAACATCAGAGATGTAGTTGTGAGACTGCATGCATACTATGAATAATTATGGTATGTTCTAAAAAATAGCATAATGTTCTAAAATAGGTATAAGATTTCCCTTTACAAATATACATCAAGAAATGCTGAATGTTGAACCCTGTAGAGAGAGGTATTTATGACACTGTATACTTATGAATAATTGTGTTTATAATCATAGGTTTTATACAAACATACCTTTTAAATAGGACATTATCCATACGCATGCAGTGTTATAATTACATCTCTAACGTTTATTTAAAAAAACACGTTTAAAAATCGGTTGAAAATTGAAAAGTTATTTTTAAAGTACATGTATACTACCAACACAATGTTATGGGTGAACGAGCGAGCTGTACCAAGATGGCCGCCATGTGGGGACTTTCTATACTCCGCCGTAAGACACCTAGCCGTTATATATATATCTATGCCTTCAATCATAATGGCAAGCGGAACCTTAATGTGACTGGTGTTTCCAGTCGGAACCTTATAGTGTTGCTCAGCCGTTGCTCGGTGTTGGTGGCAGTGCAGGTAATTATTTCATCGGTTACCAAGCAACAATGTCTTCAGTTGAGGGTTTGAGAGAGTTTGTCAACGAGCGACTATCTGCTGCTGCTGAAGAAATATTCGGAGTTTTTAAAAGAAGCATCGTCGAGTACCAGGAAGAGATCGACCGGCAGCGCGGACTGTTGGATGTTTTATTGAAACCCGAAGTGAGGTTACACCGGATAGGTGAGTACAACTTTGTTAGGAACATCTGTGGTCTGAAGCAACAAATACGAGACATTCTTGAAGTTTTCCAACAAACCTGTTCTTAACCTTCCTCTTGTGTTAGCTTTCTGTTACCATCCCTTGTGTTAACGGGTCGGTTTTGACCCGTGTCTTAAATCAGCTGTAAAATACACTAGAAACAATTATCTATCATCCAATTTGTTTCTCATCTCTTGGTTACCATGTTATGCTTCCTTATCCATGAAAATATTAGTCTCAATATTTTTGGTGTGGGCCTTTTTCTTTGTCAGTATACCCCTCGATTTCAATTTAAAAAAATTATAAAATTAACCTCAAGATAATCATATACATAAATTAAAGGTTGTGTTACCTGACTATTTTTGAGGGGTATTAGACCGGCAGCGCGGACTGTTGGATGTTTTATTGAAACCCGAAATTAGGTTACACCGGATAGGTGAGTAAAACTCTGAAGCAACAAAGAGTTTTCCAACAAACCTGTTCTTAAACGTTACTCATTGAACAGTAGGACACATGATGGTTTATTGACACTCGTTGTATTTATTCGCTCCAACGTTTGTTTTTCTATTTCTTTTGTCCCTCCAGAGCTCCCGCAGTCACGTGTCTGTAAGGAGGAGGAGGTTCTCTGTGACCAGCAGCTCTGTCTCCAGGAGAGGAACCCCAGTCTGGACCAAGAGGACCCAGATCCTCCACAGATTAAAGAGGAACAGGAGGAACTGTGCAGCAGTCAGGAGGGAGAGCAGCTTGAACCGAAGCAGGAGGCCGACACCTTTACGTTGACTCCCACTTGTGAGGAAACTGATCACAGTGATGATGAGACTCCGTTTTTGAATCCTGACAGAAGTCAGAGTGAATCAGAGACAGAGCCTCCAGCTAGCACGTGTACCAGCTGGTTAGATGAGGAAATAGACTGTGAACGTTTTGTGGTACCAGAACCAAACGACAACAACAAGGAGCCACAACAGCAGATTCTGGCTCCTCCAGGTGACAAGACATTTTTGTGCAAAACACATGGAAACTATTCCAAACACAACAGAAACTTGTTGGCCCACGTGAAAAGATTCTACATTGTTGACCAACCATACGTATGCAACACCTGTGGGAAAAGATTTGTGGATGAATCTGTATTTGAGAATCATAAAAGAGTCCACAGTGATAAGAAACCATTTTCTTGTCAAATATGTGGAAAAGATTTCAAATTTAGTAATAACTTAAAAGTTCACATGCTAATCCACACTGGGGAAAGGCCGTTTTCTTGTAGCACCTGTGGGAAAACATTCACTCAGAAATCACATTTAAAGGCTCATTTAAGAATTCATTCTGGGGAGAAGCCATATTCCTGCATCAGCTGTGGGAAAACATTCCGTACTAAATCACATTTGAAGTATCATACAATTACATTACATTACATTACATCACACGTCATTTAGCTGACGCTTTTACCCAAAGCAACTTTAAATAAGTGCATTCAACCATTAGAGATACAAAGAAAAAGAAACAAGAACGGAACGCAAGGGCTGCATTTGAGAGTAAACTGTTTTCAGTATTCTCTTCTTCCACGGGCATAACCATCCAGCCAAAACCCGACTGGATGAGCTGTGGAAGGGTTTTCATTTTTTGGGAGTTTTTCCTGTGCTGATGTGAGGGTTTCGGGACAGAGAATGTCGCATGTATTCAGACTGTTAATCCCTCTGAGGCAAATTTGTGATTTGGGGCTATATAAAATAAAATTCATTGAATTGATTGAGCGTTCACTCATTTACCAATAAAACAAGATCGCAATATCTTATTGCTGAAATCTATTGTAGAGTGCAAGGAAGACTTTGACCATAAGCTTGGATTGTTGGATAATATTTGGAAACCTGACTTAAAATTATAAAGGATATGTGTGTAAAATATATTACTTAAATACTAATATACTCTTTGAGCAAACTAATCCATGACTAAATAATAGAAGAGACACCTTTCAATTAACAACAACAATATGATTTATTTTCATAAAATAAAAAAACAGTTTTCAAACTTGAAGATGCCGTGTCAGAACAATCGCTATAGTAAATTAGATCCCTGAAGGTAGTGTTATTAGCCCTTTATTATTTAACATTGTGGTAAAACACGTCTTTGTGGACATTGATAGAAATATTAGCTCCTTACTATATGCTGACGATGGAGTGATGTAAGGGGAAGAAATATTAGAAAAGTGGTCAGTAGCATCCAATAGGCTAGTCGATTTTGTAAAGTGGTAGTATTACTGGGGGTTTGAAATGTCTGTTGAGTTGCAACATGATATTTACCAGAAAGAGACATTTGAGTAATACTCATCTTAAATTCTAAGTTAGGAAAGGGTAAAAAAAGTTTAAATATTTAAGCTCATCGCTCAATGAAAAGTGTTTCTGGGGAACTCATATTGAACAAAGGTGAACAAAGATGATCAATGTTCTGGACATGACAGGGGAGCAGATAGACGTCACTAATCGATAGCTATATGGCCATCGTACGATCATCTATAGAGATATTATTTAGTTAGTTGGTGGGTTCTATCTATATAAATGAGAAACAACAAGAAAAGAACGCCTGGACAATACCGCTCTTACTGTGTGAAAGGAAACAAAACTAGGTGCAGCAGTGGCCCTTTGAAATTTAAAGATTTGTAGGACAAATGGCCACTACATAAAGTAAAAACCTCACCCTTGAACTATGAGGATGGATCCCCCATCATTGGACGGGTAGGATCGGTTTTGATGCGGATGGATGATCCGCACGGATCATTTTCATTCATCACTCTTTTGGATTCATAGGGTCTAGGGTGAACTGGGAACGTATGGAGGAGGCCCCGGTCCAAAAGATTTTCAACTCACACCTCTGGCGGAGCTTCTCTCACATTTCTGCGGAGGTAGGGGACATTGAACCAGAGTGGTGTGTGTTCAAAACTTCCATTGCTGAAGCCGCAGCAGTGAGATGTGGCCTCAAGGTCTTAGGTGCATCAAGGGGCGGTAACCCTCGAACCCCGTGGTGGACACCGGTGGTCAGGGAAGCCGTCCGACTGAAGAAGGAGACCTTTTGGGTTATGATATCCAGTGGGACTCCGGAGGCAGTTGCAGTGTATACCGACAGGCTCGAAGAGCAGCGGCCTCTGCCGTGATGGAGGCAAAGCAGTGAGTATGGGAGGAGTTTGGGGTAACTAAGGAGAAGGACTTTTGGTCGGCACCAAAGTGCTTCTGGAAGACCATCCGGTACCTCAGGAGGGGGAAACGGGGAACCATCCAAGCTGTGTACAGTAAGGGTGGGAACCTGTTGACCGCGACTGAGGAGGTTATCGGGCGGTGGAGGAACACTTTGAGGAACTCCTGAATCCAACTACTACGCCCTCTTTGGTAGAGGCAGAGCTGGAGGCGGAGGAGGGATCATCGTCAATTTGCCTGGTGGAGGTCACTGAGGTAGTCAAACAACTCTGCAGTGGCAAAACCCCAGAGATTAATGAGATTCGTCCAGAGATGCTAAAAGCAATGGGTGTTGGGGGCTGTCCTGGATGACACATTACATTACAGGTCATCGCTTTTATCCAAAGCGACTTACATTACACTTTAAACCCATGGCTTTTTCACATTTTTACCTGGGGAGCAATTAGGGGTTAGGTGTCTTGCTCAGGGACACTTCAACATGGAATATGCGGCAGCCTGGATTCAAACCACCAACATTGTGCTTCCCAGCACACCTTCTCTAACCCCTGCGCCACGACACGCCTCTTTAACATTGCGTGGAAGTCTGGGACAGTTCCAAAAGAGTGGCAGGCCGGGGTGGTGGTACCCATCTTGAAAAAGGGGGACCAGAGAGTGTGTGCCAATAACAGGGGTATCACACTACTCAGCCTCCCGGATAAAGTCTACTCCAAGGTGCTGGAAAGGAGGGTTCGGCCGATAGTCGAACCAAGGACTGAAGAGGAACAATGCGTGGCTCCCTCGCTGTGCTGCGCTCTAACGCCGGCCGCAGCTCTGCACATAGTTCGAGGAGGATCGCCCTCGGGAACCTAAAGCGGCTGATGAGCCAGTTGTCCTCATGTGCAAGCAAATCCCTCTCTGTCTCTAAATATGCCCTCTCTCCCTAATGCACAATCGCAATGTCTCCCAAGTAGTGGTAAAGAAGCAATGGTTCTAATATTATGCTTTGGACCCACTTTATGCATGCTTTTGTATTCACTCGTGTAATTGCAGTGGCGTGTTAATTGTTCATGTGTCTCAGATGTGCACATCACTCAGTCTGAGGACAAATTGTGTTCACATTTATTTATTGTTCGACACTTTTTTGTGCGTAAGCATGCTTTGTACATGAGTAACCTGGAGGTTAATTAGGGGCATAGTCAGGTGGGACCAGCATGCACCTGGGTGACAAATGTTTTTCACCAGTGTCGTCACCCGTCACTTTGTCACTTGTTCGATAGTGCACTTTATTTTTTTTAGATTTTTGAACTTTTTCTATATTTTAAATGTTTAAATTTAACTTTATTCTTATTTTATACTAACCCATAGCCTTATTCTACTAACCCTTTGCATTAGCATTTCATTTTATTTTATTACTTGTGCACTGCTGTCTTGTCTATTGTTACACTGTCTACTGTCACGCACCAACCGCCAAGACAAATTCCTTGTATGTTTGACATATTTTGGCAATAAATGTTTCCTGGTTCCTGATCCTGATTCCTGACAAAGCGACAGAGCACTCCATAGTAAGGCAGACAGCTTTTTGTATGTGTGTTAGGTGGATTCTATCTATCTATATTAATGAGAAACAAGAAAAGAACGCCTGGATTCTTGCATGATACTTCAAATGTGATTTGGTATGAAATGTTTTCCCACAAGTGTTGGAGGAATATGGCTTCTCCCCTGTATGGATTTTTATATGAGCCTTCAAATTAAATTTTTCAGTGAATGTTTTCCCACAAGTGTTGCATAAATATGGTCGATCACCTGGAGGAGCAAGAATCTGCTGTTGTGGCTCCTTGTCTGAAGAAATAGGAATAAATCAATGAACACCAGTCATCTTTACTTTATTATATCAATGTATTATTATACAAATCTAGCCAGTATACACATATCCATACCAAAAACTAACAGGAAATTCACACAGCTTTAATAAAAAGCTTCAATGGCTTTCTAATCTTAACAGTTGCTCAGAATATTTCCTCACAGGAGTTGCATCTATGACGCTTCATCCTTGTGGCTTCTTCTCATGTGGACAAGTAAGTTACCAGAACATGTGAAACCTCTTTCACATATTTTACAGGAATATGGTTTCTCCCCAGTATGGACTCTTGTATGAGACCTCAATTGTGATATCCGAAGGAATGTTTTCCCACAGGCGATGCAGGAATATGGCTTCTCCACAGAATGGACTCTTGTATGAGACCTCAATTGTGATATCCGAAGGAATGTTTTCCCACAGGTGATGCAGGAATATGGCTGCTCCCCAGTATGGATTCTTGTATGATACTTCAAATGTGATTTGGTATGAAATGTTTTCCCACAAGTGTTGCAGGAATATGGCTTCTCCCCAGTATGGATTTTTATATGAGAGTTCAAAGAAGATATGTGAGTGAATGTTTTCCCACAGGTGGTGCATGAATATGGCTTCTCCCCAGTATGAATTCTTATATGAGCCTTCAAATTAAATTTTTCAGTGAATGTTTTCCCACAAGTGTTGCATAAATATGGTCGATCACCTGGAGGAGCCAGAATCTGCTGTTGTGGCTCCTTGTCTGAAGTTAAACTTTGTTTTACTCCTTTCTGATCTTGTCTATGAGATTCTTGAGTGTCGTTTGGTTCTGGTACCACAAAACGTTCACAGTCTATTTCCTCATCTAACCCGCTGGTACACGTGCTAGCTGGAGGCTCTGTCTCTGATTCACTCGGACTTCTGTCAGGATTCAAAAACGGAGTCTCATCATCACTGTGATCAGTTTCCTCACAAGTGGGAGTCAACGTAAAGGTGTCGGCCTCCTGCTTCGGTTCAAGCTGCTCTCCCTCCTGACTGCTGCACAGTTCCTCCTGTTCCTCTTTAATCTGTGGAGGATCTGGGTCCTCTTGGTCCAGACTGGGGTTCCACTCCTGGAGACAGAGCTGCTGGTCACAGAGAACCTCCTCCTCCTTACAGACACGTGACTGCGGGAGCTCTGGAGGGACAAAAGAAATAGAAAAACAAACGTTAGAGCGAATAAATACAACGAGTGTCAATAAACCATCATGTGTCCTACTGTTCAATTAGTAACGTTTAAGAACAGGTTTGTCGGAAAACTTTAAGAATGTTTCGTCTTTGTTGCTTCAGACAACAGATGTTCCTAACAAAGTTGTACTCACCTATCCGGTGTAACCTCACTTCGGGTTTCAATAAAACAGCCAACAGTCCGCGCTGCCGGTCGATCTCTTCCTGGTACTCGACGATGGTTCTTTTAAAAACTCCGAATATTTCTTCAGCAGCAGCAGATAGTCGCTCGTTGACAAACTCTCTCAAACCCTCAACTGAAGACATTGTTGCTTGATAACCGATGAAATAATTACCTGCACTTCCACGGCACCGAGCAACGACTTGATGTCACACTATAAAGTTCCGACTGGAAACACCAGTCTCATTAAGTTTCCGCTTGCTGTCGTGGTTGCAGGTCAGCCGTCTTCTTCTTCTCCTTCGTCTCCCTTTTTTCATGATGTTTAGTGGCGGTTGGCAAATAATTAATTGGTACATTATCTTCACTATCTAGTATGGAGCGGGGGTCCGGACGCTCACTACTAATTTTGTTTGAATTTAAATATTAGTAAAAATCAACCAAAAATAATATATGAAGACAAATGTCGAAAACATTTAAAATCATACACACACATACAGTACTGTATACTTCTTTCTTTTTAATACCTACTGAAGCTGCCGTTAAAAAGTACATACAACATCATAGATTTTGTGATGACACCCCTGTAATGTGAAATTTGTACATAGTACATTTTGATATCTTTTTAGTATATTGTGTAAATGTTTAACTGCCTGTACTTTAGCTCTGGACTCAGTACATGCATTTTATATTCTTATAAAACTGTTGTATAACTTGTAGTGTAACAGAATCTCATAAGCTTGCACCGTGATACATGCAGCAGACTGCCTATACACATGTCTTTGTGCCTCTTCTTGCTACAACGCAATATAACATATTAAAGACAAGTTCTGTTCGAAATATTCAATTCAGCTCATGAAGACGCAAAAGCGGGTAAACTTATTTTTTTCAAACTCAACATTATCGTATAGGAATAAATCACCAGTCATCTTTACCTTATTATATCAATGTATTATACATATCTAGCCAGAGTAGATATTGGTGAAGCATGCATACACATATCCATACCAAAAACTAACAGGAAATTCACACAGCTTTAATAAAACGCTTCAATGGCTTTCTAATCTTAACAATTGCTCAGAATACTTCCTCTCAGGAGTTGCATCTATGACGCTTCATCCTTGTGGCTTCGTCTCATGTGGACAAGTAAGTTACTAGAAAATCTGAAACCTCTTTCACATAATTTACAGGAATATGGTTTCTCCCCAGTATGGACTCTTGTATGATACTTCAAATTTGATTTCTGAGCGAATGTTTTCGCACAGATGCTGCAGGAATATGGCTTCTCCCCAGTATGGATTCTTGTATGATACTTCAAATGTGATGTGGTATGAAATGCTTTCCCACAAGTGTTGCAGGAATATGGCTTCTCCCCAGTATGGATTTTTTTATGAGAGTTCAAAGCAGATATGTGAGTGAATGTTTTTCCACAGGTGATGCAGGAATATGGCTTCTCCCCAGTATGAATTCTCACATGATACTCCAAATGGGATTTCCGAGCGAATATTTTCCCACAGATGCTGCAAGAAAACGGTCTTTCCCCAGTGTGGATTATCATGTGGGCTTTTAAGCCTCTTTTCAATTTGAAATATTTTCCACATATTTGACAAGGAAATGGTTTCTCATCACTGTGGACTCTTTTATGAATCTCAAATACAGATTTATCCACAAATCTTTTCCCACAGGTGTTGCATACATATGGTTGATCAACACTGTGGAATCTTTTCACGTGGGCCAACAAGCTTTTTTTATGTTGGAAATATTTTCCACATGTTTCGCACAAAAATGTCTTGTCACCTGGAGTAGCCAGAATCTGCTGTTGTGGCTCCTTGTTGTTGTCGTCTGGTTCTGGTACCACAAAACGTTCACAGTCTATTTCCTCATCTAACCAGCTGGTACACGTGCTAGCTGGAGGCTCTGTCTCTGATTCACTCTGACTTCTGTCAGGATTCAAAAACGGAGTCTCATCATCACTGTGATCAGTTTCCTCACTAGTGGGAGTCAACGTAAAGGTGTCGGCCTCCTGCTTCGGTTCAAGCTGCTCTCCCTCCTGACTGCTGCACAGTTCCTCCTGTTCCTCTTTAATCTGTGGAGGATCTGGGTCCTCTTGGTCCAGACTGGGGTTCCTCTCCTGGAGACAGAGCTGCTGGTCACAGAGAACCTCCTCCTCCTTACAGACACGTGACTGCGGGAGCTCTGGAGGGACAAAAGAAATAGAAAAACAAACGTTGGAGCGAATAAATACAACGAGTGTGAATAAACCATCATGTGTCCTACTGTTCAATTAGTAACGTTTAAGAACATGTTTGTCGGATAAATTAAATGGCTCGTATTTGTTGCTTTAGACAACAGATGTTCCTAACAAAGTTGTACTCACCTATCCGGTGTAACCTCACTTTGGGTTTCAATAAAACATCCAACAGTCCGCGCTGCCGGTCGATCTCTTCCTGGTACTCGACGATGCTTCTTTTAAAAACTCCGAATATTTCTTCAGCAGCAGCAGATAGTCGCTCGTTGACAAACTCTCTCAAACCCTCAACTGAAGACATTGTTTCTTGGTAACCGATAAAATAATTACCTGCACACCACGCTACCGAGCAACGGCTGGATGTCACACTATAAAGTTCCGACTGGAAACACCTGTCTCATTAAGGTTCCGCTTGCCATTACGGTTGCCAGTCAGTCGTTTTCTTCTTCTTCTTCTTCTTTTGATTTTTATGGCGGTTGGCAAACAGCTTTCGGGTGCATTACTGCGTCCCCACTGATCTGGAGTGTGGACTTCTACTTCTTCGACTTCTACTAGAACTAAACCAAATAAAAAACATAACAAAAAACAACAAAAACAAAACAAAAAAACTCTCAAATTCTATTCATTAGTCTTGTATTCTCTAAATATGCCAAAAGGAGTTCCCAACACTTGTCCCCAATGCCCTGCGACTAAAACTAGACTAAAATGTTCTGAGTTTTTGTCGACGAAAACTAGACTAAAACTAAGAAAGATCAAAATGACTAAATGTGACTAAAACTAACATTTTTTGTCTAAAGACTAAGACTAAATAAAAAATAGCTGCCAAAATTAACACTGCTTCACACCCACCATAGGCCACGCTATGTGCACCTCCGCAATTTGCACATTTGAGCTCTGTCCCATCCTTACATTTCCGATACATGTTCCCTGTTGCCTTTACACGCTGCTGCAATATATCCGTGTTTTTGACATTTGAAACATAATTTGGGACATAGGCTCTTACATTGTACCTCATATGTCCCACAGTGACTTCATCAGGCAACACCCTCTCTTGGAAATTCAGCAACACTGACAAACTATCAACCCTTTCTCCCCCTCTTCTTACTTGCAGACGTTTAATCCCTATAATTTTCCCACCTCTTATACTTGATCTCAAATCTTCCACCCTTTCCTCCACTGGGATACCAAATATAACTCCTCACAAAGGGCCCATCATTTATCTTCTTAGCACTCTCAACCGCCATGGTGCACACCTTTTTCAGCTCCATTGCTTTCTCTCTCTGCTCCTCATCCTTACATTTGATCAACAAGCCGCCATCAGCCAGCACCATGGCCATCAAAATATCACCCACTTTCTCCTTCAACCCGCGGGTCAGAGCCACCTGACTCACTTTCCTAATATCATTAGCTTCCTTGAATCTCAAAATTACTTTGAACCCCACATTCTCAACAATCCTCCTCCTCATCCCCCTGCCTTCCTCTCTCCCTTCCAAACTACTACCAGATACACTATTACGATTCCTGGCTCGTTTATTTCTCCCTACTTCAGTCCAGTTATTGTACTCAATATCCTCACTCCTACTCTCTCCATCACTGTTCTCTCCAATCCTTAGTCCAGTCACAGATCAGTTTATGCACAATCCGCTCATACTATTTCTCCGTGATTTACGTCAACGCCAGACCGCGTGCTCTCCGAAATGTTTTTCCGCTCCTCAGTCACCGCCCGATCCCAAAAATCTTCTTCTTCTTCCTCCTTAAATATAATTGGCGGGTATGAACCAACTTGAAAAGATAGACTCTGCCACATACAGTTCTGGAGTGTGCAGTTTCAGGGTTCCATCACTGTTCGAACTGATGAAGACAAAACAACACCCAATCTGGTTTCTTTAAGAAATCTCAACAGTGCCCTGCAGATCTCGTGCCATTCCTCTTGTTACGGCCCTTTTGTAGATTCCAGGACAGTAAAACAACAATCAAAGACAGGCGACAGAGTCAGGGTAAAAGGCGTCTTTCTAGTTTTTATTCTTACACAAAAAAGATGGCTCCCAACAGGAGGGAGGGAGATGGTGGAAGATGGGACCTACAGGTTGCGCCAAACAAATGAAATGAATATAACAAAACGAGGCCTAGCTCACCACTGGCTCTTCATCCAAAACAAGTCAAACAAAATACCTTACCTGCTTCTCTAAAAAAGGACTAAAGGAAAACGTTACACAGGAGGCAACAACCACTACACCTAGTGTGTCTATACAAAGGTATACCTACGTGCAAGAATGTACAGGGTACCCTAACTTACTAAGGTCCTCAACCTCCACCTTACAAAACTCCAGTTTTGCTAGCAGCCAGCTAAAGCTCACGTACAGGAAGACTGGCCACCAGCCCGCAGCACAGAACACACACTCACTTCTCAGGAGTCTTCCTTTATGGACTGCCACCGGAACTGCTGATTGCTTTCCACCTGTGTTTGGAGTTGGCCAATCAGCATAATCACTGGGGGAGAGAAACCAATGAGCAGGAGGGAGAACGACAAGAACACATGCAGACTGTCCCCGTCTGGCATTTAACACCTCTTCCACTGCGAGAACTCCACTTCCGTCCCAACTGACTCATCTTTGGCTTCAAGATGTACCTCTCTGAATGATCTCTTATTTAAAATTACCCGGTGCATTTATCTGAATCCTTTTTGCCATTAAATAATGCCTTGAGTTAAGTCCTCTCTGTCAGAATCTCAATCTTCATATTTTGACCTCCTCCTCTCTATACTTCCCTTTGTATGTCTTCACATTTATGTGTTTCCGAATGCTATGATGTCCTCCTTTGTCATCTTTGTCCCACTTCTTCTGTCATACTTTCCTTACTGCTACTCTTATTAATGATTTAGCTTCCATCTTTCCAAAAGGAATATTCAATTACTTCTCTTCTTTTATTTCTGTCTTTGCAATCATATCTGCTCTCTCATTGCCCTCTACACCTTCATGTGCAAGGAGAGGCAAGGCAATTTTATTTGTATAGCACATTTCAACAACAAGGCAAAGTGCTTCAGATAAAACCATTAAAAACGTCCAAACATAAAACAAGGATATTTACAAAACCTTAAGAACATTGATTGAAACATAAAAGAAAAACGGTAAAAAGACGTAGAAAAAAGAATAAAACTTGTATGTCTTTAAGAATTCCAAAATGAAGAAATGGTCAATTAAAGGCAGCAGAAACAGAAAAGTTTTTAATCTGGATTTAAAGGAGCCGAGGAACTCAGCAGACCCGCAGCTTCCTGAGACTGTTCCAGACACGTGGAGCAGAAACACTGAACGCTGCTTCTCCTTGCTTAGTTTTGATTGGGAACATGAATACCTGAGTCTGATCTCCAAGTTTCTTTCCACCCATTTTTACTCAGTTCTATGAGTGTTATAATAATAATACCTTCATTTTATATAGCGTTTTTTCTAAATACCCAAAGACGCTTTACAAAGGGCAAAGACAGACAAAAACAAAAGACACAAACAGAACAGAACATTTAAGAAAAGTAGTTGCAGGCGAGATTGAAGAGGTGGATTTTGAGGACTTGTTTGAATGATGGAGTTTGGATCGTGAGGGCGATTCAGAGGGGAGGTGCCGCAACTGATGCTTGGTCCTGATGGTCTTCAGCGTGTTAGCATCGGTGGACCTGAGGCAACGGGTCGGGGCGTGGAGGGGGACAAGGTCTGAAAGGTAGGTAGGGGCCAGGTTGTTTGGAGCTTTGTAGGTGAGGAGTAATATTTTGAAGTCTATCCTGTATTTGTCCGGGAAGGTTGTAGAGGTCCGGCGACGATGATACCAAGGTTGCAGAGCAGAATGGATGGGGTGACGATGGAGCCATCCATGTTGAGAGAGAGAAGGTCTGTGCTGAGCGGATGAGGGAGTTAAGGCCGACGATGAGTTTTTCAGACTCATTGCAGTTGAGTGTGAGAAAGTTCTGTGGCATCCATGATTTTTTATCAGTGGGAGTGCAGCGGGTGACTGATGGTCCTGGATTGTTAAATCCACCTTGTTAGCTGGTAATATCCAGGGAGGAGCATTTCCCCACATTACCGTATTCTTTGGCTGCTGTATTGATAGTCCAACCAAACCCTTTGCTTCTACTTTCATTACGTTCATAAAGCACCTTCGTGGCAGGAAGTTCCTCTCCGGATCCTTTCAGCTTCACCCAATAAGCAAGAGGTAGCTTTGATCGTCTCAATCGTAATGCCAGTGTGTCAGCTTCCACCAGCAGTGCACATTTTTGGAGTGATTGTAAATGTGCCCATACTAAATCCAAATATTTCACCTTTACAGATTTTTTTCAGCAGTGGGAAATCTTTGATTGGAAGCTCTTTCTTTTCTTTTGGCTATTTAAGAAAAACATAAGAAAAAAAAGCCTCATGCAGGATAAAATCATGAGTGACTTCACTTGAGGGTTTATCAGTTTAAAAGGCCAATCCTTTTTTAATTATGCAGGATATGTTTGTGGTGGAAATTTGTAGATTTAGACCTGGTGAGATATCAAAAGTATCTTGAGCTTGCTTTGTGATTACGTATTTATTACCAACTAGAATACAGAAAAAAAATGATAAAAAAATACAGAAATCATCCACACAAGTACAGACAGAAGTAAAATGACTACAATTCAGCTGAAAAGGGACAGATTGTTCCTTCCCCCAAAAGGAGCCGGAAGATCTGACCAAGTTAAAGAGGAGAACAGGAGGTTTTATACACTTCAGGGAGGTTTGTGCTGCCTCAGCACAGGAGAGCACACCCCTCAAAGAGGAGTGTATGGAAAAGTACCAGACGACGTAGGGGAGACACCGTGACCTTCCATTAATGGACCCAGTCAATCAATAACATCTAAAAGGTCAGTCAGGGCACGAATGGTTCCATCTGTGTCTTATCTCACCCTGAACTGCCTTAGGTCACAGGCTCACATAAAAGGTCACATTCCTGAGAGACTCACCCGACGCAGGCTCAACAATTTTCCCCTGACAATGTTCACTCAACTTGCAAAAAAGATTTTTCAAAGATTTAAAGTGATTACAGTAAATTACCGCAAAACATGTCACTAACAGCACGTTACATGAAGTAAAAAACAGGCAAATTTAACAATACCTTCTTTTGTTGATAAAGAAGTACTATATAAATAATAATCTTTGAAATATCTCAGAATATTTCCTTAAAGGAGTTGGATCTATGACATTTCACACTTGTGGATTTTTCTCATGTGGACAATTAAGTTACTAGAACTTCTGAAACATCTTTCACATATTTTGCAGCAATATGGCTTCTCCCCGGTATGGATTCTTGTATGAGACCTCAAATGTGATTTGCAAGTGAATGCTTTCCCACAGGTGATGCAGGAATACGGCCTTTCCCCAGTATGGATTCTTGTGTGAGACTTCAAATGTGATTTGCCTGTGAATGATTTCCCACAGGTGATGCAGGAATATGGCTTCTCCCCAGTATGGACTCTTGTATGATACTTCAAACTTGATATATGAGTGAATCTTTTCCCACAGGTGTCGCATACATATGGTTGATAAACACCGTGGAATCTTTTCACGTGGGCAGAGAAGATTTTTTTACGTTTGAAATATTTTCCACATGTTTCGCACAAAAATGTCTTGTCACCTGGAGGAGCCAGAATCTGCTGTTGTGGCTCCTTGTTGTTGTCGTTTGGTTCTGGTACCACAAAACGTTCACAGTCTATTTCCTCATTTAACCAGCTGGTACACGTGCTAGCTGGAGGCTCTGTCTCTGATTCACTCTGACTTCTGTCAGGATTAAAAAACGGAGTCTCATCATCACTGTGATCAGTTTCCTCACTAGTGGGAGTCAACGTAAAGGTGTCGGCCTCCTGCTTCGGTTCAAGCTGCTCTCCCTCCTGACTGCTGCACATTTCCTCCTGTTCCTCTTTAATCTGTGGAGGATCTGGGTCCTCTTGGTCCAGACTGGGGTTCCTCTCCTGGAGACAGAGCTGCTGGTCACAGAGAACCTCCTCCTCCTTACAGACACGTGACTGCGGGAGCTCTGGAGGGACAAAAGAAATAGAAAAACAAACGTTGGAGCGAATAAATACAACGAGTGTGAATAAACCATCATGTGTCCTACTGTTCAATTAGTAACGTTTAAGAACATGTTTGTTGAAAAACTTTAATAATGTCTCGTCTTTGTTGCTTCAGACCACAGATGTTTCTAACAAAGTTGTACTCACCTATCCGGTGTAACCTCACTTCGGGTTTCAATAAAACATCCAACAGTCCGCGCTGCCGGTCGATCTCTTCCTGGTACTCGACGATGCTTCTTTTAAAAACTCCGAATATTTCTTCAGCAGCAGCAGATAGTCGCTCGTTGACAAACTCTCTCAAACCCTCAACTGAAGACATTGTTGCTTGATAACCGATAAAAATAATAACCTGCACTTCCACAAAACTGAGCAACACTATAAGGTTCCAACTGGAAACACCAGTCACATTAAGGTTCCGCTTTCCATTATGGTTGCAGGCATAGATGTATGTAACGGCTCGGTGTCTTACGGCGGAGTATAGAAAGTCCCCACATGGCGGTCAACTTGGTACAGTGCGCTCGCTCACCCATAACATTGTGTTGTTAGTGTTACATGTACTTTAAATAATAATAACTTTCAATATAATAACGCTCAATTTTCAACCGATTTCTAAACGTTAGAGATGTAATTGTAACACTGCATGCGTAGGAATAATGTTCTATTTAAATTTGTATTTGTATTAAAACCCATGGTTATAAACATAATGATTTATAAGTATACAGTGTCATAAATACATCTCTCTACAGGGTTTAACATGCAGCATTTCTTGATGTATATTTGTAAAGGGAAATCTCGTACCATTTATAACATTCTTCTATTTTTCAGAACACAACATAATTATTCATAGTATGTATGCAGTCTATACCAACATCTCTGATGTTTATAACAAACCAAACCATTCAAAGATCAGTTGAAAATTGAGCAAGTTATGGTTACTTAAAAACTAAATGTATCACTGCCAACACAATGTTATGGGTGAGCGAGCTGTCCGTACCAAGATGGCCGCGATGTGCGGGAGTTCGACTCCATTGGCCGGCCACAGCGGAGGACACATCTAGCCTTTATATTTCTCTATGTGTGATGGGTAGAGCTCTCCCCTCCCCCCCCTGCCTGTTTGGCCACACCACCTTAATTGGTGATGCCTAACAGGTGTGACCAGGTGCTCTTTAAATGGGAGCTTTTGCCCCACTAGAGCTAGAGGGGGGCTTGCTGTAGGTCTCTCACGGCATAGGCACAGCACTCGCCACGTGCGGATGGGTTTGAGCGGAATCTAGAGGTATGTCAGGGGTTTTCTGTTTCATGTTTTAATATGCTTTTTAGCAGTGAAATGTTTATTGGCGTTATTTACCTTTTCTTTCTTTTATACAGGAAATGATCAGGTGGTGCAACGCTGAGCCTGGTCACTGCTGTTTTTGCCTTTGATTTAAAATAGATTATGGTTACCCGGTTTATATAGTATCTTTGATTATGAATTGCTAATTTGTTTTCTTTCTGGGTTAGTGTCTTTGTTTTGTCCTACATAAACAACCATTACTGCGCCCTATACTGGGGGTCCCTTTAATGCCAGTGCAGGTGGGCATATAGTAGGCCTACAGGGGGTGGCTCACGAGGTGGAAGGCCCTTTCAGTTTATTTTGTTTGTTTGCTGTGTTTTAATTCTTTTTGATTTGCTGTGTTTTCTTTCCTTTGACCTGGTGGTGGCCCCCTTGTCCCCTTTTCACTCCCCCGCCCCGGTGGGCCTCAAGTAGTCACCTTGTACTGGTAGGGTACCCCAGTATAGTAATCCTTTTTCAAAGCATAGATTATATTTTGCCATAAAACCGACCAATGTTTCTGGATTGATTATTTCTTTTAAATATTAAACCTACTTGTAAATAAAAAAAACATTGTTACAAAACTGGAACTTCACCTCTCTGCTCCCTTTCTTTTTCATTACAACTGATATTCTTTGGGTGAGAGTCCCAAAGTGACGTTGTCACCCTTGTGACCAGGCGAACGGCCGCCCCGGTTACAAATGGTTTCAGGTCAGTGGTCTTCTCCACTTCTTCTTTGAATTTAATTTGGCAGGTAGGAACCAACGTGAATAGATACACACTTCCACCTACAGTACTGGAGAGTGGAGTTTCAGGGTAACAGTTTCATCACAGTTCTAACAAATAATAAACCACACCTAATCTTGTTTCTTTAAGAAATTTCAGTGACTTATGTAACTTTACACAGTGCACTTATCTGACTCCTTTTTTGCCATTAAATACAGCTCTGAGTTAAGTCCTGTCTGTCAGAATCTCAATCTTGATATTTTGACCTCCTCTCTTCTATACTTCCCTTTGTACGTCTTCACATTTATGTGTTTCGGAATGTTATGATAATCTCTTCCTTTGTCACAATTCTTTTCATCAAAAGCGACTTACAATAAGTGCATTCAACCATAGAGATACAAACTCAGAAGAACAAGAAAGTAAGCCAATTTGCTATAGATAAATGGCGTTATAACTACAATTTAAGTGCTACAGTTTGTTAGATCTCGTTTAACGAGTGTTTTGCTCTCATTGAAGGAGGAACGAGCAGTTAGTTAGATGAAGAGCGGAGAGTGCGGGTCGGGATGTCGGGTTTGACCATGTCCTGGATGTAAGCTGGACCCGATCCATTCACAGCATGGTACGTGAGCACCAATGTTTTGAACTGGATGCGGGCAGCCACTGGTAGCCAGTGAAGAGAGCGGAGGAGTGGAGTAGAGGCGGAGAATTTCGGAAGGTTAAAGACCAGTCGGATGTTGTAGAGCGTGTATCTAGATGATTGTGTTTTTGCAGTGATATTGGCAGTCAGGGAGAGTTTGCTGTCGAGTGTCACGCCGAGGTTCCTAGCAGTCAAAGAACAACACGGAGTTGCCAAAGTCCAAAGTCCTGGATCGGAGAAAGAGAAGTAGTTCAGTCTTGTCGGGGTTGATTTTCAGATGGTGAGCGGACATCCGTGATCCGTGCCGCCACTTGGGTGTCCGAGTGAGGGAAGGAGAGAATTAGTTGGGTGTCATCGGCATAGCTGTGGTAGGAGAAGCCATGCGAGCAAATGACAGCGCCGAGAGAGTTGGCGTAGAGCGAGAAGAGGAGGGGACCCAGGACGGAACTCTGAGGAACTTGTTGTAGGAGGACAAGGTTCCGACACAGATCCTCGCCAGGTTACCCAGTAGATGCGGCCGTCGAGGTTCCTGAAGGGAGGATATAAGGATCTGGTGGTTGATTGTGTCAAATGCAGCAGAGGTCCAGAAGGATGAGATTCCTTCATCTGTTTTACAAGTATTCCTCTAGTTGTTTTGAGCATTGTGTATGTATTTAAACATGTTAAACAATCCCTGATATGTTTACTCAACTGGAGAGGTCTTGCTACAATCAAAATTATGATTTTGCTTTGTGTGTACGTTTTATGAAAGTAAATCATATTGATTTGTTGTCGTTAATTAAAAGGTGTCTCGCATAATATGATTTAGTCATGGATTAGTTTTCCCAAAGGTTGTATCAATTAGTATATCAATCCGGAGAGACATGTTGAAATTTGAACAATGCTTTATAATAACAGGCATAAATATTTATATTGCCAAGTTGTTTGGGGCTCGGACTCCATCCTGCCGCAGGATAGACCAGGGGCCGGGATGCCGAGCCGAGATGGGGCATACCCCCCCCCCCCCCCCTTGGGAGTCCAGACACTGGTGGTGGTGGAGTTGCTCCAATCTCCTGATATGCCAGGTTCTGCTGTAGATTGGATGGAGTTGAACATCAGCTCTATCACAAAGAAGGCTCAGCAGAGGTTGTTCTTCCTGAGGCAGCTGAAGAAATTCAACCTGCCAAAGACGATGATGGTCCACTTCTACATGGCCATCATCGAGTCCATCCTCTGCTCCTCCATCACAGAGGGACGGGGTACACTGCAGCCACAGCCAAGGACAAGGGCAGGCTGCAACGTGTCATCCGCTCTGCAGAGAGGGTGATCGGCTGCAATCTGCCGTCCCTGCAGGACTTGTTCGCTTCCAGGTCTCTGAAGCGAGCTAAAAAGATCGTAGCCGACCCCTCTCACCCCGGACAAAACCTGTTTGTGCCCCTTCCATCTGGCCGGAGGCTGAGGTCCATCAGGACTAAGACCTCCCGCCACACGAACAGTTTCTTCCCGTCGGCAGTTGGGCTCATCAACAGAGCCGGTCCCCCACTGACTGACTATAACATTCCACCGGTCACTCTCCTTCATACTGCACATGTCACTTTAACTGCAATTTTTCACTTTGTCGTCACTCGTCACTTTGTTACTTGATCGCTAGTGTACTTGTGCTTAATATTTTTTTAATTATTAATTTAATTTTATTAATTTAATTATTTTTTATTTTTTTTTATTTTTAACTAACTTTATTCTCATTTTATACTAACCCATAGCCTTATTCTACTAACCCATTGCATTAGCATTTCATTTTACTTTATTTTATTACTTGTACACTGCTGTCTTGTTGTCTATTACACTGTCTACTGTCACGCACCAACCACCAAGACAAATTCCTTGTATGTCTGACATATTTTGGCATTAAATGTTTCCTGATCCTGGTACACGTGCTAGCTGTTTCTATCAGTTAGACCCTCGCCCTGCACAACGTTAACAGGCCTACACGCAGTAGCCACCCATTTAGCTATGGCTGCAATAAGTTTGTTCTTACTTTTGGTATCCATGTGTTTCTGTCGGAAGTCATCCATTCTTGTCTGGCTATGACGAGGGGGCGGAGAGTTTGCATCAGCTGTGTGCTTGGCCATCAAGTGGCATTTCAGACTGGATGTGCTACGATAATAGCTCAGTTCAAAGTTACTAGTTATTGCAAGAGCATGCGACAAAAACTACAGTTTGCGAGGGCAAAAAGAACATTAATCTCACGAGAAAGAAATTGACATTGTTAAAATGGGTTCACACTAACATTGTTAATGACGTGTTTAACTGACAGCACTTAAATATATATAGGGAATGTTTTGCCCCAGGTGATGCAAGAAAACGACTTCTACCCAGTATGAATTCTTATGAGACTCCAAATTGTGTTTCTGAATGAGCTGTCTCATGAGGGGCTAACATTTCAACAATGTAGCTCAGAGCTAAAACCAGACGTGCTTTAAAGATGATCAATTAAGTCAATTTTAAAACTAACAAGAAGCCAGGGGAGAGATCGTTTTCCCGGGCCTTGTGACTTTTATTAGAGCGTCAAGTGTTGATCTACCTTTACGAAAACCGTCCTCTGATTTATTTAGCGAGCCCATTTGTTCTAAAAAAGGCAGGATGAAATCAAGAGTGGACACCACCTGAGGGTTTATCAGTTTAGGGAATCAATCAACTTTATTTGCCAGAGATTTTTTGAGATTGACAATAGTTTTTTTTAAGGGTTTGGGTTAGGGTAATTCATTTAATAATAACTTTATTTATATAGTACCTTTTAAAAAGCATTGTTTACAGAGTACTTTACAGAGAAGTAGACATTGTTATACATAACGTCAATACAGGTAAACATTTCAGAAAATACAGAAGTCAAAAGGGATCATGCCATATCGAAAATGAACACAACAGCAACAAGCACAGAAGACCAAAAAAATACATATGTGTATATATGCATATAGATATATACACACACACACACACACACACACATATATAGACGTCAGACAAACTAAATTAACAGAACCATAAAACTTCATAAAAGGACGTAAAAGGCCAACATCACTTAAAGGCAGCTCTATAGAAATGGGTTGTAGGGAGTGATTTAAAAGAAGACCCTGATTCTGCAAGCCTTATCCTCTTAGGTGTGCTGCTCCAAAGTTGAGGATCTCTAATGGCAAAAGCACGGTCACTGCTTGATTTAAGCCTCGCTTTTGGATCGGCCAAGCTGGAGGATCTAAGGCGGCTGCGAGCTGGCTCATGTGGGGCTAACATTTCAACAATGTAGCTCGGGCCCAGACCCAGACGTGCTTTAACGGTGATCAATTAAATCTTAAAGTCAATTTTAAAACTAACAAGAAGCCAGTGGAGAGAGACCAGGACTGGAGTAATGCAATGCCGTCTGATACAACCAGTCAGAAGCCTGGCTGCTGCATTCTGGATTAGTTGGAGAAGGGAAATGGATTTTTGGTTCATGCCGAATAGGAGGGAGTTGCAGTAGTCTAGTTGGGAGAGAACCTATGTATGAATGACTTTTTCCAGGTCTGAGTATCATAGCATGGGTTTACTTTTTGAGATCTTAGTTGAAAAAAGCAGGAATGAAAAAAAAATTTGATCGGTGATTTTAAGTTTAATTGATGAGTGAATGTTCTTCCAGTCAGGATTCGGCTAGATGGTTACGCCTGTCAGAAGAGGAGTTACTAAGCATGACTTTTGACCGCCCTAATAGAACGCTTCAACGCCTTTCTAATCTTGGATATTGCTCAGAATTAAACTCACAGGAGTTGCATCTATAACGGTTCATCCTTGTGGATTCTTCTCATGTGCACATTTAAGTTACTAGAACTTCTGAAACCGAATTTGCATATTTTACAGGAATATGGCTTCTCGCCAGTATGGATTCTTATATGAGACTTTAAATTTGATGTTCGTGAGAAGGTTTTCCCACAGGTGATGCAAGAATATGGCTTTTCCCCAGTATGATTTCTTGTATGATACTTCAATCGTGATTTCAGAGGGAATGTTTTCCCACAGGTGGTGCAAGAATATGGCTTCTCCCCACTATGAATTCTTATATGAGACTTCAAATGTGATGTCTGAGTGAACGTTTTCCCACAAGTAATGCAAGAATATGGCCTTTCCCCAGTGTGAATTCTTGTATGAAACGTCAAATGTGATTTCAGAGTGAATGTTTTCCCACAGGTGTTGCAAGAAAACGGCCTTTCCCCAGTGTGAGTTTCCATGTGGAATTTTAAGCCATTACTAAATTTGAAATATTTTCCACATATTTGACAAGAAAATGGTTTCTCATCACTGTGGACTCTTTTATGAAGCTCAAATGGTGATTTATCCATGAATCTTTTCCCACAGGTGTTGCATACATATGGTTGATCAACACTGTGGAATCTTTTCACGTGGGCCAACAAGCTTTTTTTATGTTGGAAATATTTTCCACATGTTTCGCACAAAAATGTCTTGTCACCTGGAGGAGCCAGAATCTGCTGTTGTGGCTCCTTGTTGTTGTCGTTTGGTTCTGGTACCACAAAACGTTCACAGTCTATTTCCTCATCTAACCCGCTGGTACACGTGATAGCTGGAGGCTCTGTCTCTGATTCACTCTGACTTCTGTCAGGATTCAAAAACGGAGTCTCATCATCACAGTGATCAGTTTCCTCACAAGTGGGAGTCAACGTAAAGGTGTCGGCCTCCTGCTTCGGTTCAAGCTGCTCTCCCTCCTGACTGCTGCACAGTTCCTCCTGTTCCTCTTTAATCTGTGGAGGATCTGGGTCCTCTTGGTCCAGACTGGGGTTCCTCTCCTGGAGACAGAGCTGCTGGTCACAGAGAACCTCCTCCTCCTTACAGACACGTGACTGCGGGAGCTCTGGAGGGACAAAAGAAATAGAAAAACAAACGTTGGAGCGAATAAATACAACGAGTGTCAATAAACCATCATGTGTCCTACTGTTCAATTAGTAACGTTTAAGAACAAGTTTGTCGGATAAATTAAATGTCTCGTCTTTGTTGCTTTAGACCACAGATGTTTCTAACAAAGTTGTACTCACCTATCCGGTGTAACCTCACTTCGGGTTTCAATAAAACATCCAACAGTCCGCGCTGCCGGTCGATCTCTTCCTGGTACTCGACGATGCTTCTTTTAAAAACTCCGAATATTTCTTCAGCAGCAGCAGATAGTCGCTCGTTGACAAACTCTCTCAAACCCTCAACTGAAGACATTGTTGCTTGATAACAGATGAAATAATAACATGCACTTCCACGGCACCGAGCAACGGCTGGATGTCACCCTTTAAGGTTCCGACTGAAAACACCTGTTTCATTAAGGTTCCGCTTGCTGTCGTGGTTGCAGGTCAGCCGTCTTCTTCTTCTCCTTCGTCTCCCTTTTTTCATAATGTTTAGTGGCGGTTGGCAAATAATTAATTGGTACATTACCTTCACTATCTAGTATGGAGCGGGGGTCCGGACGCTCACTACTAATTTTGTTTGAATTTAAATATTTTTAAAAATCCACCAAAAATAATATATGAAGGCAAATAACGAAAACATTTAAAATCATATACACATACAGTACTGTATACTTTTTTCTTTGAGTGCAAAGTGCAGTGTTTACGTGCACTTTGAGTGCACGTAAACACTGTTCATTCACTGGAATTTGGGATATCTTACATGCATTTTATATTCTTATAAAACTGTTGTATAACTTATAGTGTAACAGAATCTCATAAGCTTGCACGGTGATACATGCAGCAGACTGCCTATACACATGTCTTTGTGCCTCTTCTTGCTAAAATGCAATATAACATTGTAAAGACAAGTTCTGTTCGAAATATTCTTCAATTCAGCTCATGCAAAACGTGGGTAAACTTATTTTTTTCAAACTTAACATTATCGTATAGAAATAAATCAATGAACACCAGTCATCTTTACTTTATTATATTACGATATTATAATACAAATCTAGCCAGAGTAGATATTGGTGAAGCATGCATACACATATCCATACCAAAAACTAACAGGAAATTCACACAGCTTTATACAGTGCATTCCAAATCATGCATAATACTATCACACTACCTTGGAGTAAAAACATATTTTGTGTTACCCTTGTTTTAGACTGTCAAGAGTCAAGGATATTTACCAGGTCCTCATGTCGTAATACCCAGACGCCAAGAGCCTCCTCACATGAAGCATGTTGAGTGCGACCAACAAAGTTCTTTCAAAAAAACACAGATGAATATTACCATGTAAACTTATGACATTTGTACATATACATTTTTTCCACCAGTGACCTTATATGAAACTGAAACAATCACAAAATTCAACACGAATGATATAATAACATGAACGAAATAATCAAGTTAATTTAACCAAATAATGATGGCTTTCTTGATTAAGTACTACTTAATTAAAACAAAATATTTTGACCTTCTTTAAGGAAAATATTTGACTTTTAATACAGCAACTATAAAAAAATTATGTCATTGCAAAGGTCTATTGGTTTTACTGAGAAAAAACACTAGTGAGCATTCTGTTTCCCTCTTTATGGGTTGTTGTATCAAGTATGATATTTAATATACACTTTTCACACTAGTTTTGCATTAATTTGGCTCTGTGTTGGTTTTAATAGAATGCTTTCTTTTATTCCTTTGCAATGAAAGAAATATATATTAGGAATATTTTCCTACAGTTGTCGAGGCTATGACTCGTCATCTGTATGGACTCTTTTGTGAGTTCTCAATTGTGATGTCCAACTAAATCTTTTCCCACACAACTTACAAGAATAAGGCTTCTCACCTGTATGGACTCTTGTATGAGCATTTAATAGTTTGCTCCAACTGAATCTTTTCCCGCAAGTGTTGCAAGAATACGGCTTTTCACCTGTATGGATTCTTACGTGAGTGATCAATACTGATTTTCGATTGAATTTTTTCCCACACATTTTGCAAGAAAACGGTTTTTCACCTGTATGGATTCTTAAATGAGAACTCAAAAGAGATGCCCGACGGAATACTTTTCCGCATGTGACGCAAGGATACGGTTTCTCACCCGAGTGTATTTTTAAATGGCTGTTCAATGTCGACATCTGACTGAATATCTTCCCACAGGTGATGCAAGAATATGGTCTCTCACCTGTGTGTGTTCTCATATGAGTTTTCAACGTAGTTGATCTAGCAAATCTTTTTCCACATGTGCTACACGGATGTGGTTTCTCACCTGTATGGACTCTCATGTGTCTCTCCAGTGTGGACTTATACTTAAAATGTTGTCCACATTTGTCACATTGCAAAAATTCTTTACCTGTGATTGCATTACAGGTCATTGTTGACATAGTGGGGTTATAGACATCGTTACTTTGACTGCCTCTTTTGTGCTTTTTCTTATTGAATTTAGGCTCTCGAGTTGTAGTTGATTCAGTGTCTCCGTGTTTGCCTCCTTTCTGAATTTCGCGTTCAGCATCACGAGAGTTGTAAGAGAGAAGCTGGTGTTCAGTGTTTGGTTCAACTGAAATGTAACCTAGAGATGATTCCTCTACCACACTCTGAGAATCGTCAGTAGACCAATCCAGAAGTTGATCTTCACCGTAGCCTCTTTCCTCACAAGTAGGAGACAACGTAAAGGTGTCGGCCTCCTGCTTCGGTTCAAGCTGCTCTCCCTCTTGACTGGTGCACAGTTCCTCCTGTTCCTCTTTAATCTGTGGAGGATCTGGGTCCTCTTGGTCCAGACTGGGGTTCCTCTCCTGGAGACAGAGCTGCTGGTCACAGAGAACCTCCTCCTCCTCCTTACAGACACGTGACTGCGGGAGCTCTGGAGGGACAAAGAACCCAAGTAATAGGTTACTGCAGCGAGGGTAAAAATAAACAATACGTTTCTATTTCAACCATCGGGATCATATTTTTGTCACATTTCTTCGTTTTTTAAAGACCATTGTGGTTTAACACACCTAGCCTGTGTAACTTAATATGTGGTTTCCAAACGACATCCAACAGTCTGCGCTGCCGGTCGATCTCTTCCTCGTACTCAAAGATAGTTTTTACAAAAACTCCACATATCTCTTCAGCAGCAGCAGATAGTCGCTCGCTGACAAACTCTCTCAAATACTCAACTGAAGACATTTTTCTTGGATTGCAAATATGATTAGATTCGCAACGACGACAGCGTATCGCTCACTTCCGCCGAGTGTCACACTGCCAAGTTCCGGTAGAGGACTGTATGAAGATTTGTTCCGCCCGTAAGTGTTATTACAGAAAAAAATTCTGTATGGCTGTGAATTGTTCCAGTACCATCAATATAATGGTGGTCTCTGTATTCAAAGCAGTTGGTGGACCAGGAGTTATATTTCATATAATTATATTCGTTTGTGTTTTTACTTTTCCCCAAGTACTGCAGTGTTTTTTTCACATGGTAAGGTTGTATGTATTGTTAGTGTAACGTGTCCTATTTTAGTTTAACATTCATTTGCTTTGGCTCTACTTACATTATATCCTAATATGTTGTGTCAAACTTCTTAATAAATTATATCGAAAATATCTGCAAACTCATCTGTTCAAACTGCAAAATGACCCAAAATAGAAAAGTACTGCATATTCAGCTGTACATCATCATCGCAGATTCTGCAAGTGGGCTAAATAAATCAGCTAAATACATTTGATCTAATTTTGAACCAATGACTAAGTCAATTAAATAAATGAACATGTTCATTAAGAATTGACAGACCTATCTACTGCTATTCCTTAATTTTAATGTGATACGGTGTGTCCTGTGTGTTATTTTCACTACGTACATTTTGTATGTCTCTCACCGTGTGTTTCTTAACGTGTTATCACTGTTATGGACCGCAGAGGGTCGCACAGATGCCAATTGGGAGAATCTATAATCTGGTAAAACAAAACAATTGTTCTTGTACAAGAGAGACGGAACAATTTAACAACAGCACCACATCCGGTCTGCTTCCGGGGGGGGGGGTCACGTCGAGAAGGCATCGCTTCCTGTGGCACATCGCTAGCGCTTGTTGACTTGTGTTTTGTTTTGCCGCAGTAGATGGGTTAGGCTGGACGGGTTTTTTCAGTCTAAGTGTATGTTAGGGGTTTAGAAAAAGTTCTAAATGGGAGCATATTATTGTGCTATTTGCAGGCAAACAACATTCACTGGAAAGGGACACATCTTCGGCAAAAACCACCAAAGCAGACTTCGAGTGGTTCTTCTCAAATTCTTAGAAAAGGTAAGGGATTCGCTCCTTGTGGATTTATTCCCCGAGGTTGCACCGCCGTAACAATCTTCCACCATTCTGGACGGGACATGTTACTAACGTTGGCCCTGAAGCTAACGTTAGCTTGCTAACGTAATACGTCACAATCCTAAAGAGATGTGACATTTAGGAGTTACTGGCATTTGGTCTGTCACCAAGAAAAACGTCATTTGAAGCTAGTCTTTAACTAGCTTGTATGCTTCCGTTAAATTCCTCTCATGCATTGTTTCCTAGGTGAAAGAAGCTCGTCGAACACTTAAAAAACCCCAAGTAGAAAAGTTTTACTGCACCCAGCCGAAGAAGACGTTCTGGTGCTACTGCTGTGGCTGTGAGATTGAAAGAGATGTTACCGACGGGAACATGAATGTGCTGTATGGAGGCTTGTTGGAGCACATGGCCACGTAAGTTTGACTTGATGGATTTATATTTAGGGGTTTTTCGCCCATGATTAAAAAAAAATTGAAAACACAATTGTAAAAAGTTCCACTTTCTGTGCCTGTATTGGTGATGCATTTTGGCTTCAGCCCGGAACACAGGAAGAATACTCACAAGTTCTGGTGGGAGAATAAGGCCGACCCCAAGTTGAGGGACAAGGTCATCATCACAGAGGAGGAAACCGAGAGGTAAGTCCATGCGTCAAGAAGCAACTTCATGAAAGATTCTTTACACGGTTAAGTGTTTCATTTCTGTTTAGGTTTAAAGCCGAGGTGGAGAAAGCATTGGACTCATTTGTGGAGATAGAGGATGAATTTATTAAACAGGTAATGCAAAATGACTGTTATTACCTTATTAACTAACTAACAGACCAAGAGCAAAAGGCCTTATTATGGCTTAACGTTTCCAAAGCGGGGTTACTTTAATCAGACTGTTTTTCTTTCCATGGCTGCAGCAAGCTGATACCATCCGGACCCAGGAAAAGAACCGCAGAGAGCTCTTCCAGTCTCTTTTAGAGGTTTGTTTTCCATGGATGCAGTGGCAGTATCCATCACTGTGGCCTTCTGTTTGTTTGCATGACATGATTTTGAGTAACATCTAATATGAGAAATGGCTAAATTATTGTACCTGCCCAGCTAGTTAACTAATTGTATTCGGTAGTTTAAAGGGAAATAAACTTTGGTTTATCATTTGACAGTAAAAATTCTGAAAACCTTTTTTTAGTTTTTACTTTATTTTAACGTTGCGACCAAAGTAATATGTGATGATTGTGGTGCTAAAACGTGAGATGGAGCATGATTAGTGCTTAGACTTCCGCTATGAACCACTGTTGGCTTTTCCTGAATCAATATCAGCGGGACACAGAGCCAGAGTTGTTCAATGGACCCAACGGCACAGACAAGTCTGCCGAGGAAGCTGTCAGGTAACACTGTGTCTACCGCCGTCAGTTAGTCCTTTTTCTGTCATTGTCGATAGCAGTTGACATCACTTCTGACTCGTCTTGTTGTCTCTGGAACAGCTCTCAATTTACACCTCAGGGATCCCACCATCAGGCGGGGAGCAACGTTGTCAAGTCAATGGTCAAAGCTCCTCGTGCTGGATCAGGACAAGGTCTGACCTTCATCGGCTACCAGGTAGACAGACAATTCTCATTAAAAAAGGGCTCAAGTTTGGGTTTTTTTCACACAAATGCGACCACCTCAGTTGAACACTTGGTTTTTCTGTTACAGGATTCAAACACTGGAAATGTACATACAGGTACAGTGATACAGTATTGTTTTTAAATAGTGAAATAGCTGGAGAAATGGCATGGGAGGATGGATTATTTGATAGGAAAAGTGGCATGTGTTTTTATGTTAGAGTTGTTTTCTATTCGAAGCAGTTATTTTAAATAATTACATATAAAAAAGTATATCATCATACTGTTAAAATCGTATCTAATTTTAATCTAGTTTAACTCTAAAAGTGTATTCCATTTGTTTTCCAGATCAGGCTCTCTTCTGGTTTTGATGTGTTTGGTGGATGTATATTTTGTACAGTCATGAGCTTAGTGTACTTTTTGTGTGCGATTGATGGTGAATAAGCAGATCTCCTCTCTGTCGTAGGCGCCTTACCTCCGTGGCTCCAGGAGGATCCTCTTGAGGGGACCTCCGCTGCTGCAGGACATCCTCAGATTGGCCCATCGCTTGAAGGGTTCCTCAAACAGAGTAGGAATCGCACGCACGCGCACACATTGGCTTATTTCGTTTTTAATGATACAAAGATCATTCCATCTACACTGAAGGAAGGATAAATAATAAAACCCTAAAAAAATGTTTGAGTATAACGAAGTGCCTCGTATGCTTTGGCAGAGGAGCAAGAGAAGCTGAAGAAACTTCCACCCAACAGAGTGGGCGCCAACTTTGATCACAGCTCACACACAGACGCCAACTGGCTCCCCTCCTTTGGCAGAGTGTGGAACAGTGGCCGACGCTGGCAGTCCAGGTGAGGTCTCAACTCTTCACACAACTAATATGCAACAACTAAACGGGAGGATTCCCCTCATTCCATCTCGACTCTCTCTCTCTCTCAAATGAAACAGAGATGGTAAACCTGATGCTCTTAGAATGTAAAATATATTCGTTAGGTAATTATTAGCATACTATAAATGTATTGCAGCTTGATTCAGTCTTACTTTATATATAAATTTATATATATTATTTTTTATTGATATGGAGCTTTTGACTGATCTTGCAGCCAATGGAGTATTTGGATCTGTAAAGGTTTATTTCCATCTGATGTCACTGGCTAAAAATCAGAAAGGCACATCGTGTTTGATTTCAAGCCGACTAGATCAACTTCAGTGTACTTTGCATGCAAATCTTACTGCTTTTCAACAGGCACCAATTCAGACAAGAGGAAGGACAGAAAAAAAGGCCGAAGAGGAAGAAGGAGCTTGACACAGAGGGGTCGAAGAAAGCAAAAACGACTGAACAGTCGACAAACTCTGTCGATAACTGATTATTATTATTATGTGAGAAGTGAATGAAGGGATGTATATAGTTTACAAGATGTGAATGAGATTTTCTTTTTGAGTGGTTGTGCTGTGTTCAAATGATCCGGCTTTCTCTATAACCTACTCGACCAAGTGTGCAGTATAGTTCATATAAACTTGGATTCATTTCTTAATGGTTTTGTGTTAAACACTTTGTGGTCCAACTTCACAAGATCATTTCCAAAATAATTTCCTAGATTAAAATGTGTATGCTCACGTCACACTCAAAGATTTAAAGATTGTGTTTTTAAGCGAGTTACTTGTTTCACCACAGCTTTTTGCAACAATAACATGACAGTTCTGATAAGTGGGCAGCAGGGGGCGCCAGCCGCTGGACTGATCTCACCTGCTGTGTGATAACATGAGGCTCTATGAGAGCAAGCTGTTGAGGCCAACATTTAGACAACAGCTCTGTTAAGGACCTCACATTTAATATCCACTTGAACAATATTTGTCTGTATCCAGCAAAGATAAAACTCATCATTGATGAATAACTTTTGTTTCTGCCCCCTTTTTCTGACCTATCAGTGTTACTCCGGAAACAATTCTAAATTGGAATATGCAGAATTAGAGCAGCAGCAGCAGTAGTTGTTGTATGGACCTCAGCAGAAGAAAAAAACCTTTTGCAGAGAACTCGTTCAACCAAATGAAGAACTTTCATTTCCCCTTTCAGAACATGATAGAGAATGCAAATGTTTGCCGCTTTGACACAAGATGTGACCAAAGACAGTTGATTAAGCTTTAAATTGCAATTGGTCAATACTACTACTCTCCTGAATTGATCCACAAGGAGGATTCAATTTTGTAATGCAGACTTTAGCAGTGCTCAAAACGTGTGTGTTACTTGACCACTGGTTTTGTAATAGCTATATAGCTAAAAGGTCCTGCAACATGTGATGCAGCATAACCGATGAAGGATAACATAAATAAAGAGAGGTCAGTTTTCGATGACCATGTGTAGTGTTTGTATGGCAACAGAGAAATGGCTCAGAGCAGCAAATGAAGCAAGTATTCCCCTCCCGAGCTCCCAGTCGGCCTTTCTTCTATCTGCACAGACCTCCCTCTCTCCGTGGTAAGGTATAATCAGGCCCCAGTGTGCACGGAGTGAATGGGCGTGGAGCTCAGTGCAGCTGCAAGTTAATCTGAGAATACAACGTGTAGCTGATCTATTCTTAGCTGTGTGACAACACGACTGAAAAAAGGGGTTTACCATCTGTACATTTAAATGCGTTCTTAACCGTCGCAATAGACCGTAAACACCCAGGCTCGATGTCAGTGCTTGGGTTAGTGAAGCACAGAACAACATTTTATTTGATATCAGATCATGGTTTGTTGTATTTGTCTGTAAAATCTTAAGATCTATGTACAGGCATACCATTCACCCTGTGCACTAAAAAATGGGAGGGTATAAAAAGCACGTGTATTGGGCGTTTCTTGAGATTATTCATTGTCCAATCCCCGAGTCGGATTTCTGTATACATTTGCATGTTTAAAAAGAAGCATACTCCCTCAACGTTGATTGGTTAAGAATAAAAGAAGCGGCCAATCGCTTAAATGACAGCCGCTCAGCTGGCCGCGAGGCCACGCCCTCCAAATATTAACGAGCAAAACCCCGGAAACGTTGTCGTTTAAAGAGACAGGAGACATCTCAGGCAAGGTTGAAACAACGAAAACAGCTGCGAGCACAAAAAAAAGAAAAGAAAGGCAGGCACAGGGAGGAGAGGGACGTGGTCAACCCCCCCAAAAAGCGAGCTATGTGGCAAGAACAGACTGGGAGGGCGAGACTGAATCCGTACGGTTGTTCCAACCACCAGACTACCAGCTACGGCTGCTAACGGCTTTTAGCATCGGAGTCGACTTTCGCCCCCTTGGCTACCTGGAATGCGACAACGCAGCAGCCCGCACGAGAGATAACAACAAAAAAAAGGCCAAACTCCCAAACGACACGGACACGTCAGCTCGGGCTGCCAGGCTGTGCGTTTTCCTTCGGAGTGTACTTTTACTGTTCGGTAAGTAGGCTTCAACCTCTTTAAATGCAGCCTGCTGTACCTACTGCATTGTGTGTACTTTGATGGGGAAAACTGGAATTTTGTCTCATCCCTTTTTTGTTCTTGATGCTTGCGTTTAAATGCTAACGCTTGAAACGCACAGGTTGTCACAGTCATCATTTTGTTCCTAAAAGAATGATAGGAATCCAGCCTGATCCAGCGGATGACCTGACAGTAGCTCGCAGGGTGCAGGGGGCGTTCCCTGCTTTGTCTGCCTTCCTCGGGCTTTCGGTGTGTGTGTGTGTGTGTGTGTGTGTGTGTGTGTGTGTGTGTGTGTGTGTGTGTGTGTGTGCGCGTGTGCAGCATGTCTGCGGTGGTTGGGGACAAAGTGATGGGCAGATTATGTATTCATCACCGCCATGGGTGTGTGTGTGTGTGTGTGTGTGTGTAGTCGAAATGCATGTGTAAATAAAACATTTTGAGAAACGCACACTCACGCCCTCTTGGCATTGTACATATGGGCTGTGCAAGTGGGAGGGATCCACCAGCACTGCCTTGTATTTATACCTACGTGTAAATATATGTCTGTGAGATTATGTCCACTCAGTGGACGAAGTGATGAGGAACACTGTTACATGAGAGGGTATAGCACTGTGGGCGTAGTTCCCTTGGGTGCACTTGGGAGTTTCATTGCATCGTGCAGACAAGGGAGCTTTGACGTTGGCACTAAAGCCAGGTATATAACATATATGAAGTGTGAGGATAGTTAGTTATTGCAGTGTTATTATGCTGCATTTATCCCGACAAGCAGCCCAGGATGGCATTTACATGCACATCATGCTCAAATAGTCACATTCACCATACAGGGAATCCATTAACTGTTTCACACATGGATCTAAATAGAGGATTTTTTTTTTCACACCACACAAACACGCACACACATTGCTGCAGCAAATCCATCTGCAATAACTCTACAATTTTCTCTCTCTCGCTTGTCCTTGCAACACTGACAGCCACCCCCCACCTCCCTGTCTAGGAGAAACGAGTGGGCTTTGTCCTCAGCTGAGTGTGACGTCACACACATCTTTGCTGTAATCAACCATGAAGGCGAGGTGCATTATGTTTAGCTGTCCTGAGTCTGGGCTTATCCCGTGAAGGATCACTTTGTGACTTGAGTTTGCAAATGACAAAAAACACAATGGGGGGAAAAACCTCAAAAGACAATTCAAAGATACTTAAATCCTGTCACATCATATGAAGGGAGTGGTTTAAACCCCCTCACCAAATGCTGTTCTGTGCTCCAATGCTATCCAGCCAGGTACATTGAGTACACAGGTACATTGAGTCACAAGTAGCTGTCTGGGTCCTCATGGTAATGAACTGAGGCACGAGTACCCGTTTAGGCTGTTTAGAAGAGTATTCTGGTCTACATGGCGCTAACTTGAGGCATGTAATTCTGTAAGAGACCAGTTTCTCCCGATTCTCTCATAAATAGATTATAACCAGACTAACAATGTTACAGCCTGGGTCAAACATTGGCCTGCGTGCGGCTCTTCTTACCTTGCCTGTTGTTCAGTTACCTTCTACCATTTTATTCAGTTAATCTGATAATCAGTGACATTAAGGATTCTAAATCAACAGACACCATTCAGCCTCTGGTCCCCTTCATTTACCTCCCATACTTCTTATGGCTCTCTGACTGAGTGGTCATGGTTCACTGTGGCAATTCTCCTTTTTAGTGTCTGAACCCAGCAGGGCTCCGTATGTGTGGAAAGTTGGTGTGGCTATTAAATGCTGTGAGCTGACGAAGGCTTGTGGTCAGCCCTCGAATGTGTTGATGTCAGAGATTACAGATGATTATGTGGGTTAGATTCCGTACTCAACACTGCTCTGGGCCATATTGATCTCTCTCTTGTTTGTGTGTGTGTGTCCTTATGAGAGCTAAATCACCTCTATTAAATAAAGAGCTATTTCAAATACTCATCCTAATGGCACATGCCCCTTTATGTGCTCAATTCAGGGCTTGGGGACCAGTGACAAAAAATAGTGCATTTTTTGAAGATTGCAACATCCGTCACACAGACTGAACGCAGGAAATTGTACAACCAAATGTCCTCTCACGAAAGAAAGTCAAATACACTTTTCTGGTTGTCACTATATATCGTAACTATATTTTTCTCCCCTAGCAGATTATTCCCTAAAAGGCACCTGTAGCTTTGACATGACATCACCCTGGGCCTGACACAAACGGACTAGCTGAACCGAGCTTCAGGCTCACCAGTGAAGGTCAGTTTGTTCTCTGACAAACCCTTCGGTGCCTGTCAATGAATACGCTTGGAATGAGAGACAATTTAAAATGTGGCAGCGGGGCAAAGTCCAATGACAATCAGACTCGACTCAACAATGGAATAACGCAGTCATAATGACGTTGTCACTTAAGGAGTATTTTTCTTCGTATCCCTATGGTTGAATGCTCTTATTGTAAGTCTCTTTGGATGAAAGCGTCAGCTAAATAACATGTAATGACATGTCATTTCTAAATCTAATCCAAGTGTCTAATCTAAGTGTCTTTATATCAGTTAGTTCTTTAAAAACCATCTGATGTCCACTACTATCTTTTAATGGTAGAAATACCAGCACCAACAGTCTGAAAGGTCCTCTTGCGTCAGGTGCTCCTCTTTGTGTTTTTGTGGCAGCAGCCTCCTCTACTTTATTCAAACACTGCTGACAATAGAAGTGCAGGCAGAGGGAGGAGGACGGCAAGGCGACAGTACCACCTTCTGAATAAATCAACGTGGTTTGACATTACACCCTGAGAGGCATCACGCTGTCATATCCACCGCTGGATCAATAGGAAACAGAACTTTTTTTATTTGAGTTTTGAAACGTGGGGATAACTCACAGTTTGATGACACAACCTCTTTTGGATTTGTGAAACTACGACAGGCATTTTTCACTCTGTTCTGTTTAATTAAACAATGAATTAATGACTCAAGACGATGATAGCATGATTAACCAATAATAGTCCTAACGGCTTTGTCTAAGCAGATTGATTTTTGCATGTTGTTTAAAACTATATCTGGATTAAGGACTGTTAGTTTGGCAAAACAAACAATTTGGGGCTCCGGGGACGTCCGACCTTCTTTGTTTCTTTCAAATAATTGACAGATTAATCAATGGTTTCTTGTGTCGCAATGGTCAACGTGACCTGTGCGCTATTTGTCCAAATAGTTTCCATACCACCCCACAATCAATGAGTAGATGATGGCAGTTGGATGTATTTCTGTGCTTTAAATAGGTCAGCATAGAGCTTATCGAGCTCACTCTCCACCCCTCTCCCTGTCGCCCATGTCTTGTTCCCTGTCCATTACTCTCCAGTACGTTGTCATTAGTCTCATTTGCCTAGCATCAATGCTCTCTCTTCTATTTCACTGCTTTTATTCTCTCCATCTTTTAGAGGCTGAGTATGTGCGACAGGCCTGGGCCTTTGCATGCATCATTTGAAGTAGGGATCCAAACTGGACAGGGAACCTTCTTTTTCACTGATGTTTGCAGTGATTTTTTATTTCTTGCTAAACGTATAACAAAGAACACACGCAATCACTTTCCCGCAGGCTTTAAAACATTAGTAAGTCTGATCCCAAGCGGCACCGGTCGGCTGTACTTGGCAAGATCTTTTGTCCGTGACCCAACGTTGCAAGCAGAGAACACCATCCGTGTCATGACATAGCTGAGAAGCATGTCACCAGATGGGCCGGAGAAATAACCCTTTATATAATGTCTATTTATGACCAATACACGGTTTGCGTCACCAGGTGAACAAGAATAGCTTCATCGTCATAGTGATGCCATATTAAGGGATACATCATGTTGTCTGTACTTTTTAATAACGATCAGAGGGGGATCATGGTGTCTTTTTGGAGCACAAGATATACCCATTGTGACAGCGACAGCCTATGAATTGTAGGTTTATGGGCTGCTTTCATTGGACGTTGGCCAAATGAGTAAGGATTCATATTTTAATACAGAAAAGTGTGTCGACATTGAACTCAAAGGGGTTTGCAGGTAGTGCGACACCTGGGCCGTCATACAGAGAGAACTATACACATTGAAACCAATGTAATAGCAGCAACTCATCATTAACACGCCTGTGTGTACACGTTGGACTGATCTCAGGATTAACCCTCGCCAGACCTCCCCCCGCCCTTCAGCCTGTAACCCCCCCCCCGGACCAACACGGATGAGCCGCTCTCTGTGTACGCGCAGGTCTATAAACATCGCACGCACAAGCGTGTGTTTTAATTTATGTGAGCACTTGTGCTTAAGGTCATGCAGGCGCTTTGTCTCCTCCACCCATTCTGCTGGTGTGAAAACGATCCCACCAACGACCGATCTCGGGCTGCTATTGTGATCTTCTTCCTCCTATAGGAACAAATCCTCACTCGGGCCGGGCTGGTTAAATAGTGATATCGAACAAGCCACGTAGAAAATAAAGGGATCTTTTCATTTTGATGGCCGGATGGCCGAGTGCACCTCATTCAGCCGCTACCCGTCTGACCGGTGCAACACCAAGCTGTGCGACTTCCCCAAACACGAAAAGAAAAAACGGAAATTGATTTCCACTGAAGTGAGATGAAGAAAATGCAGACGCAGATAGTGAGCTAAAAAAAAAACAAAGGTAGGCAGCTGAATTCAGGGTAAAACAGGGAGGAGTGAAAAGGAAACGGGGAGAGAGAGAGAGAGAGAGAGAGAGAGAGAGAGATGGGGCTTTATTTCCTGTCCTCCATGAATAGGCAACATATTTCTCTGGAACATTCCATCTTAAGAGCTGGCCCGGCCTGTCACCAAGACTGTGCCACACTCCTCCCCATATATCTGCATTTCTTCCCTCTGCACTCTGTGTCTCTTCTGTCTTTCTCCTTGTACTTATCAACCACTACCTGAATGATTCTATCCTTTTACTCGCCTCCTTCCGCAGAAAAACCGAGCTGATTTAGTCCAAACATTTCTAAACATTGAAGGATATTTGAAAGAAAACGTCAGTGTGAGGTCAGTAAATGTATCATGAAGTGCGTGCACACTCAAAAGAATAACTCAACCCACACTTCTAGTACCGGACGGTGGAATTAATTGCAGAAATGGATTGAGAGGCGTATTTGCTAATGGAAAAACAAACAAGTTATTTGGAGAACGCTTTATGTGGACATTCCGTTGTGGAACACCAAAATACCAAAACGTCTATTTGCCGCACGGATCCCGTTTCAACCTAACCCCAGTTCCTAAACTTAACCCCAACTTATTGTATCAATTGCCACTTCTGTATATATAGTCACAAGTTGGGCTGCAGAGTTAAACGAAGATACGTAAAAGCCTTTTCTACCACTTTGTGATAGTATTCATCGTCCGGCAGCTGGTCAAACATGCCCTTCCAGAGAGAGTTTATCTCACGGGATCGTTACAGCGCTCTGGAAATGTAAACACACGGCAACCGCTCCGGGTGGGAAACAACCCTGCAGGGACCGGCCGTTTGATGGTGGAGTTGTGGGTGTGTTTGAAGGGGGTTTATGGCAGGTGAGCGTTTTTATTTACGAGGTCCTGTTACTGTACTTTAAAATGTCAGCGCTTACAGAACCCACTGACGTGCAGAACAACCAGGGTTGAAATGTGGAAAACAAAAGCAGTTGATTTTGAACTCCGATAAAGACTCCGATAAGAGCGAAGAGCTGCGAGTGAGAAATCAGCACAATGTCTCGGAACGTCTATAAAGGGGTCTAAAGTTATGCTTGACACTTTCTACTTTTTATTACTGTTTACTAGTGTTACAGTAAAAGCAGACATATTGCATCACAAATTTCAAATGGATCTGAGCCGGCAGGTGAATTAATCAGTGCTCTAATACCATTGTGAAGGTATTAGCTGTGTCCTGCACACTGGAGCTTTGTTGCCTGGCAGCTGCTGTACATGCCATCGTCTTTTTAAACACATTCAATATGACCCATAACACCCCCCCCCCCCCCCTCCACCCCTCCTTTCAGACATACACTTTCCTTTCCCACCCTTCCTCCACCTCACCGTCTCCTCCTTTTGTTCTCCCCCTCCCCAAGAAGGAGGGTGAATTTGCCTTTTTTCCTCACACCGTGACTAAATGATTCAGGTTTCGGGCTTGTCGGATCGAAGCTCTTCACTTCTCGAAGGCTGCGACTATTTAGTGCTGGTTGGTGAAATGTCCCGAAAACCCCAGCTGGTGTCACTTTTGAGAGGCCCAGGCAAACTCCAACACGAGTGTGTGTCTGTGGGCGCGTTAAACATCGGACATCTAAAGGAACACTCTTGTCGTGTCAGGATTTTGTCAATGTGTGTGTTTGATGGAATGAGTGTGTGTGATTTCAATGTTGTCCTTTCCTCCTCCTCTGCACTCACGAGTACCCTTGAATGGTGTAGGAGCATCATAAAGAAGACACACCCTTTTCTCCCCAAACATGGAAGTCGACGTGGGCTCTTAAAGGAACAGAAGTGTGTTTTGAGTAAGCTGAAAAACAAAATCCTAAATAACAGTGCAGCATAAGAGCAGAAAGACCCCGTAATTACAGTCTTCTCGCCTCATTTGGATCCGTCCACACGACTCTGTTTATTTCCCTCCCTCTATTTGGATGTCTTCTGTGCTTGGAAAGGGACACAGGGTGATATAAAAAAAAAGTGAGCAGGAGATGGACGTAGATGAGCCCGGGAAGGACTGAGACATGTGAGACAGACACATTGGATCTCTGTGAGTCCTTAAGTCAACCCTGGTTCCCAAAATAAGGAGAACGCATAGCAGGCTCGAGGCGTCGATGTGGGCCGGGCACAGCTCAGCGCTAAAAATGTGGTCTTGACAGCTTCAGGTATGTTTTGTGCACAGTGTTTTAACTTGTGTAGTCTCCACCCACTGTGCTTGTGCGTGTGTGTGTGTGTGTGTGTGTGCGCGTTGTGGTTAGAGCTTGACACATTACTGTGTGTACTTTAACCACATCACTACTTTAGAAATAGTTTCTGCCCAGTCGACATGCTGTTCCTTATCAGCGCACATATGGCAAAAATACACACACACACACACACACACATATACACATACATACATACACACACACACGCGCACACACACACACAGCTGAGGGCTCCTGGCACTCAGCTGATAAACTTTTTCACATGCACTTCATTCTCTATCTGCACCCTAGCAGCAGATAAGCCCTTGTGCTTTTGTGCTGGTGAAGACGCCGTGTGCTGTTGCGTGCTACACACAGTGTCCCTTTGTGTGTTTGCCAGCGAGACGGCACAGATGTTTGCTTCTGAATCAACTGAGGCTTTCACTTCTTTTTAAATGTTTCTTTATTAACACTCATTAACACACAGACTGCGAGCGCACTGGACGTCTGACAGTGGCACGCTATGGGAAACGATTACAAGTTAAAACACCTTGCACAAACACACACACACAACACACTTAAAGCTGTAAAGAACGCAAATGCAAACACACAAACAAGGAGAGCGTTCGAGGAAATGCCTCATCTCCTCTCTACTTCTGCAGAACAGGCAAAGCAAGAGCCGGTGGGCGGGACCTTACCCAGCCCCCGCCCCCCCTTTCCCTCCCTCTAGCCAATCAAGAGCTCCGCCACTAGAGCTGACTCCCCCCTTTAATAGAGCCAATCCCCACCCCTCACTTCCCCCTGTATGCCTTCACTGCTGAGTGAGCAAAGCATGCCCTGCTCTATCAGCTGAGAGGAAACGACAGAAAGAAAACACAAGCACAAAGAGAGCCAGAGAGAGAGAGGGCAGTGAGAAAGGGTTGAAAGGAGGGGCCTGCAGATTTATGGAGGAAGAGAGGAGAGGGTGAGGAAGAGGAGGAATGGGGGGAGAGGAAAGAGGGAAACCAAGCACGTGAGGTGGGTTTTTTGCTTTCAAGATATTTAGTAGGGGAGCAAATGAGAGGAAGGACGGAAGAAAGGAAGAAAGAAGGCAGGCGGGGGGGGGGGTTCCTGGAGAGAGAAAACGGGATGGACCGAGGGTGAGGGGTGAGAGTTGTTGATGAGTTTTTGATATGTGTGCAACCGAGGGTGGAGAGAGGCAGACAGGAAGAGAGCGAGAGAGCCTGCGAGGCGTCCTCAGTCTCAAAACAAGCAGAGGGAGGCAGAACAAGCCGACTTATCTGTCTTTCTCAACACCACCTATTCAGGAGGAAGGAAGCGGAGTCAACAAACCGCCAAAGAGTCGACAGCAAGAGCAGCCTGACCTGGTGGACGTAGACTACCAGAAGAGGACAGAGAGGAAAAGTTGACCATCCAGCCACTAAACGGAGGAAGGAAGGAAGGAGAGAGAGACGGAGGGTGAGACAGCGAGGGGAAAGAAAACAACACCTTCGCGTTAGGGTGAGTGTCACAAGTTCTCCTGCTGTCAAACCAAGTGTAATAATGTTTCCCCTGTCATATTGTCCGCTGGGCTCGGGTGACTCAACGTCTCCTAAAATGGCCAAATGAAAGGCTGACTGACGGAGGGAGGGAGGGAGGGAGGGAGGGAGGGAGAGATCGACCGAAAGGGACCCCGTGTCAAACAGCGCTCTCAGCAAATATGTCCCTGAGCCGGCTTAGTTTAGACCGCCGTGCCTCTCCAGCCGGAGCACCCCATGTGTGGTCGGCTCAACAGTTTCGGTCGACTTCAGCTGTCTCCTGACGCGCTTTCATTGATGCTTCCTGTCTATTTGTAATACTCACACTCTCTCACACACACACACACACACACACACACAGTCTGCTGTCATTTCTTCCACTTGCTCACACTGACATCCGATTGTCACACTTGTCAGACGGCTGCTGTACTCGAATCAAGAGTTGATTGTTTGCAGGAGCACTTCAACGCTTTTTTTGTGTCAGAGAATGGGCACATAGGTGTGTGTGTGTGTGTGTGTGTGTTTATCAGTCTCCAGGCACAACGGAGGCCTGGGAGTGGCTTGGGCGGGTTCTGCAAAAAAAGTTAATGAGGCAATCGAGCACATTTGGGAGGCTGCTCATTTGGTGCCGACGTTATCACACCTCTCTGACAAAGGCTGCGAGTCAACGGGAGGCCGGAGGACACCAGGCCGTCCCATTCAAACATGATGAGCTTATTTGTTAGAGTTTGCGGCTGTGCTGTTGAGTCAACAGTACCACATCGCTAAAATCTGTCTAGTCCAGTGAGGGAGCGGGCCTGTCCTTCCCTCAACTGTGGAGCAGCACAACAGCTGTTCTTCACTCATGATCAATTCATGTGCAGCAACGGTTCAAAGATTATCAGATATGAAATCTGAATCATGTGGGGGGATGTTTTTATTGCACTTCTCGGGAAAATGGTAAACAAAGTTAACAGTCCTGGGAACTGACTGGGAAATAGTTTTATTGGCTAAATTGTTAAAAGAGGAAGAGTGAGGATGCTTTTGAATGTTTTCTGCTTGTGTGTGTGTGTGTGTGTGTGTGTGTGTGTGTGTGTGTGTGAGAGAGTTGTCACATTACCTCTTGTTTAAAGTATGTATGTGTTTGTGTTTTGTTCCATACAAGTAGAACATTTGAACAAAGTTAAGACGGAGCAACGGGGTCGCGGACTCATGATGTGGAACTTTTAAGCGCGTCTCGTCCTCCTGATGTTGGACCTGAGACTCTTGGTCTTTGCCCTATTGACCCCATCCTTCCTCGGCCTGAAAGAACACACAGCAGACTCACATATTTCAACGCACCTCATGAACACCACCACCTCCTGCAAAAAAAAAAAAAGCTTTGTCCTCCGCTACGGACATGCCTCAAGTCAAAGGCATTGAACCCTTTGACCTCGGCCGTTAAACACGCCTGTGTGTAGTGAGTTTGTGTTTCTTGATGCCCGAGAGGGTTTCAGCTCCAGCTTAAAAGGCCACAGGATCATTTAGCCGCCGGGTCCGGTTTTTCGTTTTTTATATTTTCTGATGTGAATGCAAGCAGTGAATTAATAAATACGTTACTGTTCCATCTTTTTAAATGCATTTTGTTCTTTGTCTTATTCCCCACTTAAAATAAATATGTGACTCATTGGGTTTCTGAGCCTCCATATTTCTTATTTGTCTAATTAGGAAAAAACTTGAGTGGCTTCATAAGTTATTTACTTGGGTTTCTTCCCAACCAAAAATATGACTAGCCCTTTGATAGATAACAATATATGCTATATATATAAAATATGCTATTTTGTAGCCCCACGTTTTGGTGAGGCAATCATTAGATAGAAATCTTTCTTTTTATTTCTTGTTATTACTAAATACATACGCACTCACAGAACCTGCTGGTTAATGTACCACTAAATATTCAATAGCGCTCTCGCGTTGTCCCTGACTCTGAGTAACGTTCCCTCCTGTATGCAATAGTGTTGAGTAATGTAATAAAGACAATATTGCCCAAGCGTCAAAAACGATGCAATTCAGAAAATAGAAACAAAAAAACTTGCTCCCTCTCTCCGCCCGCCTGTTTACCTCTTGTCAGGCATTTGTCATCCCTTTGTCTGTCATCATTTCTTCTCTCTTTGTATATAAAGTGTTGCAGGTGTTTCTCTATAGCCGTGACTGTGAGTAGAACACAGTGAGTGTGCACAGCAGGTGCGAGGGAGAGCTTCTCAAAAGCGCTGCAATGTTGAGCGATGCAGCAATAGACTTCCTGAGTTCTGTAGTCTGAGCTGGCACACAAGGGCAGCATCAGGAAGCCTTTCTTGGGTGGAAGCCAGAAGCCCCCGTTCCCCCTCCCGTCCCCCCTCCTCTGTTAGCTCCTGGACCAGGCCTGAAAAGGCCTGGGAAGCTGCTGCCAACCTCCTGCCCAGCTAGTTCAAAACAAGGTCAGAAATCAAGTGGGAACTCGCACAGAGCCTCTGGGTTCTCCCGAGGAGCTATGACATACTATTAATACTCAATGCTGACACTTCTCCCATTCATTCCCCATCCCCCACCTGGCGTACCGCCCCTCGGCACTCACTGGAGAGACTCCACCTGAGTCCAGGTGAAGGAGCCGAGAGGAGGTGATACAGTCTGTTAACCAGAAATCCCTGTTTGACCTGGGAGGTTTTGGTATGGATCAAGTGTTGCTCACCACCCAGAGAGACGTCGGCTTTACAGCATTTGTCTTGGCAATAAACAACGATCTAAGCAGTGAAAATGTGTTATTAATGTTTGGGGTTTTTTCCTGTGGTGTTCAACAAATGAAACATCCACTTACCTTTTCTTGGGTTTGTCTGCATAAGTCTAAATAAGCATCTTACCTAATGAAATACTGCAGTTGACTATAATCAGGTCCTAATGTAAAGGTGAGGGTCTCACAACTTTCCTTTTTTCCTCCTTTTGTCTTTATCCCTCATTCTTGTGGCATCTTTGTCAAACCATCCCTCCTGTGTTGTTGAATTTGAAGACATTTATTTACACATCTGCTGCAGGTCACCTCGAGTGCAGCCATGTAATTAATGTGGCAGGAATTTCAAGCATTGTAGAGGAGTATACGTACGTAGTACACGTATACCAGTGGATTCATTTCAGGTGTCTTTCAAATACTTATGAACGTCTCTCATCATCTATATTTCCTTTTTTTTCCCCCTCACTTCCTCTTGCTTTGACCTGTAGGCGAGTGTCATCACTTGTGTAAATAATGAATTCCTTCATGATGATACAAAAGGAAATACGGGAAAGTAACCGGCTGCTGTAATGTAGGTCTGGCTGGGGAAAAACTGTGATCCTCTTCTCTCCTGCTCGGTACGGGTGCCAGCCGGGCGTTCGTAGGATCACCTTTCTTGGCTATTTCCAAAACTCCTTTTAATTGTCGCAATTTACATTCCGAGCTGCAGTTAGTGAAAGCCTTTTATCTGTAGCGTGTAGCGATTTGGCTGTACACACCTCATGGAGGACAGCCATTTTGATGGATATTTTCTTGGAGGAGCATCTTTCTCCCCCTCGCTCACCAGCCCCCCTCCCCTCCCCTCCCACCCCCCTCTTCCCAAACCACCCGTAGGTCTGCTTCGCTTTCTCCCTCTTTGTGGCCGAGCACAAAGGAGCCGTTATCCTTGGGCTACTGGTTGCCACGACGACGGCTCACTGCGACGACACCACCCCCCAACCTAACCGGCATTCCCAAGTTCTGGTCCAAGTGGGTCGGGCAACAGCCAGCGTCATTTGGTGCCAAACCTGAACTGGAAATATCAATTCCCTTTTCCACGGGGTGGGGGGGTCCTTCGTGTTTGATCATCAACCCAATCAAGTTTTGGGGTTTTCTTTACTGAAATTTCAAAATAAAAGAGAACGAGAGTGGTGTTTCTCCCTCAGTCGGTCAGCCTCGTTAAGAACTTAAATGGTTAGAGAGTGATTGTTTGATTGATTGGTCCTTTGTATTCTTCTCAAGCTCAGCAACAGGCTTAAATATTGACTTCCTCACCTGCTGTTTTTGCACCATGTGTGTGTCTTTGTCTGCTACAGTGCATGTCTGTTCAAGTATGCACACGTATGGGGATAGATGTGTTTCTGGCCTCTTGTTGGTTTAATGTGAATGTGTGTGAGTTTCCTTTATGTTTTTATTGTCTCACTTCGGCATTTCGTCATGTGGTAAAGTCAAATAAACTACTTGGCGTTCTACATTTTGCACCTTTTTTGTTTTTCCTCAGGGACTCTGAGGGGAATGAACCTGCCATGATGCAACAGATGTGTCACACGCCGCGCCCAGGGGACGAAGGAGGGCGCGTCAGGCTATCGGCTAACCGCAGAAGAAGCCCCAATAGATTTATTTCCAGATCTAGTTCAGAGAGTTTTCCTCTCAAGAGCTTTATGCATTACTGACATTCTGCCCATGTGGTACGTTTAAGCCCTCAGGCCTTATTATTGAACAAACAAACATAATGCTTATGTGAATATTGTGTATTTAGAAACTATGTTGCATTACCAAGTTGCTTAGAACTTTGGTGTAAAATGAATCCGTACTTGTAAATGGATACATATTTATTATATCATCAAGTTGATACACCATGATATGGATGTATACTACGGTTTAGGTTAATTGTTGGTCTTTCATTTCTCCTCAGGTGGTAGTTTTCGTGCTCACCTCCTTTACTCTCCGGGGAGTCTTTACGTTTTCCTGATTACCCATCATGGGATGTTGGCGTCGTTTCATGGCAGCTGCCATGGAGATAGACCGATTTCTTTAGCAGACCATTTCATACACAACCTCCAGATGTTGTGCCGGATGCAGGTTGTCCACACGGGCAGAATTGGACAAGGACAGGCACAGAGGTGAGATGCTGATGCCGTTGTTTCAATCTATTCATTCAATTAGAGGAGAGTCAAATTAGGTTAATGCCTTGGCTAAATTACATTATGTAAAGACACCTATTGATGAGCAGAAGACGTTTGTGGACGGATAACACCGGTACATAGTGCTGTCGTGGCGGCTCAGTCATTTTATCTTTGTCAAAACCAACAATCAGAGGCATAGCATTACTTGATAATACAGACAGCCGCAAAAGGTGATTCCGAATTCAAGCTGTAATTATTGTTTAATTATATAGTTCTGTATTTCTTCTCCTGAATACTAATTCAGTGTTTTGTTCCTTTTTCAGGTTCTGTGCGACTCAGCTTCCTACTTCGGGCTGCTCGACAACTTCCCAGCAGGAAGTGTAAAACTTCCCCTACCTGTGAAACATCTTCCTCTGCCTGCTGGCACTTGTGAGGAACTACTTGTTCCCTGTTGCAAGTTAGTCAAGACTCTTGTCCTCCAGCAGAGAAACCATGCGGCACATTCACGTGGAGTTAGCCCACAAGAAGGCTCCATTAGAGCTTCCAGCCCAGGAGGGGGACCTGCCTCCACCTACAGCCCCGACACATGGCCTAGATCCCGGTGTCAGACCGGGGGCGCCCAGGCACTTCGGCCAGGAGGAGTTGCGCCTCCAAAAGGTCTACCAGCTCTCCATTTTCTCCCAGTTAGGGGGATTTACTACCTCCACAGAAACCCACACTGATACCCAACAGAGGCCTGTCAGGTCGGGCGTGAAAAGGGGGCTAGAGGAGCCACAATTGACTCATAAGCGCCTCCACTTGGGGGACTTTGCAGACAATGAGGCGTTGGAGGGAGGGGTTCTGTGTGGGCCAGCCCCAGCTCAAGGTGTTGGGGTGGGGTCATCGGTGGGCCCTGCCGGGCCTGGTTCCGTGTACTCTTGCACACAGGTTGAGCACAGAGACTCTGAGGGGGGGCTGTCACCCAGGTCTCCTCCCCTCTCCCCAAGCCACAACCCCTCCCGACGCCCGACTCAGCACAACCACGACAGGCCCATTCCTGACGTATTCGCTCCGCTCTCACCTAAGTCACCCACCATGTGTGACCAGCATGGACCTCTCTTTGACCGGGGCCATTCCCTCGGTAGCTCGGCCAGGACTGAGCCCCCTAACGGGGGCCACACGGCCACCTATTCACTAGGGGGCCCTGCAATGGAGAGCTGTGGTAACGGCTCATCCGGCGGCCAGCCCAGCCCCCACTTATACGAAATGTCCATGTACGAGACTCCCAACCCGGCAAGTCCCACCAGCCCCCCAGGCCCCTTCTCACCCCCGCACCACACAGAACTGCTGGAGCCGGGGGAGGCCACCGAATGGGAAGTTGGACTTGAATCCTCTCCACCTGAGCGAAGTGCGACCCAGGCCGCCTCCTCATCCTCCAATGGCCTGGCTTCCTGCGAGAAAACTCCAAGCAGCAATGGCCACCGTCCATCCCCTGGAGGCCACTGGCCAGCCAAAAAGCGCCTGTTGCCCCCCGGCGACACGGGGGAGTCGTGCTCAGAAGATGAGGGCCCCTCCACATCCAAGAGGAGCAGGCTGTCGCTGCTGGCTCCGGGACTCGGCCCCGCCTCATGCCGCAGCACTGATGCCAAGGCCGCTCCTTACTGGAACCACCTGCTGCCCTCAAAATGGGACCGGCCGAAGGTCAGCACACTCGCACTTTAACATTTCTAAGTACATTTGGTGACTGAAATGCAGTTAGCTCTGAGAAAATGCTCTCCAGTACGAAAGAATCTCCATGAATGGAACAAAACATTCCTATGATTGTCATAATTTCCCTATCATAAAATATTGTAAAATAACATTTTCTGGTAAAGAGTCATAAATAAAAACGAAACCGAGACAGTAAATGTGAAGTGACGTGAGGCTCATTATGACACCATGCTGGAACAGGCTGAGTAGCTCGAGAATAAAGCCCATTGAGGGAGGGTCTATTGTTCCCCCACATGAGTATGCTGTGTCTCTCATACACATGTACACACACATGTACATAGAGGCTGCTTAAAAAAAATGGTTCTGGAAGAGAGTCGGACATTTTTTAACATTTGGTGGCCAGAAAGAGCTTTGTGTTTGTGGGAGTGTCTAATAGAGACAATAGGTCTCACTGGGTTTCATTCAGTCGTGTCCTCGATGTGACTGGAGGTGTTTAGAGTATTGATGTGAGAAGCACAGAGAGAGAAACGGGTGCAAGAAAGATTTGAAGATTTGTGGACACAAATTACGGACAGGAAGAGAGGAAAGTGAAAGGAGGAGAAGCCAGGCTAAATTTCACAAAATAAACGGGAAGGAAAAAGACATTTAGGAGGCAGGGACGGGGACGGGGGGGGGCAGCAGGATATTCTAAGATACTGTCTGTGGTTTTGGTCGGGCGTGACAATGAGACGGCGAGCTGACAAAGGGGCCCTCCAAGTGCTGTAGAGAGCCAGAGAGACCAAGAATCGGCTGATGCTAACCATGAGTGAAAGGGTTGCTGTGGGCTAGAGGCTAGCAGGTAGCATAGGTTTGTGTACCGACGAGCTTCCTGACAGTTGGGGGTCCTTTGTGATGAACGGCGGCCTGGAAATGGGGAATGTTTACGCGTGTGATGCCACAACCAAAAGTGACTGGTGCTCAGTAAGTAATAGGACACCTGAAATAACACATAAATAACACAGAAACACTAAAACATTCACATTTTGTCTGAATGTGGGTGTTTTATTTCAGATGTGTGCGTTGAGAACTTTAGGTCTTTTCCAGATATTTATTTGTGAACAGCTGGCATAAATCAGGATGTTCGAGAGAAAAACAACTCGTGTATCATTTCTGTTTTTCGTCCTTCCTTTGTTACAGACCTCCACAGACTGCACAAGATCAGAGAGACGACTCAAAAGTGCGCTGCGACTGAAAAGGTTATTGCCCCGTTGCTTTTCCAGCAAAGCTATACAATCGTGCGATCAGCAATCTTTAAAAGGGATCAAGAAGAGAGTTTTTAAACTTCAGTTAATGTTATTGCTTGGAGTTTAAGAACATCCAAACATGTGTATAGGTGAAATAACTTTAATGCCAGTTAGATGGACTCCAGCAAATTCAAGAAGTAACCTAACCAAGACTAACGGTCTGTTTTTGTGTCCCGGGGTCGCATTCAGTCGTCAGCTGCGCAGCGGTCGCTCCACGCGTTCCAGTCGGCCCTCGTCTTCCATCAGCAGATCCCTGCTTGGAAACTTTGAGGTACGCATCGTTTTTATGCAGCATCAAAGCCGTAAAACGACATTGTTACTGTATCTATGATATTTATTTGTATAGCACATATCAACTACAAGGCGATTCAAAGTGCTTCACATAACAGCATTAAAACCTTCACAACGTAAAGCAAAAGGACACTTTAAAACGAGTAAGAACATTCTAAGCGGTAATTAAAACATTTAACGAGCTAAAAATAAAATAGCTTAAATGAGAATAAATCATTTTAATCAATTTTAATTGGTAATATATTGGCATTTAAAAACGGTTAACAGTATAATATCTTTAGTTCTCAATGCCCTTTTTTTAAAATGGCCTCTTCTGTGCTCACATTGTTGTCGGCCTGCATATGAAAAGCACATTTTATTTCTTTGTTGCAGGAGTCCATCCTGAAGGGACGATTCTCCCCGTCCGGCCAGATCGAGGGCTTCACGGCGGAGATCGGTGCGAGCGGCTCTTATTGTCCACAGCACGTCACCCTGCCGGTGCAGGTCACATACTACGACATCTCAGAGCACAGCGCGCCCTCCCCCTTCCTGGTCAGTCTGTGTAACTGGCACACCAGCATTACATCAAACACCAAAAACCACATAATGTAACACACACAGCAGTGTAGTGTGTTTTCACGTACGAGATTAATGCGAAAAACAATGGAATATCCAAAGTCGGAGAACAACTTGGCAAAGCACTTATCAGATATTTGATTGGCTTCTACAAGGTTAATGTTTGCTTGTCTCTTCTGAATGAGATGTAAAGCAAGTGCTGTAATTGTCCGTTCCTTCATATAAGAATAAGCCTTTTTCCTCACATCAGCAAATCAGATACGGAGTCATTTAAGACAAAGTCAATTAGCATTGCCGGATGTGTTTTAATGGATCACACCAAAACATCTAATTACAATTGTAACTCTGATGTTTGATTTTAGCTCATTTCTTCTACACTTAGGTCCAAAATAATCTGTTATTGTGCAATTACAGATTGATTGAGGGTATTTAATCAGTCCGATCTTCCGCCTGTTTCCCTCAAAGGGGGTGATATCTCTCGAGCCTCTTGGAAAGAAAGGATACAGCATACCCAAAGCAGGGACCATTCAAGTGGTGAGTCTGTCTGCCGTTCTCATCTCATTCTTTGCTTGGATAAACCCAGGCTGCTTACATCTCATTTGCACTACCAGAATGTTTAATGCGATGTGACAAATAACCTCATGTAAACTTAATTCAAAACCCCTGCCAGCCTCCTTCGCTGCTTGACATGCTGACCGCGGTCTGACATCTGTTCTCAGACCTTATTTAACCCCAACAAAACTGTGGTGAAGATGTTCCTGGTGACCTACAACTTCAGCGACATGCCCGTTAATCACATGACCTTCCTGCGCCACCGCATCTTCCTGATGCCCGTAGAGGAGGGCGTCGAAGGGAAGGACGAGGCGTCTCCAGGTGGCAGAGTGCAGGAAAGGAAGAAGATTCTCTGCTACCTGATGCATCTCAGGTAGTACTGAGAATTCAAGTATTTGCACTTTCTTTTTTAAAGCTGTGGTTTTGTTAGAACTCTCACTATTACTATCCTGTGTCTGGATGTCCGGAAAAATACCGATCGATTACACCAGAAACATGAAAGTAATTCATTTTTCTTTTTGGTTCTGGCTTTCTCAGATTCCAGAGCTCCAAATCTGGGAAGATCTACTTGCACAACGACATCCGGCTGCTATTCTCCCGCAAATCCATTGAAGTGGACACGGGGATCCCTTATGAGCTGAAATCTTTCACCGAGGTGCCAAGAAACCCTAAATACTCCCCCCGCGTGTGACCCCAGCTTGACCCTTTGACCCTCCCCAACGCCAATGCAGCCCCTCCTGTGCTTCCTGAAGAAGAGGGAGGAAAACAGACAAACTGCTGGAATGATGGACACACTACTTGATAAGACTTGATCAGACATGCCACATGCACACCAGACACACGTGCACATATGATACAGTGCTGTAGTAAATGTGCTCCTTTTCGTGCTGTTGTTGACATAAAACATGGCATTCCTTGTAACTTCCATTCATTGACAATTGAAAAGAAAACATAGTGTGAGAGCAGTTCAGCACCCATGCAGGCGAAAGCAGGACGTTTACTACACTTGTATCTGTACATAAAAAGAAATGCACAAACAACGCCACACACACACAGCACATACCACACACGTCACAGCTGAAGCACTTCTAGTGGCGACTCTCTGCTCGGAGCTCAGTGTTAACATGCATGCCTTGTGACTTAAACACCTGAATTGTCCTCTAGTGCCGTATCACACTGTCCTTCACTCTGCCTGCAGCTCCAACCGCCTCATCGGACCAATGATTGAAATCTGACAAAAGTCCACAAACAAACGGCAAGTCCCCGTTTTTATTTTATTATTTTTAAGTGAAGAAAAAGAACCCCCCCCCCCCCCACTACTACTCCCCAACTTGCACCCTTTCTGACCAGCAGCAAGGAGACGAGCCGAGACACAAACACTAGTGAAAGCGAAGGCTGGAACGGAATCGGCCCTCTCGCGTTGTCACTCGTCATTTGGTCTAAAACAATGACACGATTCGACAAAACTCAGGACACTTGTTGAAGAATACATTTCTCTTCATACACCTTCACATATCATGGTACAGGCCGCTGCATACACGTCCCCAAGGAGGATCGTACCACAAAAAGCAGGGGAATCCAGTTGATTTCATGTGGTCAGACTGAGGGACACTGTGCTGTTTTCCTTTTCAGTTTTTCTTTTTAGATTCTGTTCAGAAACAGTCTGATGTTGGAAGAGAAAATGAAAAAAATATAAACAAGCTGTAGTATTTTTAATTTATGTTTTTTCGCAAATGTCTTAATAAGCAATATGCTGCACAAAGTAGAGTGTGTTTTTTCAGCCGGACGACCTTTCTCTCTGGAGGGGGGGATCAGAGAAAGTGGAGAATTAGGAATGGGAGGAGGGAGGGATGATGTGGGAGGGAAAGGTGGCGGGGTATTTAAAATGGGAAAAAGTCTATGTATATTTAAAAGAATAAACTCTGCGACTGGCGAGTAGCAATCGTCTCTGTTGTTGTTTTTGATTGAAAAACAAGGCGGAAATCCCAATTCTTAGCCACACTTCCCACAATGCATTTCTTAAAGTGTCTTTTATTAGATTCTCTCTGCATGATAATGATGTGTGATATCGGTGGCGTCTTCCTTGGAACATTTGCGTGTTAACAGGCTGTTCTAGTTCCACTCGACTTGAGGCCAACCTGAAATATCTGTTGCAGTTTAATATTTCAGTTCCAATGTGCAACATTTGAGAAGTATGTACAATACAAAGCATAATCAATAACTAGACTGGTTCATAAGAAGGTAATATGATATCAAGCTTAAATGTATTTGTTATTAACAGTAAACCTTTTGATGAATTCAAGTCAGAGAAACGTCAGGCTAATTTTCATCGGTAGAAACGGACCTAGGATTCTACTACATAAATCATAACGCACTTAAAGAAAGCAGCTGCTTACAAAAGGAAGCCTGAGAACTGAGATTCAGCTTCATTTAATTTCTTGCAGGTTAAATTGGCAAGAGAGGAACCTTTAAGCTCTAAAGGGCTTCCTCCCTCGGCTTCTACACGACTCCACTGGAACTGCTCAGTGGCGCCGAACAGACAGACTTTGGTTGTTCTGGGCAGTTCTGCAACATATGAATGTCAAACTGTGAATGTCAAATAAAGCATGGCTGAAAAAAGAATCCATGCAATTTAAATATAAACTTAACTAAAAATACACATAGGAACATGAATGAATGCAGCAAAACGGTAACTCGTGGATGCACTGAGAGACAGAGACAACATTTTAAAATAAGATTTCTGCTTGTCGGCTGGTATGTTCAGCACATGTCCATTATATCCTTTCCCCTTATGTTTAACCCTGTCGTTCCCAAACTTTTTCTGTCGACCCCCCTTTTGATGATAGGAACATTGAAGGCCCCCCGTCCCATTATTTTGGTGCAATATACGGATTTGACTGGGTTTGTAGCCACTACTGTCACTCTGTTGTTTAAGATATTTAAGACATTGATTTCCACACGCTAACTGGGTCCATAGGATTGCATCCAAGCATTTTCTGACCCCTGGTGGCGGGAGTTGGTATCGTAACTCCACGACTCGAGGCCTGGACCACGGCAGCATAGAAAACATGCAAGTAGTCAATGAGGTGCAGGTAGGCGGTTGAAGATTTGCTCATTTCGCTGCTTTTGGAAATAAGATTTAGCTTAAGTCATCTCATCTTGCTGGAAACCACTACCTATCTAAGGAGTACCAGATATAGAGAAAAACACGATCACTGCAATATGACAAACCTTTGCAACAATCTTTGTCCTTCTGTATGCGCAATATGCGCAGTGGAGGAAGGTCTCAACCAGGTACATTTGCATTGCGTCATTCTGCTATAATAGCTCTGCACCGCACCTTCCTTGTTCCTGGACAGTCTGAAGGCTCGGGGGTATAAACGTTTACTGCTCCCGTCAGATGAAATAATTTGACACACATAGGTGGTGCAAACGTCTGAATATTAACCAATCCATCATTGAATGGGACTCATTCTTGCAGAATACAGAAACGCACAGTTTGATCTTTGAATTTCTTTCATTTTTATTAACATTTTTCTTTTTGTCAACACCATAGACATGTCAATTATGACAGAAATTAATCTGTGCCATGAGAACAGAAAACGCTTCAACATTCCAAAAATCCCAAAAGATGGTTGTTGAAAAAAACACAAAGAGAAATCACAGTTTACTTTATTTTATATAAATACATGACTAAATAATATACTGGTGTGTTTTTATTGAGGTGGATATTTTATATAAATACATGACTAAATAATATACTGGTGTGTTTTTATTGAGGTGGATATTTTATATATATATATATATATATATTATTTTATTATATAAGTGACCAATAAAAAAAGATCATTATCAAATGTTGAAATCCTGTGACAAACATAGACGACACCCAGTCAGTGCTTATTGGCTGTAGGTCTGTGTCTTCTTTTCTTTATTCCCATGGCGAGCACAGTTCCTCTTCCTCTATATGACATCAGCCAGTGTGTGTGCTGCGCCCTCGATGGCCTGGCTCAGGACCGACAGGTGGTAGTGCACTCTGGCCCAGGAGCCGACTGTTAACTCGGCGTTGGCAAAGGCATCAGCCAGACCCGGAAAGGTTGGCTTACCGGCGCTACTCGAGGCCCAGATAACATGCCTGTGTGAATTGCAGGAAAAATAAAGAGTGATAAGACAGCAATAGCACATCTCAGTTGTTCAGTTTCCTCAGCCATTGGAGGGCGGTTGATCACAGAAGATATCGTGAACGTGGCGAGAGGGGAAAGAAAATGGTCTTAGACTGACACGTCATCATCTCACCTGTATGCATATTTATCTGGGAAGGCCAGAGGGTCCAAGAAGGCTCGGTCCAGCAGCATGAGCTGGTCGTTGATCCTTCTGACCTTCAGCGGCCTAAGAGAAGAGAGACAGACAGAAATGGGTGGCCCGACGGTCGTTTCTATGTGGACGTCAAAGGAGATGAAGATATGCACGTCTGGGCTCTCACGTTTCATTTGCCAGGTCGGAACTGCGAATGACCTGGTCCAAATGAGTAGCGGCGCTGCGAAAGCTGGCCACGGCGCGTTTCAGTGGTTCTGAAACAAAACACACAGATCAGCTGTGCAGCTCCTCGTCAGCGACTCCCCCCCCCCCCCACTCTAATCCTCTATGAGTGCTGCCCGCAGGTACGTTTTTTAATCATTAATCATTAATGATTAATGATTGTGTTCTTCCACATACATCTGTATCTGTGAATAACAACTACGAGAGGAAGTGCAGCAAGTCAAACGATTATCCCAGTGACCGTGGCTCCATTAGAAACACAGGCGCCCTGACATATTGAAACAGAAAAACCAGGATGAAAGGAATTTACCTGCAGAGGTAAATGGAGGATTTCTATTGGTGTAATGTTCCCCTGCATCACTCAAGCATCTCTACCTGTCCTGCGCTTACCCATGGAGATTCCCTGAGCTTGCAGTTTGGACTGATACAGGGGGACTGCTGTGTTGAGGTAGTCCTCCAGACTCTCTGCGTAGTCGCTACAGTTCAATGGCAGCACCAGGCTGTCAGCCAGTCGGATCAGAACGTTTCCTGCTGTCCTAGCAATGGCCTGGTGACTGATGAACCCTGGGAGGAGGAGGAGGAGGAGGAGGAGGAGTGAGATATTACACATGTTAACACGTTGGAAAAGGTTATGCTCTCTTTTGAGTTCTCAAATTTGACAACATGAGACGGAAAAACCGAGTAAAAGTTTGGCTGAGAAGTACATCGCTTAAATGTGTGTGTTGTGTCACTGCTCACCGGGATCAATGAACTTCGAAGCGTAGTCAAAGGTGTCGTACGCTGTGTGGTACGCCGGGTATATCCGAGCATTTGTTTTACTCTGTATGAAGAAAAAATAACCATAGATCCAGTTGGGAGGGAAGAGGGTTTTGTTTTGGAACCAATGAACCAAACACAGGCCTTTGACCACAGACTGTGACTGACTACCACAGCCTTCACATTTGGGTGAATAAATCAAGAAGAACCGAGTGAGTCTTTCGTACCCTGTCGTATGTGTACGAAATGTCCATCGAAGCGATTCCCAGGTAATGGACGAAGGCGGCGTAGTCACTCCCTGCTCCTGTCAAGTATCCCACCCTGTCGAACAAAGACAAGAAGCATCTTGTACCGAGTGACATGACAGACCTGAGATTTCTGTGGGGACACGTGTGATAAATATGATGCAAATCGCCTCACAATATAGAGAATAAGCTGCATACTCTATGGAAGGTACAATGGCATTATCCACTAAAGATTTGGGATAAAGATACAAGATCAGCAACGAGGTGCATGGTGTGGTACATTTAGGCAGGTGTAACTGGCTATTACCTGGGAATGGGCCCATGGGCCGAGCTCGTCCTGTTGGCATATCGAATCCAGTTGTCGTACACAGATGTGGCGCCCAGTCCAGGCGCATCGACCTAGGGGACAAACAAACCTTCATATGACAGGTGCCTGCAGGTGTGTGGACAGTTGTTTCTGTTAAAATGCAGGAGAGAAACTAACACACGTTGGGGTTTTTTTTAGCGCTGACCTGTTTTGTGGCTTTGAAGATGACGTTCTGAAGGGAAGGCATCCCAGAAGCCCTGAGAGTGGCGTTGGCTGCGGAAAATGAACGTCTTCATGCATTTAAGATATTGTAGCAGAAAATAATACGTGTCCGTCAACTAGATAGCGTCAAGAACAAACGTGTGAAAACATCTGAACTCTCTTATGTGGAAATTTGGGATACTAACTGATAATAATCTTTTCAGGTGAAACCAGCAGGGCGTGTGATGTATTTATTTTTGCTCCTCACGGGTGGTGCAGCCGGAGCTTCTTACCAAAAACAGCTATATCCACATTGATGTAAGCAACAGTTCGCTCGCTCAGCTTGGTGAAGTATTGCTGGAGGGGGAAAAAAAGACAAGATCAAGGTCCCATTTGATACTTCATAGTTCATGAACGCATTCCTCCGTTGATCACAAATCACCTCGGTGTATTCTGCAGACCCGATAAGGCCAAACTCCTCTGCCCCCCAGCTTCCAAAGATGATGGACCTGCGAGGCCTCCAAGTGCCTAAAGTGAGGAAACAAGAAGTTCAAAATGTGTCCACAAACCGTTCAGTGCTTCATCCGTCCACGACAGCCCTCACCCTGCTTCACCATCCTGCCCAGCACTCTGGTCAGTTCCAGCATGACGGAGGTCCCGCTGCTCGGGTCGATGGCACCGTGAACCCAGCTGTCCCTGTGGTTCCCATAGATCACATACCTGTCTGCGGACACACACACACACACACACACACACACACACAGTGGGGAGTAATCACAAGCTGCGAGTAGATGAGGTGAGGTGGACCTTTTGGTCACCGGTCTCACCTGGCTCCACACTCCCTCGGATCACTCCCATCACATTGGAGGAGTTCTTTACCACTTCCGTGTTGAAGATTGCCAGTTTCACGTCACTGGAAAAGAGGTTAAAATTCAGTAAGACAAAAGGGATGTCCCAGTGCACTCATTTTAAAAATGTGTCTGGGAGGTGACCACCTTTCGTTAAAGGCAGATGTTGATTTGAATCCTGGGCCGCCAAAGTTGTAGGTGCAGTTGAATCCTCCCCGCCATGCATCTGGAGCTGCTCTTCCACCTAGCTCACTAAGAAAAACAGATGGAAGAACGGGTCAGAGTTCGTGGCAAGCCCATTTTCAATGTAATAGTCCCCCAAATCAGATTTGTCTCATTACAAACCAGATAAGCTTGTAGGCATCCTCGAACCCGATGGGTTGGATTGGAATGGGAGGAATCCCAGTGATGCTCTCGGCTGGAATCCTGTAGGTTTCCTCTGAGAAAACAATTCATAATTCTTAGAATGATTTATAGAAAAATTCAATAAAACAATTTGAATGACCCAATTTTTTGTTAGTATTGATTTTAAAAGCTATTGTAAGGGTGCAGCACTAGAAGAAATACTCAATGAAAATGTCACTAGTTACCTTTGGCAGCCAGGTAGGGAGTGAGCATGTCTCCATAGTGAGTGTTGAAAGAACCTCTCTCCACGCCAGATGGCGGCATGTACCAGGAGTGAGGATACGTCTCACTGGCGTCCGACATGAGACCATCGTTGATGTCCAACGGGTCCGTGTAGACGAGCACGCCGCTGACTCCGTAGGGTGCCGCATTGATGGCCTGCATGAGACGCACGTGGGATTTGATTAACAATAAAATGATTTTAATATAATCCATTGATTCACATCTTTCAATGAACATATTTTAGCAGCCTTTTCCACCTGTAAGCATTGAAGTGTTAGAATTTTTCTACTTCCTTATTATTTGTGTTCGGTGTTGATTGGATGTGTTCACAAATGTATTGAGGACATTTGCCAAAGGACTCGAAAGCGCACTAGCATGTAACTGTTGCTCTTGGTTGAACATTTCTTTGCGCTATGGCGCTTCCGAAACAAAATAAAAAATGAATAAGATAATAAAAAACTCACTTTATCAGCTCTTCCCGCTCCGCCATATCTGGTGATTGCGATAGTTCCTCTCAAGTCCACAGTTTCACTCAACAGCTTGTAGTCACTTGGTTTGCCCTGGTTGGCGTACACCAGTTTTCCCTAAAACATAAAAAAAATGTAAATGGTCAAAAGCAGTGAACATCATGATGGGCAGGTGATGGATTAAGGGATCTCTTTATGACACGTTCAACTGAGGATTCTGCAGAGGGAAGAAAAAGTACATGAATTTCGACTAAAAATGCTGCATTTACACAATATGTACAGGACAACAATATATTTATTAATATTGATCAAATTGCACATGGAACATTTGTATCACCGACAAACAAAAGATGTTTTTTTTATTCCTCATTTCTGGCTTCTCTTTTATTGCAAGTTTTATCACAGCCCTTTAGGCCCTGCCTAAAATAGATGGTCCCAGATAGTAACAACCAGTCAGGCGAACTGCATCGATAAGCCAACAAGGGCCCATCTGTTGAGGGTGAGGCCCTTGTTGGTTTATCGATGCAGTTCGCCTGATAAAGGCTTTAGCCTTTTTGAGGATGCCATAAAAGTTAGCAATTGCAGTTGCAATATTACAATGGTTTTTCTCTCATTTTTAACGTTTGTATAGAAATATACTAACTGGGCGTTCCCCAAAGCTCCAGATCTGCATTTAAATAAGATTTTGTACATCAGAATAATTGTCTCTTATCTGTCTTCTGTCAGAGTGATCTTTATGAGGGATCCAGGAACATCATATTCCTGGATCACTCATTAAGATCATCAGATTTTTATCTAAACTATCTATATCTTTTATGTCTCATGTAAGGCGAAAGTCCCATAAACGCTGCTGTATAATTGCATTTCACCTTCAACTGTTCACGCATTCAACTTTTGTGAGCAATAAAATGGTTCCTTCTGTTCTGCTTCTTCTTGAGGTCTTTGTGGATAAAAATTAATTTATTACTTAACTTAATGTGCTCATGAACCATATTTGGTTTCCAAGAAATATAACAGGACCCCCGGAAAGCACTGTCATAAACTGGGGACTTTTCTATTCGTCCAATTAAATATTAAATAAAAAAATAAATATGTATATTTACGGAAATTGGTTTGCCAGCATCAAAGCAATAAAACCTCAACCTACTGAATAATAAACCCTGATAATAAACACCAGGTAAATATAGTCACACGCACATCAGACACACTGGGGATCTTTAAACACAACCTCCGTCAGGCGGCGTGTGGCTCGTACCTTGGGCTGTCCAGCAGGGGAGTAAGCGGCGTACGGCTGCACCACCTCGGCGTCATCTTGGTCCGGAGTGTAGACTTTCTCTTTTTCCCTGGCGGTGTACAGCACAGCATCAGCGGGGCTCACTGAAATGAACGACTCATGGTGAACGCTGTGCCAGTACAGAGAGAGCGTGTGTAAAACCTGCATTGATTAGCTGATCTCAATCGCCCGTGTCGGCTGGAGGTCAAACAGATGTTGCCGTGGTGACGGTTACGGGGTCTCTAACTTGGTCAGACAGGTCGTTGCATATAAAGTGTTAAGCTGTGTGACTTTGGGGCAGTTGTTCGGAGTTCGTGTCACTTTCTGGCGGGTCTGGGCAGTTATTTTGCGTCTGGATTTCACACACATGTCTGTGCCATGCACAGGACGTCCTACTTTATCACCAAAAATTATGTTTAAAGACTGATAATTGTGGGAAGTTCTTCCCCAGTTTTAGTTTCCCACCCGTGTCAACCACTCGTTCATTGAAGTGCAGCTAAGAAAGATATGGGGAGAAACTAGTGACAGTGAATGTTTTGTTATTTGAAGGACTCACCAACAGTGACCTTGTTGGGCTTCTTGGGGTCAGGGAAAGACAGGTAGACGAGGTACTCCTCTCTCCAGGCCTGGTCCAGACCCGCGTCGGGGTCCTGCCATCTCTTCAGCATGAGCTGCACTGTCTGCTCGTCTCCAGCTGTGGTGGCCATGTGGGGCACTTTGGTCAGCTCCCTAGGGGACAGAGAAAGGTTCGCTCCTGTAACGTTTCTGGATCGTTCACGGCCTAAAACGACCAATCCGAAAATGTCAAGGGGTTCCTTGGGAAAACCAAAAAAAAGGGATCATGTGACCTGTTTTTTAAGAAACCCTTTAGGATATCTAATGTACTGTGGAGGGGGAAAACTTCATGAGGCTAAATCAATCCTGTGACCTGAAGAATGTCTGAGCCTTCAGTTCTTTTAGAGTGAATTTGAACTTTTAAGTTGAAATCCCTTTAAGCAGCTCTTTATTTACATTTTTTTTTTTGGGACTCCACAAAATAAACAAACCTAATCTAAATGTGATCATTAACAAACTCACCGGAGGTTTTCCCGAATGTGGCTGCTGTCCACCTCAGACAAAAACTTCTCAACGAGGCTCTCGTCCACGTCCTTGGCCACGTCCTTCGCCCAAGAGCCGTTGCTCTTGGTGATGCCGTAGTGGCCGATCAGGATCCCAACGGTCAGTGCGACAGCACCGCACAGAATCCCAATCAATGCTTGCTTTATCATTCTCCTCACGGGAATTAGGTCTTCAGAGGGAACAGCTCTGCTTCTCTTTGAACCTGGATCTTGTGCGAGACAGTGAGCTTTCTCCAAAGCTCAGGAATGTTGTGGCGTCGCTTATGTAAGAGAAAATCCAGGCGTCTCACTTCCGAATGATAAACGCAACATCAGAGCAGCTGCTCAAGTGACCTCCCACTAAACAGATTGTAAAGTTTACTCATTGTTGTTTGCAGATGGGATGGACTTTATTCCTTTGTAAATGTGTAAAAGCAGTCTGTGGGTGTGGAATAAATATTGAGTTTCTAGGTGATATTTAGCGGTGCCTTATTTACTTGTGTTTGAAACTTTATATTCTCACCAGTTTCTCATAAGAGATTATGATTTGAGATGTGATGCCTGGATGTTTATGCAAAGGTTGACCTCCAAAGAATCAAGTACAGGCTGAACAAATGTGAATGGTTCAGATTTAACGGAATTCCACAGCAGATATTGCCTATTCTACTAACCCATAGCCTTATTCTACTAACCTATTGCATTAGCATTTCATTTTACTTTATTTTATTACGTGTGCACTGCTGTCTTGTTGTCTATTGTCTGTTTTACGTCTACTGTCACGCACCAACCGCCAAGACAAATTCCTTGTATGTTTGACATATTTTGCCAATAAATGTTTCCTGATTCCTGATTTATGGTCACATTGTACCAGTACTTTGTTATATCAACAGTAAGTTGTTCATCCACCTAAATGTAAGAAGCCATTTTACACAACAAAACAACAAAAACATATGTGCAATATATGTCTCAGTATAAAATAAAAATGCCTCATAAGATCTCAGTTTTGTGTTAACCCTTCAGGCAAGTATGCAACACAACTACACTGTTTTGTATGTGCCTATGAATATTAAACTCAGGTTATTGAGTTGTTGAAGTTAGACATGGATCTTGTGAGTCAAAGCATGGTTGGCATTATTTAGCCTATTTGATCAAACGTGTGAAGCTAAAAGGTAAAAATCAAGGAAAATGTATTTCATTTTTAAAGGTTTCTTTGACTGTCACGACACTTTGTGAAGTAAGTAATGAGACTCATCAGTAATTGGAAATGAATCGTTTTATTATGAAAGCAGGGGAAAATCCCACCCTCTGGCTCCATGAGCATTTGGTGATGACATTTTGGGCCACATATCTCAAGACATGTCGTTAAGATAAAAAATGATAAGACATAGTCACTGATTTTTAGAATAAGCCACACCCCAGTTACATATCTAGTGATAAGACAATCATCCACCGCCACAAGTGTGAGAAATAACAATAAATACTCCTTCAGTGAGTTGCAGCCAAACAAACAAACTTGAAATATATAGACATATATTTCAAAAAAATTCACAAATAATTAGATTTGTAATAGATATATAGCCATGGTGAAGCTAGCAGACTCAATTCGTTGGTTAATAAGTGCATTTTTACTTTTATTATTACAAATATTTTTTATTTAAACTTGCTTTGGACACAAAGTAAATAAATCATTGACTTTCACTAATGCTCACCGACATTAGGTAAACGGTATCAGTTTGATATACTTTCTTTGACTCAATTAATTAAAATCACTTACATAAAATGTATTCATATTTTACATAAAATATATTCATATTTTATGGGCAACTTCCATCGGCCATAATTTACCGCGAGCTACAAGCAACCAACCGTCAATCAAAGCAGTGGCGAGCCCTGGTGGTCGCGTGGAGTATTGCAGAGCAACAACACGGGACTTCCGGTTCACAGCAGACGTTTCCTTCTACTTCCTCCTGCAACTGAGCTCCCAGTTGTTTCTTTCTCATTCTTGCCGAACCGGAAGGAGCTTCAGAAATGAAACGACCACCTGGAATATAAACATCCCGACTTACCAGCCGCGCGAGCACGGTGTCTCGCTGACAAGGTGCACGTGGGCCGGTTTTCTCCCAGAATGCAATTCTTCCAGCTGTTTCACTTTCACTCTTGAATTACTTTATTCATACATAGTGCGCGCTGAAGACACTGTAAGTAGAAATGTACGATTCGTGTTTAAAAAATGCGTCACAATAGGCGATTTAACAGCTGTTGTTTAGTGAAACGACGGTTTATTTCCTCGTGTGTTACGAGTACACGAATGGAGATGAATGTGATATCGAAAGTATTGTGCGCAGTCAGTGTTTGATTGAATATAAGACATCCGAGACACTTCACAAGTCAGTCCTCGTTGTTCACTAAGAACCAGCCTAATAGCGTCCTGTTCGCTAGTGCACTTGCACATGTTTCAATAATAGTATTTTTTAACTTTAACTGTTATTCTTTTATTTCAAACTAACCCATAGCATTAAACTTTATTTTATTACTCGTGCACTGTTGTCTTGTCGTCCATTGTCGTACCGTCTACTTTCATGCACCAACCGCCAATAAATGTTGTGCAATAAATGTTTCTTGTTTCCTGATTCAAAGGTCCTTAGGAGGTCGAATTTGTTATTTAAATTCCAATTTGTAACATTACCATTAAACCTGGAGTCTCTCTGGTACAATCCTCATGATGCTTCCTTCCGTTGCAGGTGAGAGGACTTCCCGCCTGTCACCATGTTGGCAGCACCTCTTCTCCTGCTGTTGCCGCTGCTGGTTCCCTTTCCTCCCTCCTCAGGAGCCCAGCTGCCAAACCAGGGCCGAGTCGAGGAGGCCCCCGTGGCCACCAACGGCCAGCCGTTCCCCTGGGGGCGCATGAGGCTCCCCAAAACCGTCTCCCCTTTACACTACGACCTGAGCCTCCACCCCAACCTGACCACCATGGACTTCAAGGGAGTGGTCCGCATCCAGCTGGATGTGCAGGAAGACACCGGCGCCATCGTTCTCCACGCCAAGCAGATGCAGGTATCCAACGCGTGGCTCCTGGCGCCCGAAGGCGCGAGGCCCCTCCGGGTGTTGGAGTACCCTCGTTTCCATCAGCTCGCCCTGCTGTCGGACGCGGTGCTGACCAGAGGGAGGAAGTACGAAGTTCAGCTGGAGTTCGCTGCCAACCTCTCTGACAGCTTTCACGGTTTCTACAAGAGCAGCTACCGCACCAGCACCGGGGAAGTCCGGTAAGACTTTTTAGATTTTAAAAGAGCTGTGTCATTGTTACATATGATGCAACTGAAGAACACAAGGCGTGGTCTTGATTTGAAGCGACACTAACAACAGTATCGCTAGTATTAGACAGAGGATCAGTAATGTTAATGAATGCTGATTCTACCAGGGCAAAATAATTAATTTTGAACTTGCCACGTCTATCAGCTTAAATTGTGTCCGTGCTGTAAATTTGATTTTTACCGTTATTCATTTACATCATTAGGGTTCTGGCATCCACGCAGTTTGAAGCCACCTACGCCCGCGCAGCTTTCCCCTGTTTTGACGAGCCCGCCTTCAAAGCCAACTTCACCATACAGATCATACGAGAGCCGCGGCACATATCCATTTCCAACATGCCCAAGGTGCCCACGAATGCAGCAACATCAGTTCATTTACATTACTTTATTAAAGGACATACTCAATTTACCTCATGACCTCTCTTTTCCTGTCTCCGTTTCCGTCCCGACAAACCCACGTTGCTCAGGTGAAAACTGTGCTGTTACCGGGCGGTTTGCTTGAGGATCACTTCGACACTTCTGTCAAAATGAGTACGTACCTGGTGGCCTACATTGTGTCCGACTTCCTGTCTGTGAGCAAAACCACCCGGCATGGCGTCAAGGTGAGGCGGACCACGGCTCTTTTTAAACGCACCGTATTTTGCCGAGTTCAGCGGTACGAACGGCATACGTTTTTGAATTTGTGATGCTACAAACGTCCTCTGACTGCTGTCAGATCTCCGTCTACGCCGTCCCGGAGAAGATCGACCAGACGGCCTTCGCGCTGGATGCAGCTGTCCAGCTGTTGGACTTCTACGATGACTATTTTGATATTCCTTACCCCCTTCCCAAACAGGGTCAGTATTTACTTTGTCAGAGGCCTGTCTGTGTTTGGGATCCATCGTCTTTCAGTGATTGTGCACATGCATTTGGCAAATATGTCAGATTTAGTGCATATTTCAGAAGACAATTTGAGAAACAGATGCCGGTGAGGTGCTTTTACGTGCCTGACGTTGCTCCCCGCAGACCTGGCGGCGATCCCTGACTTCCAGTCGGGTGCGATGGAGAACTGGGGGCTGACCACGTACAGAGAGACGGGCCTCCTCTTCGACCCCGACAAGTCCTCGGCTTCAGACAGACTGGGACTCGCCAAGGTCATCGCCCACGAGCTCGCACACCAGGTAGCTGGCCCGCCATCGCCAACCCCTGTCCCCCGGTGGACGGGAGGTCACACAGCACGTGCAGTATTTCAACATCTAAGCCCTTTAAAGATGCACTCGTCCGTCTTGCGCATGGAATTGATGGACTTTGTTCTTCCCGTCCAGTGGTTTGGTAACCTGGTGACGATGGAGTGGTGGAATGACCTCTGGCTCAACGAGGGTTTCGCCAAGTTCATGGAGTATGTTTCGCTCCGCGTCACCTACCCGGAGCTGCAAGTGGTGAGAGGCGAGGGACTCGTGTCCTACTGCCAGCGAGGACACATCCTCTAATTTACTGCAGTACATTCCATCTGTCTCTTTCATATGCACGGAACTATAGCAATGTACTACTGTGCCTTAGCTGAATATCTCGTATGTCATCAGATTTTTTATTGATCTGGCAATGTTTTGTTTAGTGGATTATTTTGATAATGTAATAAGTGTTTTTAAAAATGTGAGTCATATCCTCCCTCCTCTCTCACATGTTCTCTCTCCCCCTCTTCCTCCCAGGACGACATCTTCTTGGGGAAGTGTTTTGAGGCCATGGAGGTCGACTCCCTCAGCTCGTCCCACCCGGTCTCCACCGATGTGGAAAATCCCACTCAGATCCAGGAGATGTTCGACGACGTTTCCTACGACAAGGTCAGACCTTTTCTGTCCCAGGACAAACCTTATTCACCCACGGGATAAATCCTAATCTGCGTAACTAAGTTGTGCCCAAAATCAATATTCAGGTATCACAACAGATGTTTTAATTGTTAACTTTAAGCATGTTCTTCTTTTTCCAGGGGGCGTGTATTCTGAACATGCTGCGGGACTTCCTGACTCCGGAGGCTTTTGAGGTCGGCATCATCCGGTACCTCAAACGCTACAGCTACCAAAACACGGTCAACAGCCATCTGTGGGAGAGCCTGAGTAATGTGAGTGATCATCTGGGACCGAGTGTGTTTGGGACGGACTGCTGAGGGCCGCGTGGAGACTCTCTGCTCGAGCTTCCTTCTGTTTCCCATCAGATCTGCAACTCGGACGATCTGGACGAAGGCCGGAAACACAAAGAATTCTGCTCCGAGCGCAGCCTTCAGTCCGGAGCCTCTGTGAGTTTGTCCTCCATAAATCTGTCGCAGTTCATGATGTTCAGTATTTGAATGTGTGTGTGTGTGTGTGTGTGTGTGTGTGTGTGTGTTTACAGAAATGGTACTCCGGGGATGAGCTGGATGTCCGGGCCATCATGGACACCTGGACCCTGCAGGAGGGCTTCCCTCTGGTCACTGTGGAGGTCAGAGGTCGGGAGGTCAGGCTCAGTCAGGAGCGTTACCTGAAGACAGCCGACCGCTCCCTCACCGAAGGGTATAACGTCAGATTAGTGGACGTAGTGAAAGTAGCTTTCAAATACTGCAAATGTTGTGGTTCAACTGCAAAAATCCATCAAATTGTTTTGAAACGTTTCACTTCTCAAAAAGCAAACGTCATTATTCTAAAGAACTCCTTTTGGGATAATAGTGCATAACAGTGATGCAGTTTTTGAATCATGCAATTATGTGACGTGCTTCATCTTTACCCCGTATATATATATATATATTTTATTCAAAATCCGTATTTTCTAAGACGCTCATCGTGTGTTTCTAGATTCCTGTGGCAGATCCCACTGACCTACATGACCAGCGCCTCCAACACCATCCACCGCTTCCTGCTTAAGACAAAAACCGGTGTGTGGGTTGTGATGAACCTCATCTTCATATTGCTATATTTCTATGCTCAATCCATATAAGTCCCTACGAAGCGTGTGTTTACTCCTCTTCCGTGCAGATGTCCTGTACCTGCCGGAGGAGGCGGACTGGGTGAAGTTCAACGTCGACATGAGCGGCTTCTACATGGTCCACTACGCGGGCGAAGGGTGGAACTCCCTCATCCGACTGCTGCAACACAACCACACGGCCCTGAGCAGCAACGACCGCGCCAGCCTCATCCACAATGTCTTCCAGCTGGTCAGGTCGGTCTAAAGGATCGGAGGAAGGCTGTCCAAACCGCCGTTTGTCCCTCATCACCCTGAATTTAGATGAATGTTTTCGGAAAAATGGACAAAACTGCAGCGGGTCCTGTGTGTTCACAGCACGGGCAACGTGAGGCTGGACACGGCGCTGGAGCTGTCTCTGTACCTGTCCAGGGAGACTGAGATCATGGCTGTGACTCAGGGCTTCCAAGAGCTCGTACCTCTCTACAAACTGATGGAGAAGAGAGACATGGCTGCCCTGGAGAACCGGATGAAGGTGAGAAAAAAGGCAGCGGTGACTTATCCAAAAATGCCAATTGAAACACTACCGAGGAGTACTGTATTCTTAGCACATTTATGTACTGGCTTGCAGTTTTCTTCTTCTTTGCCTGTCAATTTGGTGCGTTTCTTACCTGCATGTGTTCCTCAGGACTACATTGTTGATCTGTTCCGGGGGCTGATCGATCGTCAGGAGTGGACTGACTCTGGATCAGTGTCCGAGCGAGTGCTGAGGAGCTACCTGCTGCTGTTTGGCTCCGTCAGGAACTACGCTCCCTGTGTGACCAAGGCCACCCAGCTCTTCAACAGGTGGAGGGACTCTGAGGGCACCATGAGGTCAGTGCTCATGAATTAGCACATCCACTGTTGCCTTACTGACTATGTTCCGAGTTTTTCTTACTTATGAGCATTTGTGTGTTGAGATTTAAAAGCGTTTCTTTGTTTCAGCCTCCCCGTCGACGTCACCATGGCAGTGTTTGTGATCGGAGCTCGAACCCCGGAAGGGTGGGACTTCCTGTTTGAGGAGTACCGCCGCTCGCTGCAAATGTCTTTGAAGAGCCGCTTGAAGTCCGCGATGAGCATCAGCCACCTGCAGGACAAGCTCAAGTGGTGCGCACGTCAAAGCAAACCTTTGCCGCTTTGCTTCCCCTTCAGCTTTTTGCTCTCCAACCCCCTGCCGTCTTTCTGTTTGACCTTCCTCTACCCGTTTATATCTGTCCACAGGATGATGGAGCAGAGCCTCCACGGCGAGGTGATGAAGACCCAGGACCTCCCGGGCGTGGTCGTCTCCATCAGCAAGAACCCCCGGGGCTACAAACTGGCCTGGGACTTCCTCCGAGCCAACTGGCACACTCTGATCAAGAAGTCAGTCGGCCCACTTTGTGCAATCGAAGGATGTCAAACATTCTTTACGCTGCAGTTAAAAATGCTATGTGGTGACCTTTGTTAGTATTTGTGGTTGAAATCTGAGCCCGAGCATACATGTTTCTGTGTGTGTGGTAGTTGTGGTTTTTAAACTTTGCACTCTGCCTCTGTAGGTTTGAGTTGGGGTCCAGCACCATATCTCACCTGGTGATTGAAGTGACCAACCAGTATTCTACCAGGGAGATGTTAGATGAGGTAAGGGAGGCTGGGACCACAGCTATGGGCTTTTCTTAGTGTCTGTCTATAGAAACTTTGTGCTTCAGCTTAAGTGACCTTTGATGAATGAATATTCATTTAAATTGATGTCATTATTTAGAACATTAAATATGTGTAACTCCACCCCAACTAACAAAATATACTAAAAATACTGACTCAAATGTGGAAAATAATTAATAGCCACAAACTGCTGTTTGTATGTTAACCATTGTAAATTTAAGCTCATCTCTCAGATACGTGCAGATTCTTCACGTATTGGACATGCTTTTAAGCCCTACCTTCTCTGTGCCCAGGTGAGAAGCTTCTTTGGCTCTCTGACGGAGGAGTCTGGCGCAAAGATGAGATGCATCCGGCAGACCTACGAGACCATCGAGGAGAACATCCGCTGGATGGACAAGAACCTTCCTCTGCTGCAGGCCTGGCTGGACCGACGCAGCCGCAGACAACGTGAAGATTTGTAGATCTCAAGAGGTCGGGCTAAGACCGATATGTTGCTAAAGGCAAATGCCAAGAGGCGTGGATGCAACTCACAAGTTCTGGAGATTGAATCCTAAATTCGAACAAAATTCACAATTATTCTAACAACATCGACTTGAGTCTGAACCTCCCCGAATGCGTGTACAAACTGTGTAATCTCAGTACGTATCCCTAATAACCCCAAACCTGACTGAGCTGACGTGGCGCTCACGTGTCGACAATTAGAACTTGTGACTTCCAAAATAATTATTTGCATTTTTCAATGGAGGTGTTCTTCAGGCTCTCGGCAGATCTCCTCAAAAAGCCCTCTGTGGTATAGACACCAATGCTCTCTGTAGTAGTCGTGACTCCTGGACGTGTGTGTGTGTGTGTGTGTGTGTGTGTGTGTGTGTGTGTGTGTGTGTGTGTTGGGGGGGTTAGTGTTGTTTGCCGTGTGAAGTCTCTTTTTTTTTTTTTTCTATTCCTACTGCTGTAACAATAGTCAATGATGCACAAAAGAAGTGCAGGTCTTATTGGATATTTATTTTTCCTCATAATAAGGCACCAGACCACTAAAGATACCTTTACTGATTCATACTGGCCCTTCTTCTTACTTTTGAAGTTCTCAAATAAACAACACAAATGCACGAGGAATGTGTTGTTCCAGAAATCGATTTGGTTTATTCAACACAACAACATCATGTGCCTTATTTTGATGAGGATCAGGAGGATGTGCTCATTAAATAAAATATTGGACAGATTTTGTATTTTATTGTTTTATTTAATCTTTATAAGGTTGCTAATATTTGCAAGTTAAGCCGAGTAATGTGGCTGTAAACTTTGTACTTTTCCCCTCATCTGATCAACAGGTCAATTCAGTCACACACACACACGATACAACGCCAAACTAAAGCAATTGGCTAAAAAACTCGGGAATAACTTCAACTTAAAGCATTTAACATCCCTCAAGGGGGAGCGGCCTCCTCTTCGACTTGAGACAACTGTTGCATAATTGGCCTTGTTGCTCTGGAGCAGCATTGAAAAGACCTTCAGGTGATGTCACGATGATGTCATCAGAGGGTGTCATCCCCGCTTATTTTAGAAGACTTTGAAGAACAGAAAGTCCGTATTACAAACGGAGTTTGTGAGACAATGGAGGGAAGTTATGGTTTATGTACATTATGGTAAATGTATGATATCTTAGTTTTGTCGATAGTTTTACGTTACGGCCTATTTGCCAACACGGTGGCATGAGCACTCAACGAGTCTCACAAATGAGTTCACGCGTTTCTACGGTAACCCACCTCTCAGAAGAAGCCTTCTTGAGAAACGTAACTGTTACTTTAAATCCTCTAATGCGGAAAGAAATTCTTCTAATGGACCTTTAGCACAAACTAGTAAAACGCAGCGTCACACTTAAGTTAATGCACATATTCATACATATGAGCATACGTTTATAACCCTTGTGAATAAGCTTAACCGTCATATTGATTCAGCAAAGTCATTTCAGAGGGTTTTTCAAGGGCCGATATACATTCTGGGCTTTGCACTCCAGTGCATGTACACACACAGACAGACACACACACACACACACACCGCCCCCTCATCAAACTGCCCTCCGCTCCAGTGAGTTTTCCCTCCCAGTCGTACACCTGAGGAGAGCCCTCTCTGGACTGGAGGTAAGACTCTCTCACTACTTCTGCCTCCCGGTTGTAGATTTCACTGCTCAATGAAGCCAAACGAATCACATTTAATCACATTTTCTCGAATGAAGATTTTTGGAGCCGTTATTTGTTTAGCCAGTGGCCTCTTCTCAGACTTGGCCCCTGTTCCAACGGGCTGACTGATCCTGTGTTTTTGACCTAACCGGCCTCTGGTGATTTTTGTTTTCTTCTGTTTGCTTGGTTTGGTGTAATAATCTACTCGGAATATACACGTGGTACTAAACCACCTGAAATATGTGTAGCTGAAAGATGAGTACGTACTCATGTAGCTTTTGTTTTCCTATAAGTATATATTCAACAACATGCTCGGGACTTAATCCACACAAGCAGTTTGGGTGAAGAAAAGGTGAAAGTTAATTAGAATCAAAATGGGTTTCCTAATTTCTGCTAATGGTATCAAATAACAATGATGCTATGAAAGCCTGTCATGTGACTTTAGTCACAGAGCCAAACCGCTCTAGTTCCACTTCACTTGAGAGGGAATCTTCTGTTTGTCAGCAGTGCACATTGTTAATGGTGACTTGATCGAGCTGTAGTGGCACCCGAGTCCAACCCGCTTAAATTTAGTCTCAGGTGGAGCACTTTGGTGGGTGTGGGATTGACTCGGGATTCATGAATGTGACTGATCGGCGACCGGAGGTCCTCGTGATTTCATTGATGTCCGTTAGACGTCAACTTTTCATAACCCAAGAAGAGCCCTCTTTCCAGCTTGTGACAACACACGATCATCCAAATAGTGTCCGTAGCTCAAGGAGAGGAGGATGTTCTCAAGCCAGCTCATCTAAGGTTGTTTTACAAGTTAAAATAAGACCACATATTATACTTTACACGCTACTAGCTCAATATTCCTGTCCATCACATGACGCGTTTCCAAGCTCGTAGGAACAAATGTAATCACCCGATCTTTGTGAGATGATAAAACCAGTGCAGGTAGACTGAACTGAATTGTAAACTGCACGAGGTAACTGCAGGGTAATCTGTTTTCCAGGTAGAGATGTTGTATAAATGTACTGTATCTTTCCACCTACAAGGAGAGCCAGGCAATAAAATAGCCTTGGCTGATTGTGTCTTAGACAAAACATTTATAGCTCTGAAGTTCAAAGAGTATTTTTCTGCTGACACAGCATGAATATAAAGATACATTTTCAGATTTAAAATTCTAGCCAGAGAAACACAACATTTTTAGATTTACAAGTGGGAAGGCATAATTGCCATGACCAAACACAGGCATCCGCATGCATACGTGGTTCATGAGTAGAAGCAGAGGGCAAGGCTTGAGTAAAGCGGGCCGGCTCAATAAAGGTTTGTCAGTGGGGAATCTGTTTGGAATTTATGGGCCTTCCTGTTATAACAACAATAATGGACCTGCCCTGTTTTACCAATTTGCGTGGATACAAATACGTGTTTCCGCACACACGCCTTTTGACTTCCATGACGAAACCCTGAGCCCTGAGCTGGAAACTGTTTCCACTAAAGAAAATGGTGGACCAACCAACCAACGGACTGACCAAAAAGTGTGTAATTGATGTCAAGATGTGGGATGTTTGTCTCCTCTTCAGGTCCGTGGTTTGTTTTTTCTGACTCTGTTTCGCCACAGAGCTCTAATATTGGCAATGGACAACATTCCCGTTCTGAAGTAAGACATAATTCATTTTCTTTATATATATACCTGCTGGTGATTAATTCAACACTTATTTTGTTGACATTGGCTTCACTTCATATGATGGTCCAACAGACCCAAAATATGTATGACATAAGAAATCTAAATGAACATTTTGTATGTGTTGTTTCTTCCATTAAAACCCAAAGGCAATGTGCTCACTCGGTGTGTGATAATCTGAATTTACACTGTCAAATCTTCCTCTCCTCCCTCTTCCTCCTCAAGGATCTTCCTGGGCATCCCTGGGTTTCGGCCTCTCCATCATGTTCTGCACGACCTTCTGCAGGGTGTGCAGTCGCTTCAGAGAGGAGCAGATCAACAGGGAGGCGTTGAGACGCAGTGAGCAGGAAACTCGCCCTCCTCCCATTTATTTCATCCCCTTCCATGGAAGCATGTCACGGCAGGACAGCGAAGACCAGGACAGAGGGCCTCGCATCAGCCTGGAGCTCCACACACCACCTCGATACAGCAACGTCGTCTTCTGTGGGCCTCCACCTTCCTACAATGAGGTGACGCTGGGACGAGATGAACCCCACGCCTTAACATCCACTTCTACGTGCGCTCAGTTGGATTTGAACCTTGCGTTTCTCTCTGTGTCTTTCAGCTGGGATTGAAGCCTGACGATCTCCCGCCCGCTTACACCGAGTACAACGTCCCCGTGTATCAAATCGCACCCCCGCCCCCCACGGACAGGAGTCAGCCACAAACACAGTGACAGGAATGATTCAGGACCGTCACACTGGGCCTGGGACAGCGGTCACGCACAGCCTTGAACGGCCTCGTGGACTCCAGTGAGCTGACGCTGGCAATGTCTCAAAGGTTGTTTTGGTAATGAACGTGATGATGGCGCTGCAGAAATGGCAGCAGGTTCACCGCTACGATGCCACGAGGACAGCACACTCTCAGAGACACTACTCCCGGGCATGTTGATTGTTGACACGGGATCGGAATGCATTCTTCCCTCCTGTTATTATCATCTCCAACCAGGAGCATCTGCTTTCGGTTTGTTTGCATGTCCGTCATTGATTGCTTTTCAGGATCTCTAAAATCACTTTAAAGGTATTAATGAAATATGTGTAAATTCAATAGGGCCACTATGTGGCCATTTATAATGCACTTTGTTTTGTCTCGTGTCCCCTAAATGATGAGGCGTGTCCCCCGACATGTATTAGCGACTGCACAGAACCTAAATTAAAATGATTTTTTTCACTTTTACCACTTCTTTTAATGCATTTGAATGTTTGTTGTTGTTGTTGTTGTTGTTGTTTGTTGTTAAACTCAAATATTCCTAGACAGAATTCATACCTCATGAATACCATCTACTTAGGATCACAGTATACCGTGTGTATTTATTGTAGATATGATTCAAACATCTAAATGTACAACAAGTGTTTAGTCTTAGTCTCATTATGTGCTAAGTATATACTATAATAAGAGTAGCAACCTTGATACAAAACCAGAGACTCTGTGAATGAAGTCATTGTTTTTACATGTGGTAACTGTTTTCTTTGACTGAATGATGCTTTTAAATCAAATAGGAACACCTCTCCAAAGGAACAGCTGGTTATGATGTCATTGCACATGACGTTGGCTGTAGATTGGCTTGATTTAATATTGCTGTCATTGCGTGTTAAATGTCATGTTATTACCTGATATCTGAAAGCAGTCTTTTTAAGGTCAGAAGTCTGTACTTACCATACCTAAACAATGACCTTGTGTACATTTATTAAATAGCCATAATGAAATGTTGAAATTTGAGGACAACAAGTGAATTATATAAATATAGAGGCGGGTCAGGAAAGAAGAATATAATAAATATTGGCTGATTAAATCTATATATATATATACTTAATGTTATACCATATTTCTATGTACACATAATGATAGTTCTGATAATAAATCAATTCAGCGCTGTAACTGAGCTTTTGCGTTGTATATTTACATTTAAGGGCCGCTGAGTGGAAAGTTCGTTACGAGCCATTCAGTCTGACTTTTTAAACCTTGCTCACTTTTCTTCACTCCAGCAGTATCCACTTTTGCAGCAAAAGTATAACCTACGTGTATAAATAGTCAACCAATTGTTCAAGCAACAACCTTTACTCTCCAGGGAGAGAGTACACTGTTCATAGGTGTAATGTGTAATTTTCTCTCTTTTACAGCAAACGGATGTGGTGATGTATTTTCAAGCTCCACAAGGGAAAAGCCTCTTCTCTTACAAGTCACATTACTACGCACACAGACACACACATCTGTGTGTATGTCTGTGTGTGTGTCCGTGTGCATGTGTGTGTGTGTGTGTGTGTCTGTGTGTATGTCTGTGTGTATGTCTGTGTGTGTGTCCGTGTGCATGTGTGTGTGTGTGTGTGTCTGTGTGTATGTCTGTGTGTGTGTCCGTGTGCATGTCTGTGTGTGTGTGTGTCTGTGTGTATGTCTGTGTGTGTGTCCGTGTGCATGTCTGTGTGTAAGTCTGTGTGCAATAGCTTGAATCCCAGAACGTCTTTCTTCATCTTGTCATTATTGAGTCAGAGTGTAATTGCATAACTAAAGCATTGCCATGATCCTGCTCAAGTATAGAGTATTGTTGTACTGTGCAAATTAAACACTAGAGGGCAGTGTAACTGTGTAACCGTGTCCACTACTTGTTGTCATTTATAGGCCTATTTATTTTAGGCCGCTCTATCCACACAATTCACAACCAAACTGGAGCTGGTATACAAATTATTTTTGCCAAACCTCACGTCTGTCAAAAGCTCGTCCCGCTGTCTCATGTGCTATACAGCAATATTCCACTATGAGCTTATGGATTCCACAATTTAATATTCAGACATTTAAAAGCTTAGTGATTCCGGTAGTTTGGTACACGTGCACATGCTAACTAGCATGTGTAGGAGGATTCCACTCTTTACCAAAAGCACCATACTTGCACCATCAAATCAGAGAGTTGATGGTGCAACCAAGAAATACAAGCTTAATTTGGTGGAGGACATTCATGGTTACGATGGTTTTGTTGGTGGCCATCTTGTCTGTCTACGCTTTGACAGCTAAATGTGTTTAACATGTTTCGATCCGAATTTTTACCTGTCCTTGCACATTCCAAAATATTGTTTGTGTGAAGTAGCAGGAGGTTAAAGCCAAATTGATTCTCTAAATATATTCCTTATCAATCCCAAGGGCTCTTCTGAATTCTGGTGCATTCTTTCTTTTAGAGTTTAATTCATTGCCAGCTTAAACTCTTGAATAACGACCATTAACATGTAGCCAGTTATAGGTTATAAGTCAGTCCGTCAACTAAACTACTGCCAACTCCCCCCCAAAAAACGCCTTGTCAGAGTTTATTAAAGTAAAAATCCATTTTGGATGAGACCATCTTGAGAGAGGTTACTGTCTGAGTGAGTCTGGATAGTGCTGCTTCTGGAAGAGACATGTGGGATCCTGGAATAGATTTAGAGTAAGAAAACCCCCTGAGGGCTGCGCATGAAGAGAGGAGCTCAGATAATATAAAAAGGAAAGGAGGGGGACGCTTGCTTGTGTCTGTGCACGGGACCATGTCGGTCACTGGACGTATGCGTCTGTGCGCCTGTCCTCTGTTGAATGACAGCTGAGCACAGTTGCTTTCATTACCAGGATGACCCATCTCTCTCCTTACCTTCCTCTAATTCTCATCATCATCATCATCATCCTTCCCTCCCTCCCGCTCGCCGCTGTGCGATATGAATACACACTGCAGAGCCCCTGGCATTCTTTTGTCCAATAACATTCTCCGCTATCTCTGTCTGGCCTTCATCGCCAGTGGGGTCGGGATTCTTTATTAACAAACTCCAAACTGCCTCCACTAGCGTCGAACCACAAATGTGTGCAAAAAAAGGAGGGGCCTTGAGGTGAGTGGGTGAGGGGGTGAGGGGGAACCAGCAAGCAATTACACCCCAGAAAATACAAGCGTAAGAACCTTGGCATATTGTTTTGTGAATTGTTGACACATCATATTTCTATTGATATGATACATGTGTTCTGTGAAAATTAACGGTTTTATTCAAGAAATCAAAGAAAATAGTCAGAGCTGCGGGGGTAGAAAGAAGAGGAGTACTTGACCAATTAAAATGTCTGGAACCAATAACGGGTTTTAAATAATTCTTTATTACATGTTAAGCTGACAAAAACCTCAATTGAAACCCGCAGAACTACAGAACATCACAATCTAATATCCAAAAATGTTCCATTCAACATAAAGCTGATGGGACTTGAGTTGAGGCCAGTGGTGGGGAGGCAGACTACGATGAGGAGTGATACCCGTAACTCGCCTCTGGTACCACGCAGCAAACCTCGCATCAGAGACGATGCTCTCATCCCAGTGTTTGTACACGCATCCGTAAGGTGTAGAGAGAGTTTCTTTCTGAATGGCGGATGGATGAGAAACAAACAAAGCGCTTAGACATGCAGGAGAATAGTCTTTCACATAGCTCACATAGCTCTATTTTTCTCCATAATTAGTTTTGCATGAACGGATAATAGATAGAGATGCCCTTTGTTCTGGGAGCAATGGGTTTTTGTTCATAACTAATTCATCCAAGAGCTCATCCTAAAAACTGCTCTTAAACCAAGTGGTGCTTCATCTGACCAACACTTGAACTATTTGCTTATTTAAAAACTGTACAAGCGGATTAAAAATGAAACAACATTAGAAAACAAAATGCAGTCCCAGAATTTATCATGAAAAGATTGAAACATTTCAGAAAGAACACCAATTAAAAGTGAGCATATTCTTCCCCGCTGATGAGCCTCTTTTCTCCAGCGTGCAAACAAACTGTGCTCAAATATCTAGTTAAATGTGGAGATCTCTACGTATCGATGTATAGTCTACTTAGCGGGGGTTAAACGCATCTTTGTGGAACCTGGGAAGAGTCATTACGGTGGTGTGTGTTTGACTGTGTGTTCGTGTGTGTGTGTGTGTGTGTGTTTGGCCTGATGGACAAGTGTTGGTAACCATGGAGCTGACTTGGGGAGGGGTGTTTGTTGATGAGCAACATTCCAGTGCTCGCCTGATGTGCGTGTGTGTGTGTGTGCGTGTGCGTGTGCGTGTGCGTGTGCGTGTGTGTGTGTGTGTGTGTGTGTGTGTGTGTGTGTGTGTGTGTGTGTGTGTGTGAAAACCCAGTTCAGGGCTGCAGGTAAACATCATGCGTCTATTTAAAGGCGGTGATTCTTCCGACCAGCTGATGCACGATGTTTCTGAGGATTTGCTGAGTTGCCTGCAGTCTTAAGGAGAAAGCTCCTCGCTACTATTCTGCCTGGATACGAAACAGAGAGACACACAGGACATCTTTGACTATCTTCTTTTTTAACGTAGCTAAAGGAGATTCATAAATAATCTCTGGTGTTTCTGCTGAGTTTATATTTTCATTCCATCAGCTATTGATTTGTATATTTAATGATAGTTATTCTCATTCACTTTCACAACAATTCACATCGACCAGCTACTTCTCTAATATGTGTTGGACTGCGTGCAAATGGAATTTGTTTCTCAAAGGTTTGGACTTGACTGGTCATGCTGTTATTTGCAAGAGAAATAACAACGTAGCTGCGAGCTTCTTCATCGCACAGAAGAAGTTTAGCCCTCAGGTGACAACACTGCTTTGTATTCAGGGTCACAGTCGTCCCTGATGTGGCTCACCCTCCTTTACTACGTCAAAACTCTAAAGCCTGCAGCGTGCCGGAGGAGTGAACGATCCTCAAGTTGCTGCGTTTGAATTAGCAGCCATCTCTTTGGCTGCAAGACCCGACAAACCTGCCCAGCCGACTGCTCGGCAGCTGCGCATTCTTACGTGACACATTCGCTCAAGGTGCACTAACAAACCGAGGACTCACAGAGCCTTCACTTTATGAGAGCTTTTGTAAGCACACAAAAAAATCGACCTAATTGTTTCCCCTCCTTTCATTACAGTCACGGCCAATAATGTGCTGCAAAGTTCCCTCATGTACTTTACCGTCCCAACTCAAAACAACGGGATAGCTTAATCTCGCTTTGGTCACCATTTTTTAATTCACCCAGTTGATTAAATCTGAAGAATCACAGCCATTCAACACGTGCCACAATGGTGAGACATATAGACCATTGGAGGATAAAGTCGGACACCATGCAATAACATTAGAGACAGTTAGAATACCCACGATAGAGCTATTTTTGGCCAATTAGTCGACTGGTTATCTAACGTCTTAAAAAGGGCACTGTGTGTCACCAATGAGCTCACAAAGTCCGGCTAACACCGAAGGCCAAAGGTAGGAGTCTTTAGGCCGGACCGACCATGTTGTAGAGAGAATCAACTCTTTGTGCAGCTCATTGGCCTCCTCCCCAAAAGGAAACACCTTCCCTTCACTGCAACATGTGCAATGTATAGAAACCCGTTACAGAGGTTCAATGTTTCCTCCACACTTTCAGAATAATAAATGACACAATAGAGAAGTGATTCAGGGTACAGCTGCCCGCCGCCGAGGAGTCGGAGACAATTGGTGCTCTCAGCTGGTGCGGTGGGGGGGCGTTGGGCGTCCACACATGTAGGCTACGTGCTTTCTTTCTCTTTGTTCCCTGGAGGAGACACACACAATGAAATATGTTCTCCAAGCTTCAGGATTTTAAAGAAGTTGACAATGTTGTTTTCTGTGGAAGAGCAGTTCTTTGTGTGTTTTCCTCTGCACAATTCCACCAAAACGGACGTGCACCGTGCTTCACGATCGGCACATTACGACGCTGCTCTGTGAAGAGCAAAAATATAAAGATCACAAGATCACACACACGTATATTCGAGCACATGCGTTGCGGTTGCCATGTGCTCGAGTCAAAACGCCTTTCTGGTCCAGGAAAAGGGGGCGTGGCAGCCGGTAAGCGGGCGGACGGCTCCCTCCCTGATGGAATGCTTGCATAACACAGCCAGCGCAACCCTGCAGCCCAAATCTGATTCACACTCATCTCGGCGAGCTGTCGTGCACGTGCATTTGTGTGACGCGCGGGGATGTGCGTGCCTCGCTCTCCGTTTCTCCACGCCCCCCAGCTTTCATCCCAGTGCTCCCATAGGCTCGGTGCAAAGGTAACAGAGGGACGGGGGGGCTCTATAAAAATCCGCTCTTCTCCTCACGGTCTCTCTTCATTTCTCATTTTTTTTCGGTGTCTCTTGTTTCCATCAGCACGCACAAAAATGCCCAGCAAGAGAAAGAAGAACAAGCGTCGCATGAGGAGGGAGGTAAATGGTGGCAGGCGTGCTTAAGTTTTTTATCTTATTTTACGATCAAATTTCAATTGTATTGATTGGTAAGTTAACTCAAATGAAGAATAAAGCCCGACAAATGTTTGGTTTCACCCTAATGTTCGGGAATGTAGTAGTTATATCAACTGCGTATTTTTATTTTGGATTTTTATTTCTGCTTTCCCCAAAATACAACTTAAATTCGTCCTCCTAAATTCGTAGAAATGCCTGTTTTGCACCGGTGATCAAATCAATTGTCCAACGAGCACATCGAAATATCAACAAAAAAGTGGTCGAAGTTTTTTTTTTTATTCTCCATGTTGTTGCGTTTCTTGTGGCGCTCTGAACTCCGGGCGGCGCGCTAATCCTTGTGCGTAAAATCTCGAGATGGAGATGGAAGACTGCGTCACCAATGTAGACAATAGATACAAATTATACAATCTCTTCTAGTAGCACGACTCTTCAGACGCTTCTGTCTCTGCAATTGGGTACGAGAGAGGAGGGGAATTGTACCCGTCTTGGTTTTACGCATTTGTGCCGTATACGTGCGCTCTCACTGCGCTCTGGATAGAAATGCTGCGATGCGTATTGCAGATTATTATACTCCTGCGGGTTGTTGTTGTTATTGAATTTAAAACGTTATATAACATCTATTACATGAAATAAAACCAATATTTTGGGAGTACAAAGTCACTCCCACCGACGCTCCCCCATCCACCCATTTCCCGTGCGCACAGTACCGTGTACCTAACATGATGATGATGATGATACACCGCTATACATCATTTCAACAGTGATCATTTCCAAATGCCGAAGCAAAAGGCAAACGTTGTTAAAAATAGGGCAAATCTGACTCCTAATCTCCACTCCTCTGGGGGTGGGGGTGAACGTCCAGTGCCCAAAGACAAGAGCTGATATCATTTCTTTTCAATTAAGAAAAAATGTTTTTTTGGGGTCAAATCTTTCAACTTTACAACTAAATGGTCACTTGAGTCCCAACACTGGGAAGACTGGGTGTGTCTTCTCAGTTTGTGGGTCTTAATTCTCAGCTCCTCCCCCCTCCTTAAAACCTCCCTGGCCGGTGCCCGACTCTCAACACCCTACAACTGTATTTGGTAGTGTGTTGACAAGAGGAATGTCTTGCACTAGTTTTGCCAGAATGGAGTCTACACAATCTCTCCGCTTCACTCAGTCTGCCAGCGGCACTCGGATAAACTCCCCTCAAGTCACTCACAGGTGACGTTATCACCCACTCCAGAGATATTAGAGCACATAAAGAGAAGGGAAGGGCCTCTGTAAGCATCTTAACACCGCCCGAGCAACACAACTAACAACCGGGATTGATTTAAAGTTATACATCACATAGTTGGTGAGGTTTGGGGCGAGCCATGCGAGAGAAGGGAGGGGTTGTTTTGACGACAGCTGTACAGACGGAGGCAGTAACTGGCTGCCCGTCTAACAAAGGCATTTTCGGGTAGTGATTGTAACGTGATTATAACGTGATTATAATGTGATTAGGCGTACTGTCTGGCCTGCGGGGCACCCATCGGGTTTGCTGACACGTACGGTTTCCATCCCCGCTTCACCAGACCTGTCAGGTCCGCTCTGATTCAAATAATTAGCCTCCATTATCTAACTAGCTTTGCTGGGCGTACTCCCCTTTAGCCCCCCCTTCCTCTCTCCGGGGCTCTGGAGTCCTAAAATCTCTATTAAAGCCTGGGGGGGGTTTTGTCCCCCCAACAAAACACGTTGAATGGCACGACTGGTATTCCAGATGGACAACAACCCCAGTATCTGAACACGACGGGGGCCCCTCGAGCGTTAAGACCCCTAAACTTTAACACTCATATATAAATCCAAGTTACCCTAACCTTTTAAAATTGTATAATTAACCCAAATGTTTTCGTGTCATTTCCCTTTTGCAGCAGGCCCAGAGGAGAGGCCTTGAAGAGCAGCATGCAGCCTACCCGCCAGCCAAAGCCACTCCTGCGATGGCAGTGGACGCGCCACCTGCAGCGACCTCAAAGAAAGCGGCCAAAACTCCGGCTCCAGCAAAGATCCCAGTGGCAGTTCCGATTGTTGTCCCCACCGTGAAGACCCCAATCGTTAAACCACAACCAGTTGTGGAAAAGGCGATCCCAGCGCCAGTGAAGGAGCCGGTCCCAGCGCCAGTGAAGGAGCCGGCCCCAATGCCAGTGAAGGAGCCGGTCCCAGCGCCAGTGAAGGAGCCGGTCTCGGTGCCAGCGGAGGAGCCGGTCCCGGTGGCTGTTGAAGAGCCGGCCCCGGTGGCAGTGGAGGAGCCGGTCCCAGTCGAGGTAGCGGTGCCAGAGGTGGCGGCTGTGGTGTTGGAACAGACGCCGGCAGTCGTTGAGGTCAAGGTCCCAGCTCCGATTGCTGAAGAACAACCCGTTGTTGAGGCTCCACCGGTAGAGCCTTCCACAGTTGAAGTCGCGATTGTGCAGGAGGCTGAACCTATCATTCCTAAACCAGAACCAGTGACACAGGTAGGAACTGCTTTGTATCGCAAACACGGAGAACTTCCATTCTTTATATTTAATCATTTTAAAACATTGCATATGTTCAGCTTAGGGAGCTACCTTTTCAATGATTATTAATAGACAGTTTTCTCTAGATAGCCCTTTATATATTAAGCTAAAAAGAGCTGTAGGCACATTACTTTGAGTCTGGCTTCTCCGTGCAAACGTCCAGCAACACGAGTGCTCAGTGCACAAGTCATTTCATTATGTTAAAGAGAGCAGACCAACATCAGCATTTTATATATTACAATGACCACACATATGGAATTTTGCATGCAATCGACAAGGACCGATATCCTACGTTGTGGCTCTTTAGATGCTGTACGCTCACGTCGTCTGTGGCTTCGTTCTGTGGGATGGGCGGAGGGGGAGGGACACAGAGGGAACAACATGTTCCATTTAGCGAAGAGGTGGAGAGAAGAGCCAGTTCAGCAGTCATACATTATCACCTACGCTAGAACCTGGCCGTGTCACGAAACATGCCTTTAGTTGAAATGTAACTGGGGTTTAAATAGGCTGGTGGGATAAGATTGAATAGTTTATAGTGGCGTTCCCGCTATTTTACTAATTCGCTGTGAACAAAGGTGGACAAATTTGAAATCTGCTACATTTGATATGACACATTTCTTTTTAAAGTCGTCGAGTAAGATGTAAAATGCATGGCGTTTGGGAATATTTTGGCACAGTTATAGTTTTTGAATAAAGTCCTTATCTTTACACATTACTGGAACTTTCCCAACATTCGTTTTGCAATTTGTACAATTATACATTATGTTGCTTCATACAAACAACATGCACAGATAATGGAAACGGAATGTACATAAGCTCTACATGCATGTTCATAACCTCAGCACGGATGCACTTCCATACACAAAACACAGACTTTGCTCCCATCGACTGAGCCATGAACACATGGGGGGGATGCATGTGCTGAAATCTGTTAGCATGTAGTCCGCGTAGGAGGAAACAGGAGTTGTCATTGGTCCCCGTGCCCATTTGCACCAACTTCAGTGTCACACTGTTCTCCAGTGATACTTCATCTCCTCCACCTTACTAATACTAGTCTGAGGTTGGGATTGTTTTGCCCAAGACCGATAATGACTTTACGATTGGAAATTGGCAGCACATTTTATACGCGCGCTTTGGCAGCATCCACCCCCTCATTCCTTTTCCTTTTGTCCCTCCCACTTCTCCACCCGTCCCTCCTTGCTTCTCCTCTGCACCTTCACTGCTTAGAGATGTTTCTGCTCACAAACAGTTTGGTAGTTTGACGTAAGGTGCAAGTAACGTTTGACTGGCTTTGCTTCGAATGAGCTTTTTTTCAATCTTGACTCCATGAAACTCTGCTCACAGACACCTTATGCAGAAAGTGTTGACCCTGCGACACATCGCGTGAGGCTAGAGTCGGTCCCCACCGGGATAGTTTGGTCAGTAGTTGATAAAATCCGAGTGGGCATAAATGGGGCTTGTGTTCAGCTGGCTTTGGGACCAAAGAGAGCCGGTCCCTCGGCTTCTGGTTGTCACCACGGAGACTCAGGTGAGTTTAAACACACCGCCTGGTTTAGAGACCCCAGATTGTTGTTTCTGTTGTTTGTGGCCTGAGGGCGACGGGCGTAGGCTTCTGCTTGGACTGAACATTTTGTACCAGTTGGCTCGATCGGGCTCCTGCGGCTCTTCCCCCTTCACTGCTGCCCTCCCTCATCCCTCCTCCACCGCTGGTTCTGTCTTCCACCCCCCCCGTCCACCTCCTATGTGGCCTACAGGCCCCAATTAACTCATCTTCCCCGCACATGCGCACACCTCGTTTTGCCCTAGTTTTTATCATTAGTTTCTTTGCCTGAGAGGAGAAGGGACTGTGGGGAGAGTGATCACATTGTTTTATGTGTCTAGTCGTGTGGTTTAGCCCTTTTGCTATTTGTCTGGCGAAGGGGTGATTTGGGGCTAAAGTGCTTTTCAATTTAACCCCCTCATATATTTTTTTTCAAAAATGATTGTGTGCATGTTTTTTTCATCCCATTCGAGAAAACTGCTGGTAGCGGCGATGTGGGAGGTGTTACTTTTCACTGGTGATCACCTTGAGGAGAAGCACGTTGGGGACATCAGGGCCGCCCTACGTTTCTTTGCAACCTTTAGTGGTGTGTTTTCTTGGAGTTTTCCATTTTTTGCTGCGTATTTGACAACTCCTGTATAATTTGAACAAATGTTTGACTATTTATTTATTCACTACATTTGTAGTCGTAATATGTTAATAAGTGTAGAAAAGTTGTCAAATTGTTTCCCTAAACTGTGCATGTCTGAGGCAATTGGTTGGAGCGCGCGGATCATTTCATTCCAGGTACATCGTGTCCTCTGGGTGGAAATGGTTCTAGTAAAAGGGGGCTCTTCCTGGATCAGCTTTGGTTTGATTTGGATCTGTGTTTTTTAGAGGGCTCTTGAGGCAAGACCAGCTTGGTACAAAGTGTTCTGTGGCTCCACAACTATGTGCACATTTTTGCCCTCTGGGTTTTGGTTCAGAAGTTTGTAAAATAGGATTTCTCACCTCCCCAGTGGTGCAGAGAAAGAGGTGGAGACGGAAAATAACTCAAGCGCAACAACAAGCGCAACGACGTGCGTTTTCTGTGAGAGTTTTCACACCTTTCTAACTACTGTAGATAAGTGGACTTAGTTATTGGGGCCAATGGATGAAGAGCAGTGGCAGCCATCATGCACAAGACTTGCCCTACATTGAAGACAGGCTGGTACCACCCAGTGTAAATAATTGACTCGGCCTATAAAGATGTGCATAATTCATGTGCGGCTCCGTTAGTGCAGGGCTCAACACACTTGGATGCACAATGGGTGCAGCCAGTGGCCATTAAGGTTACTGCCAGATCTTCAGACAGACCAAATCTGTGCCATGGCAGAGGAAACTATATGGGTAACAGTAAAACAGTAAAAAAAAAAGTATTCCTACGGCATTAAAAAGTGAAAAAGTGTTTTAATTAGGTTAATGTGTACATATATATATTTAGGAATTGGGTTATAGAGAAATGGGCGCACCAGCTTTCCAGTATATAACTGGCCTCAACATTCCTGCAGGATGGATGCACAATCCTCCCCTGAACTCAAATTACACTCACCTGAGGCCTCCGGTAAGCTGAGTGAAGTAAAACTGTTCTGCTGACTCGTGAATTCACGTCAATTTTTTTTTCTTTCTTCTTCACAGCTCACACCCCCAGCTGAGGCTCCAGCAGCAGCCCCTGTTGAGATGCAGGTAAGAAAAGACCCACACGCACGCAAACACACACCAACACACAATCAAGCCTCCAACTTGCTCAGGCAGCACATCTTTTGGTTTAAGCCAGAGGCAAATCACACGAGTGTGAACGAGTGGGGCACAACTCAACGCCGTTTTACGTGACAGCTGCTTTTAATTGGAACGCCTTTTTACAACTGCCACATTGTGTGTCGCGTGGGGTCATGTTCCGCAGGTTGCACCTTGTTTGGGACGCGCTGCCCGGTACGGATTCAATGCAGAGTTGTTCTTGGGTCTGGGTGACGAAGGTTATTTTCGTTTTCTTTTTACTGGCTAAGCGTGCAGCCCCGTCATAAAACACAATGCCGTACATTCATGGAATACAGGAAACACAAATGCCTTTAACACATTTCAGTGCACGTGGTTCCACTTATACGCCATGCATAAGTGTTCACTGACGTCTTATAAGTTGCAAAGCAGCAACTGGACAGAGAACCTTTTTCAATAGAAAAGTGTTTGTATGACTTAACCTCCACCCTTTATAAATAACACTCCCCCCCCCCCCCCCCCGCAGGCCTCATTCGACTGCACAACACAGCACAGTCAGGCTTTCTCTCTCCAGATGTTTACTGGGACCAACAAAAAAAAATATTGTTAACTTATTAATCTCACAGACCCCCCAAAGAAATAAGCGAAACAACAGCTTTCTGGTGATATAGCTGCTACAATTGATGTGAAAGTTGGGCAACCACTGCTCAGGAAGAGAGTCGAGTATTTGGGCGCTTTTATCTTCATGTGTCCATCCATCCATCGACCGATGCATCAGTTTCCTTCATTGCGTTTTTTACTTCCCATTGTCCAGATTCAGGCGGAGGCGACTATAACCGAAACCACAGAGACTGCACAGGTAACTACATCTTCAAACCACAGTCGACTCGGCGGTGCATGGGAGGTCATCGTTAGGGTCTTTGCCCAGGAGGAAATACGTGGTGGATCAATCATTCGTACGCGTCGCCCCATTTGTCCCCCTTGTTGCACGTGGCATGCTTTTCCAATGTGTGATTGATTTTGCACGTGCAGACGCGCGACGCCCGCGAGCCACAGGCAGAAGCGAAGGGCGAGGATGAGGCGGCCGCGGAGGCCGAGGCGGAGGTCGTAGACGGGATCGCCGCAGCGGAGATTGTAACGGAAACAACCGAAGAAGAAGCCGTCGGAGCCCCGGAGGCGGCTCCGCAGGCCGCGCTGGAGCTCGGCGCGAAGGCACCGGAGCCAGAACGGGAGGCCGAAGCTGTCGCGCGCCCCGCAGCCGAGGGGGAGGGGGAGGGGGAGGAGCCGGCCAAAGAAGACGCACCGGACGTCCCGCCTGAGCCCGTTGCCATGACAGAGGTGCCACGCCGATGCGAATGACCGTCCTCCTCTCTCGAACTTTCCCCCTTCTCCTTTCCCTGAACATAATGCAGTACTGCATTTGGACTTATGCCGTTCATACTTTTGTGTTGCTTGTGTGCGGGTTGTGTGTTTTTTCTCAACGTTTGTGTACATTTTAACTCCCATCCTTTATTATCTGTATCTGCTTTAAACCCTTTTTAAAAGATTTTATAAGAAGACGATCTTTTCACCGCTTCTTCAACGTCTACATCTGTTTTCCTGCATTCTTCTTAATTATTGTACTTTATTTAAATGTGTAACAGCACAGACTAATGCCACACTGTGACCTGCTATTTCTTTAACACAGGCTGCTCCTGACCCATCTGTGGGAATCCCAGCAGTGAGTTTATTTCTTTCATTTTTCCAATTGAATACATTACATAGTTTATTAAGTCCTCCTAACTTAACACCTAAAATTCCTTCTGATTATTGACATGGCAGTATCCGTTGGGTCCCCAGGTGCCAGAAGCCGTCTCTGAGGCTTTGGTAGAAGAGGCGAAAGCCCTTTTAACTGAAGTCAAAGAGGTAAAACTTTTTGTTACTACATATTATCTTACTAAATCTGCACCCTGAAATCCAAAGTGTAGGAGTTATGCCATGAATAAATATGCTGGCTGTGCTATTTTACAACCAAGATCTCTTATATTGGGTATTTTACTAATTAACAATGTGCGTTGATGCAAATGCTGCTTTCAGCTCATTGGTTTCCATCATCCACACGTTGGTGTGTTGTAGATCTCGTGTCCTCTGTTTCTCTGCACACAGAGCGTTGCCGACAGCCTGGTTGATGACTTCGTTGTCACAGACTCCGTTGCAGCGGAGGACGTCGCCAATGCACAGGCTGTTGAGGTGCAGCCGGTAAGAAGTGCGCAAGGAGAATTGATAATGGGTTCGAACAGGCAATTGTTTGTTTGCAAGAAAACTGGCATTTCATCTAAAACCTGCCACTACAATCAGAAAAGTTCCAGTTTAAACAGCAAAGCTAACAGATGCGCCAGATGTCGTTGCATATTATCCATTTGTGCAGATTTCATGCTCAGCGTCTTTAACAGGCAGCTCTCTCTGCTCGCTGGATTTAGGAAATTGTGAGCAACACCAAATCAGAATCTGTGGACGCTTCGCCCGCCGAGCCGCTGGCTGCCCCTGCAGAGGAAACGCTCATTGTGAGTCAGCGTACACAGCCGGCATGACTTGAAAACATTCTGAAAAAGTCTTGTTTCACACTTTCTAAACCCCCCAACTGTCCCCTCGTCTCCCCTCTAGGACGCCGCTGCTGAGCAGAAATGTTCCGAGGTGCTTTCAGAAGAGCCCAAGCAGGGGATGTGCGACATACCGTGTCAGATGCAGCTCGCCGTGGAGTCTCTGCAGCTCGCCTCAATGGTAAGAGCGAAGGACGTCGCTGCAGACGTCGAGGTTCGTCATCGACGCTGTGAACTCACCTGGTCTAACTGGTCTTGCTTTGCGGCTCAGGAGATGTCGGTGGAAGCGGCGCTGAACGGACACGTCGTTCCGGAGGTCTCCATCGAGGGCTAGATTCACTCCACGCAACTCGGATGATCTTTTTTTCTTTTTGTGTTTGTAAGACGCCCGCGATATTGAATCGGTCTTTCGCCGCACGGATTTAAGTCCGCCGAGCTTTTATGAATGCGTCCAGCAACCAATAACCAGACGCGTGTCTCCTTTGTGTCTTCCAGATTCCCCTTTGGCCATTTGGAGGACTCAAAGCTTTACGGCTGATCTTGTTCATTTTTTAGGGCTTACGCATGGAATTCTAAGAAGAACATCCACACTTTGAAGTGCCTTTCTGGCCCCCGGTTCCCGTGGTAACATCAAACCAGATGTCACCACGCAGCAAATCAGGCTCCGGTCGCGAGTGTGCAGTAATGGTAACCGACCCATCGTGGCCACTTTTAAATAAAAAAAAATAAAAAAAATCTGTATTCCTCCCTGAAAACACGGGCAGTGAATTTGCATTAAGAACGGAAGCAGACGTGCTGGAGATTCCAAAAACAAGATGAATGGCAGCGCCTGGACACGTCGGTTCCTCTCCGGTGCGTTGGCGTCATCACTGCACGCGCTCCATGCAGGTGGAATCTGTGGCGCCGATGTTCACATATAGGTGGGGGGGGTCACTACTTGCTTGTTTTTCACACTTAAAAAAAAGTCTTTTTACGCTCAAACAGACACTCTTACAAACCTCTACATAGTCCTCGTTTGTGTCCCCTTCACTGTCCCCCAGTTCCACTCTCTGCCTCGACTAAGTGCCACTGCAACACACATCCTGAAGCTAGAGTTTTAGGTTTTATGGCCACCGGAAAATGAGAGTCGAGGGGGATGAGCTGAGGTCTTTATTTTTTTCCTACACTTTTTAAAAAATGTCGTTTTGTATAGAACATATGATGTGCTACAGTCCTGTGTTCAACATCTGTGCTCTGGAGGGGAAATGTAATGTGATCCGAGGAAAAGGATCACGGTCAAACTGATGTTGGTCCAACTTTTAAATAAAGCTGTAACTCATTGTGATTCACGAGTACTTTCATTTGTATTTCACGTAAACAAAATGTACAAATTAGAGCAACGCAATGTGAAATGCAGTAATCTTGAACTTCTGACTTACTACAAATATAATCCATTTTTATTTTTAAATACATTCAGGAAATAATCTTTAGTAAGTCACTTTGAATCCTTCAAAATAAAGACAACACAAAAATATCTGCCTCAAATCAGATGGTATTTTAATTTGTTTTTGCATTGAAATATACATTCATATCAGTATGATGTAATTTGGTGCAGTAAACACTGCTGACGTGTGGATTTGCAATCCTCTTCCATTATACTATGATACTGTCAGAATTTTTTTAGTATTTCTTTTTTCTTACTTAGGTTTACTGGCCCCTCGAGTTGGAATTTGAACAAAATGAAAAACAGAAGCGAAAGGGAGAAAGAAACAAAACATACACATCGAAAAGACTGATAAACACATAACGCCTAATAACCGGGAGGAGATATATATATATATATTTGTGATAGCAAATTGCTAATAATAGATGCTTTGGAATGAAAACAGCAACAAAAAGGGCTCACTGTGATCAACCAACAACTTGAACTAATAACTTTCCTCTTATATATTATCTGAAGATTTTCACTCATTTCATGATGAACCCACTACCGTCCCCCAAAAACACAATAAATAAGAAAACAGGTGATTTGATTGGTCCGTGAGGTCAAATGTAAAATAAAAAAATAAAAAGGGAAAAGCAAAAGTTGTAAAGATTATTTATGAATGTCGAAGAGGTGGAAAATAATTAAATTAAGAAAGAAAAGATTGTGATTACAGACAAGGAAGCATGATGTCCAACAAGGTTTCATTATCTTCCCCCAAAGAAACGCACGCATCCACACAAGCATCCACACAGTCGAGCACGATGCTCGATAACACATCAGTTGCCCAGGCAGTAATCTTAACAAAGCCACTTGACGGATGATAACATTTTCATATTTACACTGAAGGGATTTTCGGACAAAAGCTCAAAAAGTTTGGAATGAACCCCAAAAAAAAAAAAAAAAAAACACAATACAGAGTAAAACTAAGAGCAACCAGATTAAATCACCACATTCTCTTTTCATTCCTTCACTTTGGAATCTCCTCCTATGCACTGACCAAAGGAAAAAAGTCCTCTGAACTGGGCGTTGGCGGAGGCCGGGGCTCGCGGAGACGAAGGGAAGCGCTCGATGAGCTAAAGCGACGCGCCCGGTCGCGCTGCTCCTGCTACGAGAAAGAGCACTTTATGAATGGAGAGCGGCCCGTTTGGACCACCCTGGTTTGAAATCAAAGCACACCTACGTGCTGCTGTTTAGCGATTCGGTGCGGGAGAGCATGCGGTTAGCTACACAGCACAGCCTGAGTGGTTGGAATTCAAAGAGCACTTCAAAAACAACAGGCCGCCCGCTTAGGTTAACATGGGGCTCCAAAACAAGTTCAGCCCCTCTGTCGAGGAGTCAGAAGCTCGGGATGCAGGTTTAACATCAATCTGAGGAGTGTGTGTGTGTGTGTGTGTGTGTGTAGCAGGAACTGTGACAGTAGAAGCAGCACTAGCAGTGTGCGGCAGGCAATAGTCTCGTCTTTCTGGCGGAGGAACGGCTCGACAACAAACCCAGCGGACCCCCCCCAAAAAGGTGCAGCTGCAGCACTTCAGACAAGGAACGGGCATCAACAGATCGGTCTCCAAAATCCTGCGGGAGGTTTGGATCCTGCGCCGTGGTTAAGAGGCAGGGTCAGAGGTCCTTTTGCTTTTCGTCCATCGGTTCATCTGCAACATTCGCTATTCTTCGAGGCCACAAAGCGTAAAAACAATACTTCCGGATCGCTCGGCATGCTGTAAAACGTACGGCCGCGGTCGGTCGGCAAAAGGACTGGTTGTTTGCAGAAGTGCCAGGCACCGATGACAAACCCAGCGGCCCGGGGGCGGAACTTACCAGCGTTACATTAGTGTGGGGTCGTGGAATCTTCGTGTGAACACCACCGCTTAAGATAACCAGCCTGTGTAATCGGATTTCTCGCCCGTGCCGTCCTCTTCATGTGATTGTCACCCGTTCTTCCCTCCAGGTGTTTGCAGCACCACTCAGGCAGTCGTACAGGTAGGCAGTGAGTTTAACAACTATCACAATGTTTATTTTACTGGCCGGTTCCGAACCAGTGGGGACGTTTTCCCTCCAGCCGGACATGAGCCGACATGACAAAGGTCTTTTTCCTTGACTGTAGAAACAGATGAAAGTGAAGAAGGGAGTGAAGGGAATGAGAGGACACCTCTCAGAGGACCGGTGTCCCCCAAGGCCCAATGTGGGCTCAGTCCTGCCCAATCCGGCCCAGTCTAACCCGTGTTTGGTTAGGCCAACTCTAACTCCAGTCCGGTCCAGCTGGGGTCCAGACTAGGGTTTTAGAAGAGTGCTTTGGAACCCTGGTTCTCGAACTCTGACCAGGCGTCGTTCAATTCCATGAAGATCATCTTAGCGTAATGTTCGTAAGGTTGGCCCGTCGCCTGCAGGGGGAAGCAGCACATTTAACGATGAATAAAACAAAAGAGAGTCAAGAAGAAGGGGTGAAATATCAGCAATTGGTATACGGTCACCCTGTACCTTATCCGGGTGGACTATCAGCACGGCCTTCCTGTAGTACTTCTTCACCTGGTCGGGAGTCACCAAGTCGGCCATGCCCACGGGCCTCCAGCGGGTCTCCCCCTCCCACAGCACAGTGTTTAGAGTGGACAGCAGCGCTCGGATGTTTCGCTCCTTCCCCTCAATCCAGTCCAAGATCTGCAGCGAGACAAGCAAATAAACCACGTCAGGCAAAAACACGGGTTAGCTACAGTCGGCTCGGAGTATAAACCGCCTAGAAGGTGCCATGATGGCCTTTTATTTAACGTGTTCTTTCCCAGGAACACTTTGTTAACACACATTAAGGCCTGAGCGAACGCCAGCGGCGGTAATGACAGACAAACGCTCATATTTCATCCCCTGAATTAAACAGATGCATTTAGTTTGTTACCTGCAATTTAAGTGGATCGATGTCCTTCGTGATCTCCTGTCTCCTCATTTCGGCGATGGTTCTTGGTCCCTTCCTATCCGGCCGGGAGGCAAAACCCTGAGTGGACAGCAGGTCCTCAAAATCATCCTCCTTTACCTTCGGCTTGGCGCCTGCGTCACACAGAACACAGAGATGAAGTCTTTATACAGAACCTTTGCTCAATTCCCAAGAAGATTCTGAACAGTGAGTCCAGACAACGTCAATATTACAAAGCTAATCACATTTATTCATTTATATAAGCCGTATTCAGCGTTATCCGCAACAAATGAAACAAGTCTACTCAATGTCGCTTACCGAAACTAGGCCCCCGAACCCCTCGGTCCTCTCTCCCGCCGATGACACTGGAGAAGTTGAGGTTGTAGTTGGGTTTCGTGTGCTGCGGACCTGCAGCCTGAGAGGCAGAGGATGCTTTAGGCGCTGTCCCGGGTCCTGATCCGGGCAGCCAAGGTTTTTTCTGGGCGGAGGCGGGTCTTCCGGCCTGCCAGGGCTGTGCTTGAGCTTTAGTGGAGGAGGACGGAGCTTTGGCTTTTGGCTCCGAAAAATTGCCGTTGGAGGAAGCTGCAGAAAAAAAAGGATTAATAATAACTTGAGCTTCATTCATAGAGTGCATATTCTAGTCGCTTTTTAGGGCATTTTCCTTTTTAGATCACTGCTGGTGACTTGGCCTCTTACCTGGTAAGTTGGAACCCAGGTTTCCCAGGTCAGCAAAGGGGTCAAAGGTCTGAGACTTGGCCTTGGACATAGATGCACCACCCGAAGCTACAGACACAGTAAAAACACGTGAGCTAAAGACTGACAGCTCATGTTCCCAGCTAGCCCCAAACCCCTACATTTCACCTCCTTCCCTCACCTGTGCTGGTGTAGCTGGGTTTGCTGGCGGAGGCGCTCATGCTGGCGGTGGTGCTCGCTGCCCAGCTGTCCCACCCGCCCAGCAGGTCCGGCTGGCTGGCTGATGAGGTCATCTTAGGAGGATCGTTCACTGGTTTATCTGTTAGGATAAAAAGAGGGCGACGGTTTGTCAAAAAGGTTTGTATGGCGACCGTTGTCATTCACCATATGTCCTCGAAGCAGGCTGAGACGTGAACATAACGGCTCATCTACTTACTGAGGTTGAAGAGACTCGCGTTGGAAGCAGGGGCAGGGTTACTGGGGGCAGAGCGGTCAGAACCCAACAGGTCTCCAAACAGATCCGGTCCGGAGGCCTGTCGAGAGGAACCCACAGTGACGCCCGCACCGGAGCCAGACCCCATCCCAAACGGGTCAAACAGGTCGCCGGCGGCTGCAGGCGGAGGGAGAATAGTGCATCAAGGATAACTGTGAAGCATCTTCGTGAACAATGCAGTCAGCTGTTTTGAAGCCCTTGTGTTTACGTTTGGAGTCCGGTGTGGCCCCGCCCGGCGGCCCACCGTAGAACAAGTCCTCCTGCGCTGCTGCCGTCTGACCAGCAGGGGGGGCAAACAGGTCGTTGAGGAGGTCGCTGTTGCTGGATGCAGCTTTGATTCCTGCCTGGACTCCTGGATGAGCTGCAGAGGAGGAGGAGGTCGACGACACCGACGGGTCAGAGTTCAACCCCAGTAGGTCAGCTGTGTCCCCGATAGGAGACTCCTGGGCTGCAGGTGGGGCGCTCTGGAAGGAGAAAGGGAAGAAAAATAAAACATGAAATCCTACTTGCATTGTAAAGAAAGTAAATAATGTGTTGACTCAATCAGGCTATGTGGACTTTCCCTACCTGGAAGTCAGCATCAAACAGCGGTTCGCTGGGGTCACGTGACAGCGGCTCCCCACCGGGGGCGGAGTAAGAGTAGGACTCTCCCTCTGACTGGTCACTTAGGTCCTCCGGGTCATTCATCGATCCCCCTCCTTGACTGTCCGCGGAATCCTGAAGGCCACTCACATCTGCAAACGCAAGAGGCTGGTCAGTGGGACTTGAGGCACTTCAGGTTTCGACAGTAACGAGAACTCTAAAATGAAGACGATGTTCAGTATAAATTAAATCAACCCAGTAGTGTACCTTCCCAATCCAGTGTCTGGAAGAAGTTGTTGGCGTTGCCATCGGTGCTGCCAGGAGATTCTGGTTCTGTTGCATTGGAGCCCTCCGGGGTCTGAGCCGGCTGGGGGGACTCGGAGTCATAAAATGCTGGCTGACGAGGCAACTCTGGCTTACCTGTGGTGAGAAGAAAAAAACACATCCAGTGGGCATAAAGGCAGAAAAGAAGGAAAACGTTTCGAATTTCCGTGAACTGAGAGATGGACGGAGAAGAGCATAAAGCAATGGCACCTACCAAATTTGCTGAGGACCTCCTGCTGCTCATCGCGAGACGAGAAGAGGATTTTGGGGTTGAGGCCCTTGTTTTGGAAGCCCTCCCAAGGAGGAGTCTTGGTGCTCGGTCTGTCTCTGGGTTCCACCTCGATGTCCAAGGTGACCTGGAACAGGTCCGGGTACTTCTCCTGGATGTCACAGGCATCCAGGTCGTACCTGGCAGGAAAACACATGGATTAGAAGCATGAAGCTACGGAGAGAGAAGCTTTTTCCAGTCAAAAAGTATTTCTCAAATTGTTGTACATACTTGGCAAACTTGACGGTGGTGGCGTTTCGGGGGACGAAACCTGTGTGGAACTGGATCTGAAACATCTTCATTGACGCCATCTGGAACACGTCGCATGAGTTCATCAGTGGAGAATGTGCCGAAAGTGGACGGGGGGGGGGGCTACACTAATGCGAGCGTGTACCTTGGCCTGTAGGCGTCCACCCAGTGTAGATCTTGCATGGTAGATCACCACCAGCACATCTCCTTGGACCGTCACATTGAGGGGAATCTCTGCTCTTCCGTCCTCCATCTTGAAATCCCTGTAAAGAAAAAAACACAAAAGGAACATCAACGTTTTTAATTCCCTGTATTGAGCGCTGGCTATGTGACGTTCTCGAGCGTGCGCACTTACCTCATCTTGTCGTACTCCTGCGACGTGGTGAGGACTCTCTCGTCCCCGACGTAAACCTCGCAGAACGGCCGGCAGCCGCTGCGCTGCTTGTTGAACAGCGGCAAGGGCGTCATGGCGATGGAGCGAACCATGATGGGTTTGCTGTGGGGGACGATTGGCTCCTCTGCCATCATGTCGCACATGTACTCTATGTACCTGCAACCATCAAGAGCGAGATCAGGCCCCCTCCGTGTTTCACAGCCACAGAGACGTTTATGAGCCGTCGAGGATCTAGATCGGGCATTTCTACCTCTTGTGTGAGGGCGCTATGCCCGGCGGGCAGCGCTTCATGGAGAACATGTAGACGGCGGCCTCGGCTGTGGTGAAGAGGCGACAGAAACACAGGAAGGAGCAAACGGCCACCGCCGACGCCGCCCTGCCGTCCTCCCGGGGACAAAAAGAGGGGGGGGGGGGGGGGGCGGAAACGGTTGAGGAGACGCTGCGGGGAGCCGTCTCCTTATCGTGTACTCGACTCGGGGACCTCGGCCCATCGGAGCACGCTGACCACTTACCAGACAGTGTACTATACAGATGTTCCGCTGGTCTTGCTTGAGCCACAAATGCATGTTCTTACACACACTGTAAAGGCTGCGGAGGTTGGGGGCGCGGCGCACTTGCCAGTTGCACTCTGAAACCTACACACACACAGAAACACAAAGACGCACTCCTGAGTACAACAGGGTCCTTGTTGAAGTGGAATCATAGTCACACTGGGACGGAGTATGTAGATGGGATGGGAGATGCTCAGATGCACAAACACTCGTGCACTCACACACTTCATACCCTGTTGTGGAATCGAGACGGCCTGTAGGAGCGCTTGGAGAGGTTGTAGACGGCGTAGTGGCCGGCGTGACGCGAGTCCAGGAACAGACGGACGTCCTCAATGTTGTTCTTGATCGCTGACTCCACCCCCTCTGCTGGAAAGGACATGACTACAAAAACACACACACACAAATACAGAGAAACGTGTAACAACAAAGGTTGATCCAAGACATGTACCACCAAACTTAAGCCATGTCTAAATGGAATCACCTCTGGCGTCCCTTTCAACATGTAGTACAGCATAAGAGCATAAGAAGAGAGGGTTACAAACGTTCGTTTTATTATGCCTACCTGCTATTCTGGAGGTGATGTACGAAATATCTAGGTCCCCTTTGGCGTAGCTGTAGGACGAATTACAAGGGCACTTATGAACACAGGAGATACACGGAGGAAAAACACAATTCATTTTAACAAGGAGTTGAAAATAAACTATTATGGCAAACACAAATATAGCTAATGATCACACTGGTTCGGAAACCAGAACGCTTTGTACAATTTACTGATATAACTGCTGCAGGATGGAGATGTTCCTAATGACGCCTGAATGCTCGGCCTGCTAAGCCAGCGCTGCCACTCAATGCAGATTTAATCTTGCAATGAAAATTAAGACTAAACTAAGTTTAGTGTTTTTTTCTCAGATGGTAAATGCATCACATGCATCCAGCAGATGCTTGATGTTGCATGGGAATGCGTCTAGGAGGATCCTTACTGCCTACAGTCCCTTGGCTTTAAGTATTATTGGCAGTCAATTGATGTAGAGATCAAGCTATTTGGAATTACACAGAAAAATAAATAATATTGAAGCGATGAAAGTAGCAAAAACAACACAAACATGGTTCCCGCTACGTTCAAATGTACACACAAACAACCTGTAGGCCAAGCAAAGAGATTGACCCGTCTGCACTGATGACACTGAATCGTATATGTGTGGTGTTGGGACGGACTGGTGGTGCTGGTTCAGACACAAGTAGCTAGACAATGAGGATTTAGTTAGCAGGGGGGTTGTTAATCAATCATTCAGTCATGTAGGAAAATTATCCTCAACCAGAGTGACATCTGGAGCTGCTCGGGGTCACGTGGAGGGATAGCGGCTCAAATGATTTAAGGGGAAAACAAAAAAAACATATCTGAAGGAAATGTGACGCAAGTACAGGAAAAGTTAAAGGAATTGATCAGAGACGTTAATGTGTCAGAGGAATAGACTCAATAGATTCCTAAAACTAGGATTAAAAAAGGATTGAACCATAGAAATGTAGTTATTTCAGCTAAACAAATGAATGCTGAATTTGACACGGCTTAAAAAGCAGCTGTTAAAAATTGTTTGCTTACACTAATGCAATCAAATGAAAAAAAAGGTGGTGTTGAGGAGATTGGGGACCCATAAAATGTGCTATGGATCGTGATCTCCTTTAAAAGCTGCAAAACGCAAAACGACAACAACAAGGAGCCACAACAGCAGATTCTGGCTCCTCCAGGTGACAAGACATTTTTGTGCGAAACATGTGGAAAATATTTCCAACATAAAAAAAGCTTGTTGGCCCACGTGAAAAGATTCCACAGTGTTGATCAACCATATGTATGCAACACCTGTGGGAAAAGATTCATGGATAAATCACCATTTGAGCTTCATAAAAGAGTCCACAGTGATGAGAAACCATTTTCTTGTCAAATATGTGGAAAATATTTCAAATTTAGTAATGGCTTAAAATTCCACATGGAAACTCACACTGGGGAAAGGCCGTATTCTTGCAGCATCTGTGGGAAAACATTCAATAGGAAATCAAATTTGAAGACTCATTCAAGAATCCATACTGGGCAGCAGCCGTACTCCTGCATCACCTGTGGGAAAACATTCAATCAGAAATCATATTTGGAGAATCATACCAGAATCCATACTGGGGAGAAGCCATATTCCTGCATCGCCTGTGGGAAAACATTCCTTCGGAAATCACAATTGAGGTCTCATACAAGAGTCCATACTGGGGAGAAGCCATATTGCTGTAAAATATGTGAAAGAGGTTTCAGTTTTTCTAGTAACTTACGTGTCCACGTGAGAAGAAGCCACAAGGATGAACCGTCATAGATGCAACTCCTGTGAGGAAATATTCTGAGCAATTGTTAAGATTAGAAAGCCATTAAAGCTTTCTATTGGAACGTAACACGAATGCTGCATTTGCGAGAAAAGTATTTTTGGTATTCTCTCCGTCCAACAAGGCATAACCGTCCAGCCGAAACCCGACTGGATGAGCGTTCACTCATTAAATGGATAGTAGTTAAAAGCTTTTCCAACAAAACAAGATTGTATTAACTTTTTTAGATGGTACTTCTTCAGCAACAAAATAGATACTTTATTGATTCCTCAAGAGGGACATTTTGGTATCACAGCAGCATGTACAGGGAAGAAAATAAAAAGACATTATATACAATTTAATAAGATAGAACTATTAAATTAAATAAACTAAAACTGAAACAAAAGAATAACCTTCCAAAAGAGACAATAATAATAATTTGTAAAAGGAGAAGAGGAAGAGCAGCAACATCACAGCAGTACAGGGTTATTATTGTCATTATTTAGCATGGGATGATTTATTGTAAAGTGTTATTGCACTGGGCAGGAATGATCTCCTGTATCGGTCCTTGTGACAGCGGAGCTGAAGGAGTCTGTTGGAGAACGTGCTCTGCTGTTCCTGTAGCAGGTGGTGGAGGGGGTGGTCAGGATTATCCAATATGGATAACAGTTTCTTCAGTGACCTCCCCTCCAACACCTTTTCCAAGCAGCCAATGATTGAGCCGGCCTTCTTAACAAGTTTGTTAAGTCTGTTGGTGTCACCGGCTCCAATGCTGCTCCCCCAGCAGACCACGGCCAAGTACAAAGCACTGGCCACAACAGACTCATAGAACATCTCCAACATCTTGCTGCACACATGGAAGGATCGAAGCTTCCTCAGGAAAAAGAGTCGACTCTTCCCCTTCCTGTAGACGGCGTTGATGTTGGTCTTCCAGATCAGTCTGTTGTCGATGGAGACACCCAGGTACTTGTAGTCCTCGACCATGGCCACCTCCTCTCCCAGAACCCTCAGCGGTAGCGGAGCCGTCGTCTTCCTCCCGAAGTCGACCACCATCTCTCTGGTCTTGGCCACGTTCAGGTGCAGGTGATTCCACCCCCACCACCCGCAGCTTCTCACTCAGCAGCAGTGGTTGGATTGTGTTGAAGGCACTGGAGAAATCAAAGAAAGTTATTCTCACAGAGCCACCATTTCCATCCAGGTGCGACTGGGCTCGTTGCAGCAGGTAGATGATGGCGTCATCCAAAATTTACCTGTTTTTTCCTCAATCTAACTAGAAGTTAGTGAGACTTTTTCGGGGAATTTACTGTAATCCCCCAAATCTTAAAAAAAGAATTGTTACATATTTAGTGAACATATTCTGCTATTGTTTATCCTTTGTAATATAGAAATATTTGTCTGTCTGTGGAAATAATTGTCAAACTGAGAATTTCCTGCAAATAAAAAAGATTGCTCTCTTAAACTGATAAACCCTCAAGTGATGTTCACTCGCCTGAGTTACTTTTGTTTCATGCCGTTTTTGAAAAAGTAAAAGAAAATAGAGCTCCTGATCAAAGATTTCCCTGTTCCAAAAATATCAGATGGAATATCATGCAGAGTAGAAATATTTTTGAATTAAAAAAAACAAACTATTGTTGAGTACAAGGAAGACATCGACCAAAAACTCAGATTGTAGGATAATATTTGTAAACCCGGTTTGAGATTACGCAGGATAAATTTCTAAAATGTTTTATTTAAAATACTTATATACTCTACTATCTATTGATACAACCTTTCATAAACGTACACACAAGACGAAAAAAAATCATAATTTGAAGTGAAGTGAGACGTCTTCCTTCGGCTGCCGGAGGAGCTTTAAGGGCCTCCAGTCCAATCCAAGTGCAACTTGTTTATAATGCAGCACAGCTTTTCCTGAGGGAAGAAAAGGACGACACACACAGCTGAATGACAGATTAAATCCTTGTGGTTATGATAAACAATTTTACCTATAGTATTTATTCGCTCAGGTGTCAGTTATTCTATCATCACAATAGTATATTGTCATATTAATACTCACATGGATAACACAGTTTTTTTGTATGTAACGTGAATAATTTCACATGTTAGTCCCATTTGCAGGGACACAAGGGCGACGTACTTGCGACGCGAGTGAGATAAGATTCAGTCGGGCATCTTCATTGGCTGCTCCTATGAGAATCCACACAGGTGAGAAGTCGTCTTCCTGCTGCACATGTGGGAAAAGATTCAGTCGGAGATCACAAATTAAGCCCATGTGATAATTCATACAGGTGAGAATTTATTTTCCTCCATAATTTGTGGAGAGATATCAGGTATGATGGTTGCTTGTTGGTCCACATAAGAAGAACCCACGCTGGTGGGAAACGATAATATCAGCTTTTTAAAATTTTCAGTTTTTTATGCCTGCTATGTTGCGTGCTATGTTATTGAGCAATCATTATAGTTTAAACTAATGTATAATCATATAAAACATAATATTACCAATAAGATCTTTTAAAATGAAACAAGCCACCAGGGAAATTACAGCTACAACTATAAAGTCATGAATATCAATAACAAGTGTTGCATGAAGGAAAGTCAAGAAGAGACAAGATCGACATTTGACCTTTTTCAGACATGAACTGGCATAATAAAAAGGATGAATACAATATACACGATGGGGACGAAAGAAGTTGCCATAGTAACAAACCAGTTCCACCAGATGGCAGCAAGAAACTACATCAGATGTCCAAAAAGCCCAGAAATAGACGAGGCATCTTATTTTGTTCTCACTACAGCAGTTTGATGGCAGTTTCTTTTTAACATTTCTGCTGCATCGCAGTCGTTTGTATTCAAGCAACAATGTCTTCAGTTGAGGGTTTGAGAGAGTTTGTCAACGAGCGACTATCTGCTGCTGCTGAAGAGATATGTGGAGTTTTTGTAAAAACTATCTTGGTTGATCTTGGAAGTGGAAGTATTTTAAAAGAGATGCACAGACAGAGAAAAGTTTTCAAGACAGGAGCTGAAAGCAGCATTGGTAAGTGGGTGAACAGCTCCAACTATGTTTGGACAATTGCCAAAAGAAGCCTTGGAATTTTTTCTTAAATTCTTTAATATGATTTGGAGGGAAGGCGTAATACCAAGCAGTTGGAGGAGTGCTTTGATTCTACCTTCTGTAAACCTGGTAAAAACGTAGCTAATGGTGGCAATTACAGACCAAAAAGACAATCAAAGCTAGCTCTGGAATATTGGATGAAGCTGAAGGGGTCTGAAGAGGAACTTTGCGCAACAGGGCCAATTTTGTTGCAAAGACAGCTCTAGAATAAGAACATATTAAATATTCCTTTTGAACGAGGGAAGCTAAATCATTAATAAGAGAGGCAGCACGAGACGTATGACAGAAGAAGTGGGACAAACACGACAAAGGAAGACATTGTTATGACATACAGAAATCCATAAATGTGAAGACATACAAAGGGAAGTATAGAAGAGGTCAAAATATTAAGATTAAGATTCTGACACAGGACTTAACTCAGCACTGTATTTAATAACAAAAAAGCAGTCAGCTAATTTCACTGTGTAAAGTTACATAAGACCCAATTGAGAGAGGTACACCTTGAAGCCAAAAATTAGTCAGTTGGGACGGAAGTGGAGTTTGGAGGGAGTTCTGGCAGCGGACAAAGAATGGCACGAGATCTGCAGGGCACTGTTCAGATTTCGTAAAGAAACAAGATTAGGTGTATTTTTATTACCAGTTAGAACAGTAATTAAATTGTTACCCTGTAACTCCACACTCCAGTACTTTAAGTGGCAGTGTGTATCTATTCAAGTTGTTTGCGACAGGGTTAGAAGAAGGAGACGACGACTGACCTGCAACCTTAAGAGCAAGCGGAACCTTAATGTGACTGGTGTTTCCAGTCGGAACCTTCTAGTGTTGCTCAGCCGTTGCTCGGTGCCGTGGAAGTGCATGTTATTATTTCATCTGTTATCAAGCAACAATGTCTTCAGTTGAGGGTTTGAGAGAGTTTGTCAACGAGCGACTATCTGCTGCTGCTGAAGAAATATTCGGAGTTTTTAAAAGAACCATCGTCGAGTACCAGGAAGAGATCGACCGGCAGCGCGGACTGTTGGATGTTTTATTGAAACCCGAAGTGAGGTTACACCGGATAGGTGAGTACAACTTTGTTAGAAACATCTGTGGTCTGAAGCAACAAAGACGAGACATTAAAGTTTTCCGACAAACCTGTTCTTAAACGTTACTAATTGAACAGTAGGACACATGATGGTTTATTCACACTCGTTGTATTTATTCGCTCCAACGTTTGTTTTTCTATTTCTTTTGTCCCTCCAGAGCTCCCGCAGTCACGTGTCTGTAAGGAGGAGGAGGTTCTCTGTGACCAGCAGCTCTGTCTCCAGGAGAGGAACCCCAGTCTGGACCAAGAGGACCCAGATCCTCCACAGATTAAAGAGGAACAGGAGGAACTGTGCAGCAGTCAGGAGGGAGAGCAGCTTGAACCGAAGCAGGAGGCCGACACCTTTACGTTGACTCCCACTTGTGAGGAAACTGATCACAGTGATGATGAGACTCCATTTTTGAATCCTGACAGAAGTCTGAGTGAATCAGCGACAAAGCCTCCAGCTATCACGTGTACCAGCTGGTTAGGTGAGGAAATGGACTGTGAACGTTTTGTGGTACCAGAACCAAACGACAACAACAAGGAGCCACAACAGCAGATTCTGGCTCCTCCAGGTGACAAGACATTTTTGTGCAAAACCCGTGGAAACTTGTCTGCCCACGTGAAAAGATTCCACAGTGTTGATCAACCATATGTATGCAACACCTGTGGGAAAAGATGTGGGGATAAATCTGTATTTGAGAATCATCAAAGAGTCCACAGTGATAAGAAAGCATTTTCTTGTCAAATATGTGGAAAAGATTTCAAATTTAGTAATAGCTTAAAAGTCCACATGCTAGTCCACACTGGGGAAAGGCCGTTTTCTTGCAGCATCTGTAGAAAAACATTCACTCAGAATTCACATTTAAAGGTTCATATAAGAATTCATTCTGGGGAGAAGCCATATTCCTGCAACACTTGTGGAAAAACATTCCGTACTAAATCACATTTGAAGTATCATACAATTACATCACATTACATTACATTACATCACGTGTCAATTAGCTGATGCTTTTATCCAAAGTGATTTAAAATAAGTGCATTCAACCATAGAGATGTGCTGATGTGAGGGTTTCGGGACAGAGGATGTCGCATGTATTCAGACTGTAAAGCCCTCTGAGGCAAATTTGTGAATTTGGTCTATATAAAATAAAATGAATTGAATTTGTTCACTCATTTCCCAATAAAACAAGATCGCAATATCTTATTTTTAAAAACTATTGTAGAGTGCGAGGAAGACTTTGACCATCAACTCGGATTGTTGGATAATATTTGGAAACCTGACTTAAAATTATAAAGGATATGTGTGTGAAATATATTATTTAAATACTAATATACTCTCCTATCTATTGATACAACCTTTGAGCAAACTAATCCATGAATAAATCATATTAGGCGAAACACCTTTCAATTAACGACAACAATATGATTTACTTTCATAAAACGTGCACACAAAGCAAAATCATAATTTTGATTGAAGCGAGACCTCTCCAGTTGAGTAAACATGTCATGGATTGTTTAACATGTTAAAATACATACACAATGCTCAAAACAACTAGAGGAATACTTTGAAAACAAATGAAGGAATGTAAGAGGAATGCATCGAGGCCATTTTATTCAGCTATTGGAGGAGATATGTGATGCAGGGGTGAGTGGGAAAATAAAGATGTTATAATCCCAGTTATGATCGGTGGAGATTATTGGGCAATTAAAAATGAGGAGAAATGTTGGTTTTTTGGGAAAGAACTTTGCAAATGTTTATAGCGGAAGTATTTTAAAAGAGATGCACAGACAGAAAAGAAGACTAAGACAGAGAAAGTTTAAATATTTAGGCTTATCGCTCAATGAAAAGTGTTTCTGGGGAACTCGTATTGAAACAACAAAGGTGATCAATGTTCTGGACATGACAGGGGAGCAGATAGACGTCACTAATCGATATCTATATTGCCATTGTACGATCATCTATAGAGCTATTATTTTGTTTTAGTTCTATCTAAATAAATGAGAAACAACAAGAAAAGAACGCTTGGACAATACCTCTCTTACTGCTTGAAAGGAAACAGCTCCCACTTGAGGTCCTGGGTGATGATGGAGTCACACAGGGTGATGGGGGAGGGTGGGGCTCGGTTCTTCCTGAAATCCACAACCATCTCCACTGTCTTTAGAGCGTTGAGCTCCAGGTTGTTCTGGCTGCACCACAACACCAGATGGTCAGACTCCCACCTGTAGGCGGACTCGTTCCCACCAGAGATCAGTCCAATGAGGGTGGTGTCATCCGCAAACTTCAGGAGCTTGACGGACTGGTGACTGGAGGTGCAGCTGTTGGTGTACAGGGAGAAGAGCAGAGGGGAAAGAACGCAGCATTCACGTGCTGCTTCCTGTCAGACAGGAAGTCTGTGATCCACTTGCAGGTGGAGTCGGGCACGTGCAGCTGGGAGAGTTTGTCCTGCAGCAGAGACGGGATGATGGTGTTGAAGACAGAGCTGAAGTCCACAAACAGGATCCTGGCGTAGGTTCCTGGGGAGTCCAGATGCTGGAGGATGTAGTGGAGGGCCATGTTGACGGCTTCGTCCACAGACCTGTTGGCTCTGTAGGCAAACTGCAGGGGGTCCAGGAGGGGGTCAGTGAGGGTCTTCAGGTGGGACAGGACTAGCCGTTCAAAAGACTTCATGAGAGGTCAGGGCGACGGGCCTGTAGTCATTGAGTCCTGTGATCCTGTGCTTCTTGGGAACAGGGATGATGGTGGAGGCCTTGAAGCAGGCTGGTACGTGGCATGTCTCCAGGGAGGTGTTGAAGATGTCAGTGAACACCGGAGACAGCTGGTCAGCACAATGCTTCAGGGTGTGAGGGGAGACGGAGTCCGGACCGGCTGCCTTACGGGGATTTAGTCTTCTAAAGAGCCGGTTAACGTCTCTCTCCAGAATAGAGAGGGTCGTTGCTGGTGGGGGAGGGGAAGGTGATACAGATGTAGAGGCGTGAGCCCCTGATGGGGTGGGGGAGGGATGGGTGGGGGACTGCAGCAGGTTGGTGGAGCTGTGGGGGATTGGATCAGGACATTGTCTATCGAATCTGCAGTAGAACTCATTCAGCTCGGAGGTCATTCATGGAGTGGGGGGTTTTTGGCTTGTAGTTCGTGAGGTGTTTGAGGCCTCTCCAAACCGAAGCAGAGTCACTTGCTGAGAACTGTTGTTGGAGTTTCTCAGAGTACAGACGTTTAGCATCTCTCACCGCCTTGCTAAACTTGTATTTTGACTCTGTGTACAAGTCTTTGTCCCTTTTGTCCTTTGTTCCGATGTAGGAAGTTACAGCCTCTGTGAACTCATTCAGACTGTCAGTAGCAGTCCTGAAAGCATCCCAGTCGGTGCAGTCAAAGCACGCCCGAAGATCCTCCAGCGACTCACTGGTCCACTTCTTGAATTCCCTCACCACAGGTTTGCAGAGCTTTAGTTTTGAGGGACGGCGTGATAAGCCCTGCTTACTGTGGTGTAACAGTGATCCAGAGTGTTCTCCTCTCTGGTGGGGCATTTGATAAACTGTCTGTACTTAGGGAGTTCATGGGTGAGATTTCCTTTGTTTAAGTCTCAGAGGACAATAACTAAAGACTCCGGGTTAGTCCGCTCCACACGCCGTATCTGGTCGGCGAGTGTCCGCTGTGCCTCGTGCACGTTGCCCACCGGCGGCATGTAAACACCGACCAGGATGAATGAAGCGAACTGGTTCACGGGGGGAATAAAATGGGTGCAACAAAAACAACAAAAAATGAAGCGCACCGAAGCACCGTGGCAGCCATTGTCGGCGCCATCTTGGATCTTTTGCTAATTACAGGGGTATCACACTACTCAGCCTCCCGGGTAAAGTCTACTCCAAGGTGCTGGAAAGGAGGGTTCGGCTGATAGTCGAACCAAGGATTGAAAAGGAACAATGCGGTTTGTGGAACGACGGCCCTGGGGCCTCATGTACAAAGACTTGCGTGGATTTCTTACTGAAACACGTACGATCAAACCCAAATGCCCAATATTTAAATGAGCCCTGTACCTGCAATTCCCCTCTCTGCATGATCAGAAAAGATAGAAAAAAGGAATGAGTAAGATGGTAAAAAAAAAACTTCACCGAAAGCGAGATGGAAGTGCTACTTTTCGAAGTGGAGGCACGCAAAAATGTGCTCTTTGGCCGCTATAATCAGGAATAAGCAGCAAACGTAAGAGGAGTGGGTGGGCGAGCGTGTGCGTGGCTCCTCGCTGCGCTGCGCTCTAACGCTGGCCAAAGTGCTCATTGATGATGACGTTGCAGAAGACCTGAAGAAGTGTGACAAATTCTGGAACGCATTCTAAAAGGCTGCAGGTCTCAGGCTCGGCCAGAATGTGTATCTATTGATGAGCAGAGGATTCCATTTACAGGAGCCTGTCCGTGTCGCCAGTATCTGCCAATGAAGCCAAACCCAGTTGGCATAAAAAACTTTGTTTGCGCTACAGCAGATGGCATTGTGCTGGACTTTGACATATATCAAGGTGCAGATGCATTGCGTGAGCAGGTTGAAGAACCAGAAGATCTGGGTCTTGGAAGCTTGGTCATCGATCGTCTGTGTCAAATTCTGCATCCTGGTACAAAGTTGTATTGTGATCGGTTCTTCACAACCATTGCCGGTGTGGAACGAATGATGAAGAAGCAGGTCTACGTGACTGGTACAGTTATGAAGAATCGGGTTGCTGCACCAGTGCAGAAGCTACCAACTGACAAAGCAATGAAAGGCTGGAAGAGGCACCTCAGCAGAAGTTACCACTGGAGATGGAAACATTGGCGTAGTGTAGTGGTATGACAATAAACCAGTACTGATGATTGTGGTGGAAATTTGTGGATTTAGCCCTTGTGAGAAATCAAAAGTATCTTGAACTTGCTTTGTGATTAAGTATTTATTACTAACTAGAATATAGAAAAATCATAAAGAATACAGAAATCATCCACACAAGCCGTAAGTACAGACAGAAGTCAAACGACTACAATTCAGCTGAAAAGGGGCAGATGTTCCTTCCCCTAAAAGAAGCAGGAAGATCTGACAAAGTTAAAGAGGAGAACAGGAGGTTTTATACACTTCAGGGAGGTTTGTGCTGCCTCAGCACAGGAGAGCACACCCCTCAAGAGGAGTGTTGGGAAAAGTACCAGATGATGTAGGGGTGACCCTCGCTTTATAGACCCAGACAATTAAGAACATCTAAAAGGTCAGTCAGGGCACGTATGGTTCCATCTGTGTCTTATCTCACCCTGGAGGGCCTTAGGTCACAGGCTCACATAAAAGGTCACATTCCTGAGAGACTCACCCTACGCAGGCTCAACAATTCTCCCCTAACATCAATGTCTGTTGTTCATGCTATTCAACCAGAAGACACCTTCAAGCGATGGGACAAGAAACTGAAACGATATGTGACTATCTCACGACCAAGTATTATCCCTGAATACAACTCCAAGATGGGTGGGGTTGACTTGGTCGACAGAATGATGTTCATGCTATTATCGCATGAACATCCGCACCAAAAAGTGGCCACTGCGGATGCTAATGTACTTCATGGATCTGGCATTGGCCAACATCTGGCTACTATACCGCAAAGATCTTGCTGTGCGGTACACCAAAGAAGACAATCATGCAGTTCCTTGAGTTCCGCATGGAAGTGGCTATGGCCTTCTTGGCCCAGCGTGACAAGGGTGTACCAGAAGACAATGCAGACCTTTCAGAACAAGGGAAAAAAGGTCGAGTGAAGGAAGTGCCCCATATCTCAATCCGAAGAAGTGCCAATGCACATCTTCCAGAGGTGGTCAACCTGAAGAATGCAGCCCGCTGCAGAGCGGCAGGCTGCTCCGGGAAATCACAAGTGCAGTGTGGGACATGCAAGGTGTTTCTGTGCTTGCAAAGGGATTGCAACTGTTACATCGCTTTTCACACATGGGTGTGAACATGTTCATACAGAAAAAAGGGCATTCCTAGTTTGAAATAGTGATAGTTTTGGACTGTATTGGTATTATTGATGAAATGGTTATAAAATATTTCTTGCAAATTTTGTTTTTACATAGCCATGTTCAGAAATTGAAATGGACAGTTTTAAATGGAACAGTGACATGTTTACTATATATGTATACCTTGTCACAGAAATAAGATGTCTTCCTGCAACTGTTTGCAGCACTTCAAACGAGCCGTAGTGTCGATGTGACTGTGCTGAAGGGTGTTTGGACCGAGTGTACACGTATGTGGACATCATTTTTCTCAAAAACTACATCATGTCAAATGATGATGCTTAGTTTGTATACTAATCAGGTCCGAATAAGCCCAAATAGCAAAGAGAAATTAAAAATGCACACCAAATAGCCTAAGAGCTTGGGTCTTAGGGGGTTAAAGTACATGTACACTACCAACACAATGTTATGGGTGAGCGAGCGTACTGTACTGTCTATACTCCGCCGTAAGACACCTAGCCGTTATATAAGCATATCTATGCCTTCAATCATAATGGAAGGCGGAACCTTAATGTGACTGGTGTTTCCAGTCGGAACTCTATAGTGTGACAACCATTCGTTGCTCAGTTTGTCTGAAAGTGCAGGTAATTATTTCATCGGTTATCAAGCAACAATGTCTTCAGTTGAGGGTTTGAGAGAGTTTGTCAACGAGCGACTATCTGCTGCTGCTGAAGAAATATTCGGAGTTTTTAAAAGAAGCATCGTCGAGTACCAGGAAGAAATCGACAGGCAGCGCGGACTGTTGGATGTTTTATTGAAACCCGAAGTGAGGTTACACCGGATAGGTGAGTACAACATTGTTAGAAACATCTGTTGTCTGAAGCAACAAATACGAGACATTCTTAGTTTTCCGACAAACCTGTTGTTAAACGTTGCTAATTGAACAGTAGGACACATGATGGTTTATCCACACTCGTTGTATTTTTTCTATTTCTTTTGTCCCTCCAGAGCTCCCGCAGTCACGTGTCTGTAAGGAGGAGGAGGTTCTCTGTGACCAGCAGCTCTGTCTCCAGGAGAGGAACCCCAGTCTGGACCAAGAGGACCCAGATCCTCCACAGATTAAAGAGGAACAGGAGGAACTGTGCAGCAGTCAGGAGGGAGAGCAGCTTGAACCGAAGCAGGAGGCCGACACCTTTACGTTGACTCCCACTAGTGAGGAAACTGATCACAGTGATGATGAGACTCCGTTTTTGAATCCTGACAGAAGTCAGAGTGAATCAGAGACAGAGCCTCCAGCTATCACGTGTACCAGCTGGTTAGGTGAGGAAATAGACTGTGAACGTTTTGTGGTACCAGAACCAAACGACAACAACAAGGAGCCACAACAGCAGATTCTGGCTCCTCCAGGTGACAAGACATTTTTGTGCAAGAAATGTGGGAAATATTTTCAACATAAAAAAACCTTGTATGCCCACATGAAAAGATCCCACAATGTTCAACCATATGTATGCAACGCCTGTGGGAGAAGATACTTTGATAAATCAACATTTGAGATTCATAAAAAAGTCCATGAAAAAACATTTTCTTGCAAAACATGTGGAAAACATTTCAAATTTAATAAAGGCTTAAAAGTCCACATGCAAACTCACACTGGGGAAAGGCCGTATTCTTGCAACACATGTGGGAAAACATTCACTCGCAAATCACATTTGAGGTCTCATACAAGAACCCACACTGGGGAGAAGCCTTATTCCTGCAACACCTGTGGGAAAACATTCAATCACACGTCGCATTTGAAGGTTCATACAAGAATTCATACTGGAGAGAAGCCATATTCCTGCATCACCTGTGGGAAAGCATTCCCTACTAAATCACATTTGAATTATCATACAAGAGTCCATACTGGGGAGAAACCATATTCCTGTAAAATATGTGAAAGAGGTTTCAGATTTTCTGGTAACTTACTTGTCCACATGAGAAGAAGCCACAAGGATGAAGCGTCATAGATGCAACTCCTAAAAGGAAATATTTTGAGCAATTTTTAAGATTAGAAAGGTGTTGAAGCTTTTGATTAGAACGGAACACAAAGGCTGCATTTGAGAGAAAACTGTTTTCAGTATTCTCTTCTTCCACAGGCATAACCATCCAGCCAAAACCCGACTGGATGAGCTGTGGAAGGGTTTTCATTTTTTGGGAGTTTTTCCTGTGCTGATGTGAGGGTTTCGGGACAGAGAATGTTGCGTGTATTCAGACTGTAAAGCCTTTCGAGGCAAAGTTGTGATTTTGAGTTATACAAAATAAAATGAATTGAATTGATTGAGCGTTCACTCATTTACCAATAAAACAAGATCGCAATATCTTATTGCTAAAAACTATTGTAGAGTGCGAGGAAGACTTTGACCATAAGCTTGGATTGTTGGATAATATTTGGAAACCTGACTTAAAATTATAAAGGATATGTGTGTGAAATATATTATTTAAATACTAATATACTCTATCTATTGATACAACCTTTGAGCAAACTAATCCATGACTAAATATTATTAGGCGAAACACCTTTCAATTAACGACAACAAATCAATATGATTTACTTTCATAAAACGTGCACACAAAGCGAAATCATAATTTTGATTGAAGCAAGACCTCTCCAGTTGAGTAAACATATCATGGATTGTTTAACATGCTTAAATACATACACAATGTTCAAAACAACGAAAGGAATACTTTGAAAACAGATGAAGGAATCTCATCCTTCTGGACCTCTCGTCTGCATTTGACACAATCAACCACCAGATCCTTATTTCCTCCCTTCAGGAACTTGGTGTCTCAGGCTCTGTCTCCCTTCTCTCCTCGTACCTCGACGGCCGCACCTACTGGGTAACCTGGCGAGGATCTGTGTCGGAACCTTGTTCTCTCACCACTGGAGTTCCTCAGGGTTCCGTCCGGGGTCCCCTCCTCGCTCAACTCTCTCGGCGCTGTCATTCGCTCGCATTGCTTCTCCTACCACAGCTATGCCGATGACACCCAACTAACGCTCTCCTTCCCTCACTCGGACACCCAGGTAGCGGCGCGGATCTCTGCCTGTCTGACTGACATCTCTCAGTGGAAGTCTGCTCACCATTTGAAAATCAACCCCCGACAAGACTGAACTACTTCTCTTTCTCCGACCCAGGACTTGGCGGTCAACTTTGGCAACTCCGTGTTAACGCCTACTTTGACTGCGAGGAACCTCGGCGTCACACTCGACAGCCAACTCTCCCCGACTCCCAACATCACTGTGACAACACGATCCTGTAGACACACGCTCTACAACATCAGGAGAATACGTCCCCTCCTCACTCAGAAGGCAGCGCAGGTACTGATTCAGGCTCTTGTCATCTCCCGCCTGGACTACTGCAACTCCCTCCTGGCAGGTCACCCTGCCACCGCCATTCGACCTCTGCAGCTCATCCCGACCCGCACTCTCCGCTCTGCATCTGCAAAACTGCTCGTCCCTCCCTCACTGAGAGCAAAACGCTCGACAAGATTACGACTGTTTGCTGTCCTTGATCCGAAATGATGGAACGAGCTCTCTGATGACACAAGGACCGCAGAGAGCCTTCACATCTACCACCGCAAACTAAAGACACACCTCTTCAGACTCTACCTCGACTAAAAGACTAACAAATTGTAGCACTTAAATTGTAGTTATAACGCCACTTATCTATAGCAAATTGTAAATTGGTTTATTTGAGGAAAATGCACTTTCTTGTTTCTTGCTCTTCTGCGTTTGTATCTCTATGGTTGAATGCACTTACTGTAGGTCGCTTTGGATAACAGCGTCAGCTAAATGACATGTAATGTAAAAGAGGAATGCACAGAGGCCATTCTGTTCAGCTATTGGAGGAGAAGTGGAGATGTGTGATGCAGGGGTGATGATCAAAAAGATAAGTGGGAAAATAAAAGCTATTATTATCCCAGTTTTGATCGTTGGAGAATATTGTGCAATTACAAATGAGGAGAAATCTTTGTTATTGGGAAAGAAGTTTGCAAATGTTCATAGTGGAAGTATTTTAAAAGAGATGCACAGACAGAGAAAAGAAGACATTTTAGCAGCACGTACAGAAGTTGAAAAGAAAAAGGTTAATGAAGAACAGCTTCTGATGGAGTTTTTAATACAGGAGCTGAAAGCAGCATTGGTAAGTGGGTGAACAGCTCCAGGGCGAGACCAACTATGTTTGGACAATTGCCAAAAAGAGGCCTTGGAATTTTTTCTTAAATTCTTTAATATGATTTGGAGGGAAGGTGTAATACCAAGCAGTTGGAGGAGTGCTTTGATTCTACCTTCTACCTGGTAAAGACGTAGCTAATGCTAGCAATACAGACCAACAGTACTAACATCACATTTGTGAAAATGGATGCAGATGAAAATCACACAGAGATGAATTTATTTTATAAAGCAAAGGAGCTTGCTACCTAAATCAGAATGATTTTTCGTAACGGTAGAACAACACTTGACGCTGTATTAAATGTTAGCAACGAGGCCAAGAAAACAATAAGTATGAACGAGATTATTGCTTAAAATATATAAATGAGGTTTGGTGGAAGGATGGATAACTGGATCTTGGATTTCTTGTGTAATCGATCAATCAAGGTCAAACTTGGAGATGGCGTGTCAGAACAATCGGCTATAGTATATTAGATCCCTCAAGGTAGTGTTATTAGCCCTTTATTATTTAACATTGTGGTAAAACACGTCTTTGTGGACATTGATAGAAATATGAGCTCCTTACTATATGCTGACGATGGAGTGGTGTAAGGGGTAAGAAATATTAGAAAAGTGGTCAGTAGCATCCAATAGGCTAGTCGATTTTGTAAAGTGGTAGTATTACTGGGGGTTTGAAATGTCTGTTGAGTCTTGCAACATGATATTAACCAGAAAGAGACATTTGAGTAATACTCATCTTAAATTATAAGTTAGGAAAGGGTAAACATTTTTTTTTAATATTTAGGCTTATCGCTCAATGCAAAGTGTTTCTGGAGAACTCATATTGAAACAACAACAAAGGTGATCAATGTTCTGGACGTGACGGGAGCAGATAGACGTCACTAATCGATAGCTATATGGCCTCCTTACGATCATCTGTAGATTATGGGTGAAATTAAATTCACACCAAAGCAACACACTCGTGGAATCCGACAAAATCATATTGGAAACCATCCTGTGGAAAAGCCATATTTCTACATCACCTGTTGGAAAACCTTTCTTCGGATATCACAATTGAGGTGTCATACAGGAGTCCATACTGTGAAGAAACCATAATCCTGCATGACCTGTGGGAAAACATTTACTCGGGCACCAAATTGGTATAATAATATAAGCAAAAAAAGAGACAGTTGGAACCAAAGTGGAGTTTGGAGAGAGTTCTGGCAGAGGACGAAAAATGGCACGAGATCTGCAGGGAACTGTTAAAGAAACAACATTAGGGGTTGTTTTCTTATTAGTGTAGCACCCGTATCACCACTCTGTGAGTCACTCACGTGAGAATGGGGGGTGCTTGGGTTCGATGTATCGTAAAACCTTTTAGCAAGAAGCTATTTAAAAAATAAATGAGACCCAGAGATGGTTGTTCTTTTAACAAAAGTAAAAGAAATAGGGCAACGCCCTTGTTTATTTAAATACAATAATTAATTTCCCCCAAAACCCAATATTACCAAATAGAGAAAAATAAATAACCAAAACTTCCCCAAAACATAAATAATAAACTCCAAATTCAGTGATACAAACCCAATAGTATCAAGGACGTTACATCAAAATATATGTTCGAAATGTTCCCGTTCCTCAACTCGGAGAATACCAGAGTTCAACAATAACAACAAAAACTTTCCCCTCCAAGTGTCATGAAACAAGTATCAGCCGATGCGGTGTTGGGCCCAATCACCACACACAGCCACACATGTTCCAGTTACTCACGGCAACGATATGTACGGAAAGAAAACACGTTGCAGACCTGTTTGGTCTGGCAAAACATTGAGAGCGCCGAAATCACTTTCAAAACATTGAGAGCGTGGAAACTCGGGTCCGCGATGCGAGTCACCGACACGTCCGCCCGGACACGCCCACCGTGGCTAGCAAGCTCGGCTCCCTCGATGGCGACCTCCGCTGCTTCTCCCCCGCTCCGTCCGACGGGGTTTCAGCTTTGGTTTTTCCTTCGTTTCCAGGCTCACAAACACACCGAGTCCGCGGTCCACTCCTTCCAGCCTCCCGCGCCGGTTTATTCTGCCTTCTTGTCTCCATGCTAGCGTCTTTTCCTC